AAAGAAATGATTTAAAAGCTTAGATTCTTAGACTTAAAAATGGTTTGGATAAATTATAAGATGCCAATAAGGCTGTTGCTGAAATGAAAATAGTTTTGGAGAAAATGTAACCTGAATTAGAATAAGCATAAATTGAAACAACTAAAATGATGGAACATTTAAAAGTGGAAAAAGAAGAAGCTGATCAAACTTAAAGAGTTGTTGCTGTATAAGAGGCTGAAGCTACTCAATAAGCTAGAGAAGCTAATTTAGTTGCTCAAGAAGCAGGTGAAAGAGTCAGAGTTGCTAATGAAGAGTTAGCATAAACATTATTGAAAGTTAAGGAATTATAAAAGGATCACTTAGTTGAATTGAAATCATTATCATCTCCACCTGAAGCTGTCAAAGTAGTATTAGCAGGTGTTGTGATACTTACTACAGATTATATTAAGAAGTCTGGTGGTGAAATTATCACATAGCCAGTACCAAACTAAATTGGTAAGAAAGAAGAGAATTATTTTGAGACAGCTAAGAAATATTTACTTAATGATGTGAATTCTTTATTATCATTGTTATTAGAGAAGTTTGATAAAGAGAGTATTAATCCAGCTGCTATTCTTAAGATGGAATAGAAAGTTACTTGTCATCCTAAATTTAATTCAAATGATGCATTTTAAGGATCTAAAGCTACAGGTTATTTGTTTGGTTGGTGTAAATGTATGTATGATTTCTACAAAGTATATACTGAAACTAAACCTTTAAGAGAAAAGTTAGCACTTATGACAAAAATAGTTGAGGAGAAAAATAAAGAATTAGCGATAAGGAAAAAAGAATTGGATGAAATTAATGCAAAAATAAGAGAATTATAAAGAGTTTTTGATGATAAGAAGAAATAATAAGAAGATTTATAGAAGAAGATTAAAGAATGTGAAATTAAGTTGGAAAGAGCATAAAAGTTAACAGAAGGATTAAGTGATGAAAAGGAAAGATGGGCAAAAGATATTGAAAATCTAACTAATAGTGGTGGTTTAATACCTGGTAATTCTATTATAGCAGCAGGAATGGTTGCATATTCTGGACCTTTTGTATCTTAATATCGTATTAAGATGGAATAAGATTGGAGAGCTAAATTAAAAGAATATAACATTCCATTCTCTGATTTAATTACAATGAGGAAATTCTTAGGGGATGAAGTTAAAATTCAATAATGGAATATTTGTGGATTACCTAAAGATGACACATCTATTGAAAATGGTATCATAATTGATAAGAGTAGAAGATGGACTTTAATGATTGATCCACAATCATAAGCTAATAAATATATAAAGACTATGGGAAAAGATTTACCAGAAGGATTGGATGTGTTAAAATAATCAGATCAAAATTTGATGAGAACACTAGAATTAGCAATTCAATTTGGTAAATGGGTATTGGTAGAAAATGTTGGATTATCTTTAGATCCATCTTTGGAACCTATTCTATTATAATAAATCAATAAGACTGGAACATCTGCTACAATATAAATTGGAGATAAAAATCTACAATATAATTTTAGTTTCAGATTCTTTATGACAACTACTCTACCAAATCCTCATTATTCTCCTGAAACATCAGTAAAAGTAACAATAATTAACTTTGCAATTACTCCTTTGGGATTAGAAGAGTAGATGTTAGCATAAATTGTAGCATTAGAGAATCCTAATTTAGAAAATAAGAAGACAGAAATAGTAAGAAAGAATGCATAAGATAAAAAAGAATTAGTTAATATAGAAGATAGTATTTTAAGAAGTTTGTCTGAAACAAAAGGTGATATTTCAGAAATATTGATGGATGAAACTCTAATTAATAAGTTATAAAATTCAAAGAAATTTGCAGCAGAAATTAATCAAAGAGTTAAGGATTCCAAAATAACTGAAGCTTAAATAGATGAAGCAAGAGAATCTTATAGATCAGTTGCATTTAGAGCTTCATTACTTTTCTTTTGTATTATAGATTTATCAACAATAGATCCTATGTATTAATATTCATTATAATGGTTTATCAACTTATTTACTTTGGGTGTTTAAAATGCTCCAGCATCATAGGTTTTAGAAGAGAGATTGAATCATCTTAATAATTTCTTTACATATATGTTATATGAAAATGTTTGTAGATCATTATTTGAGAAACATAAATTACTATTTTCATTTATGTTAACCTATAAAATATTGAGTGCTGCTCATAAAATGAATGAGGGAGAATGGAGATATTTATTATAGGGTGCTACAGGAGATGTTTAATTGGCACCTAATCCAACTGAATGGATTAGTGAAAATACATGGCCAGAAACATATAGAAATATATATGGTATGTCAGAATTAACTAATTTTGATGGTGTTTTATCTGATTTCATGAGTAATTCTGATAAATTTAAAACAATCTTTGATGCTCCCAATCCTTAAGATATAGAATTTCCAGAACCTTGGAATGTTAAATTAGATTCTTTTTCAAGAATATTATTATTAAAAGCAATTCGAAGTGATAAAGTAATTCCAGCCATTTAAAAATGGATTATAGAAAAGATGGATGAGAAATTTATCATCCCACCTACTTTTGATTTGAGTAAATGCTACAAAGATTCTACTCCAAATACCCCACTCATTTTTGTTTTATCTCCTGGTTCAGATCCTATTGCAGATCTAATGAAATTTGCAGAAGAAATGAATATGACTAAAAGAATTGATTCAATTTCTTTGGGATAAGGATAAGGTCCAAAAGCTGAAAAATTAGTTAAAGATGCTTTAGGAAGAGGTGGATGGGCATTGTTAATGAATTGTCATTTAGCAACATCTTGGATGAATGATCTTGAAAAATTAAATGAAGAAATGTAAGATTAAGGAACAAAAGATTTTAGATTATGGTTAACATCTATGCCTTCAAAATCATTCCCAACTATTGTATTATAGAATGGTGTAAAAATGACACTTGAACCACCCAAAGGTCTTAGAAATAATATGCTAAGAACTTATACTTAATTAGATGATAAAACATTAAATGATTGCAAGAAACCAGAAGAATTCAAAAAGTTATTATTTGGTTTCTCTTTATTCCATGCAATTATATAGGAAAGAAGAAAATTCGGAGCCATTGGATGGAACATTCCTTATGAGTTTACTAATGAAGATCTTACTGTATGTAGAAGACAATTAAAGAGTTTATTAGATGATTATGTACTTATACCATTTAAAGTTATCAATTATCTTGGAGCTGAAATAAATTATGGTGGAAGAGTTACAGATGATAAAGATGTTAGATTAATTAAAACTATTCTCAAATTATATATTTCATAAGAAGCATTAAAAGAAGGCTATTAATTTTTAGTTCCTACTTATTATTAACCTAATGTAGGAGAAAGATAAAATTATATAGAATATATTGAAAAATTACCATTGAATCCTGAACCTGAAGCATTTGGATTACATAGTAATGCTGAAATTACTAATGCTTAAAATGAAACTAGAATTCTCTTAGAAACTTTATAATCTATTCAACCAAGAACACAATAAGGAGCAGGAAAATGTAGAGAAGATGTTATTGAAGAATTAGCTAATTTTGTTGAATCTAAAACTCCTGATTTATTTGATATAGATGAGATTTCAAATAGATATCCTACTGATTATCAAGAATCAATGAATACTGTTTTAGTTCAAGAACTTATTCGTTATAATAGATTACTTGCCATTATGAAAACTACACTCTCTAATGTTAAAAAAGCACTTAAAGGATTAATTGTGATGTCTGAAGAAATGGAAAAATTATCAAACAGTCTTTATGATAATTAAGTTCCTTAATTATGGGCAGAAAAAGGATTTCTGAGTTTGAAACCCTTGGCTTCCTGGACTCAAGATTTATTAGATAGAATAGCCTTTCTTAAACTATGGGTAGAAAAAGGAACACCTAAAGTATTCTGGATTTCAGGATTCTTCTTCCCTTAAGCTTTCATTACTGGTATGGTACAAAACTACGCCAGAAAACATGTAATTGCTATTGATAAATTACAATATGAATATATAGTTTTGGATACTCTCACTCATACAGGTGTAACTGAGAAACCAGAAGATGGTGTTTATATTTATGGAATATTTTTAGAAGGAGCTAAGTATATTGATATTTTAATTTAATTAGATGGGATTACAAGAGACATTTAATATCATAACCTAAGGTTAAGGAATTGTATTCAGATTTACCATTAATGCATTTATTGCCATTTGATCCATCATAAGTTGAGGTATAACCTAAAGATCCAAAAGAAAAAAAGATTTATAAATACCAATGTCCATTGTATAAAGTAGTTTCAAGGGTAAAATATTTATAATAAATTTAGGCTGGTACTCTATCAACAACAGGACATTCTACAAATTTTGTTATGCCACTTGAATTACCATCAAGAGATGATGAAGATGTTTGGATTAGAGCAGGTGCTGCAGCTTTCTTATCATTAAGATATTGAAAATAATATATATTTTTAATTTAATGCAAATGATAAATAAAATTTATGTTTAATATTTATTACAAAATATTAACAATTAACATAAGAATTATACATTTGAATCATAGGATTTATTTGTTATCATATTTATTGATTGGGATTAAATTTTGTAGAATTTTTATGGATTTATCAACAAAAAGAGTACATTCTTGATTTTTAAATGTAATTTCTATACCCAGTTAATTAAAATACAAGAAAATCTATATGATAGTTAGTTTTCCTAAATTTGGGAACTTAATTTTTTAAATATTATAATAAAAATTATTAAAGAATATTATGTATAATAGGGATAACAATTTTCGAATAATTGAGAGTTGAGAAAATCATTAATATAATTAATTATTATTATTAATATTAATTAGTGTAAATAAATTGATTAACTTGAATTTATTCTCGATTGGATGAAGTTTTTGCAGAAAGACTTCTAAATTTAGTTTTATTGAAAATATAATAGTGACATAAAAGGATCACAATATATACACTTGATCACACTACTCAAATTAGCTTAGTCTTTTTAAACCCGCACCTCGAATAATGATAATCCATGAGTTCATAATAATGTGAGATGCAATTTTGAGATTTTAATTTCTTATTAGGCATAATAGCTTGATTATTACGTAATGAAGGCTAGTAATTTAAATAAAAATTAAAGTTAATGAGTGTGTCACTCTCTGCTTCAGAATGATCTTTAGTCACAGAAAAAGATACATCACATTTTAGGCCCTAATAAAATAAGCAAGAATTTCTTACTTATGGGTAGAGGGGAGAGTACAAATAAAAATCTTATTCCTCTGTTGGTTTAATCAAAGGTTTGGCAAACTCCATAACGTTTTTGTAGTAATCGGCATTTGAGCACCCAGGTTATAAAGATATTCTTGACATTTATTAATAAATTTTTGTACTCTGGAATTCCTATTTTCATGCAGGATTCAACAAAGTATTGTACTGAATATCCTAAATCTTCCACTAATTTGATGTCCAATATCAAACCTGAGATAAAAAATTGATTTAAGCCCTTCAAATATTTATATTGATATGATCCAAATGATCTGTAATTGTCTATGGGAATCTAAAATAATTTTGATAAATTGTTATGATATACAAATTCAGTTTCTTCCTATTTTAAACCAGAGTTTAGTTATTCATAATACTTCTTGATATATTCACTCAATTCATTCATTTAAACATCGCCAAAACTTTATAATCTTTTGGCTACATATTCCCAAGGGGTTTCAGAAAAATCAAGTTGAGTGTAGCACAATTTGATCACCCCAGCAGATTAATCTAAAAGAATTTTGGAAATTTTTTTATAAGGATTTTGACAACTGATACCAGTTTTAAGCATTTCATGCTATCTAATGTGGCGAGCATCTGCAAATAGATGGAAGTCCTTAAATATCATCATATAATTAAGATACTCCTTTCATTCTGTAAGTACTAAGTGGATTTAGAAATTTTTTTGGGAAAACTATTAAATTTACTTCCTTTCCTTTCTAAATATCTGTTTCCTCACCATGTAGTGGAGTAGAATGTTGCAATTGATCCATTTACATTATTAATTTATTTATTTTTAAATTATTGGATCTGAAAAAAATTATAAATAGAGTTTCTTATATTAATTATAATTGTATAATTTTAATTGTATTAATTATCAATAAAGTTGATTTAAATTAATTAAATTAGAAACAAAATCAATTAAATATAAATCTTAAATAAATCAATTTTTATTGGCATTCACTCACTTTAACAAGTAAATTAGTAAGTTCTTTAATTCATACTCCTCAAATAATTTCATATATACAATGAAGATTTGATATCTAAAATACTTTAATAGGTTTTGAGTCCAATTGATTTTCTTTTGAGTAAAAAACAATAGTTTAAATCCGTAGTTCTATTTATAATAATTAAAGTAGAAAATGACTTAAGTAAATGAAACATCATAAAATAATGATATAAATTAAGATTAAATAGTTCAAATTTAAACACTTTTTATTATAAAAATGAATAAGAATTTATCTAATAATATGATATTTCAGAAAGAACATATTATTATTATAAATTTTATGAAATCTAACAAAATTTAATTTTAGATCCATGCTCATATATTATCAAAATAGATACTATTTTTTCCTAATTATTGTAATATTAATAATAGAAATTATTTATTCTAATTGACTATTTAATCTCATGATTTGTCCTAATGATTTTAGCATTCATATTTGAAAAGTGTTTATGTCATTAAATAACAAAAAAAAAAGCATTACTTTTTTGAGCTCTCTTTGTTTTATTAGTGACAACTTCTTGTTTTTCAAAATAGTACAATTATTAATATCCTATTTTAAATAAATTAAGCATATTTGTTATCTAAAAAAACATGATTCTTTCAAAAAAATTTATTATTATGATAATAGAGTGAAATATAAATTTGAAGTCTTACTAAGATAAGAAATAAATTAGAATTAGATATGATTTAAGAATAGGAAATTAATTTTAGAGTAATAATTATAGTTATAGAGGAATGAAAGATACAATTATTAATATTTAAGAATATAATTATAATACTTTTCATGACGTAATAATGTCTCAATATAAATGAGTGAGAATCTTGAGTAGTATAATTAATATATGAAAATAGCAGAATCAAATGATAACTCAGAAAAATTGCTGTCAAAATTACTTTTTAATTAAGTTGCCTTCCAACTACCCTAGTAAGTCCAAGAAGAAGCAACTATAGCTTAGATACTAACATATAGAAGTCCCATTTATAAACAATTGCTATACTATTCATTTTGCATTTTGACTTGTATAATAATTAGTAAGAAGTTTAGGCGGTATTGGATATTTATTTGCCAGATGGAACTTATCATTAAAGCTAGCTTTGTTATATAGCTAATGTATTGACATAGAGAAAGCAACTCACTTGGTAATAACTTCTTTAGAGAATGAAAAAGAACTAATAAAGATTGGGTTAAAGAAAATGCAGATAAATAAGAGCGAAAAGTAAAGTAAGGTAAAAAGAATAACAATACACAATTTAGTCTTTTGAGTATCGTTTGTATACATATTACTATGAAGATGAATGTTTTAAAGCAATAGAAACACCATTTTAGACCTTAACCCATGAAGAGATTATAAATAATTATTCTAGAGGAGTAGAATCACCTGAAGAAATAGCATCTTAATATGGATATAATAATACAACAATTCCTGATAAAAGTACAGGTAAAATCTTGATTGATGAAATTTTAACACCGTTTTATTTGTTTCAAATATTTAGTGTGTGTTTATGGAGCATTGAAGAATATTATGAATATGCAATAGTAATATTTTTAACTTCTATTATTTCAATATTGGTGTAATTAAGAGAAACAAAATAGAATTTTGCAAAACTTAGGTAAATGACTTCTTAAGATTCAGTGGAGAATGTATTTAGAGGACAAAATGATATTGTTATATAAAATAAAGAAATTATAGTGAATAAGACAATTAATCATAATAAATAGAAATTAAGTTCAAAAGCAATTGTACCAGGAGATTTAATAGAAGTTAGAGATGATTGGACAGTTCCATGTGATTGTATTCTATTAAATGGATCTTGTATTATAAATGAATCAATGCTAACAGGAGAATCTATACCAATAATTAAAAACCAAATTTAATTCAATAAATTTATCTATTAACCAAATGAAGACTCAAAATCTATTACTTTATTTGCTGGAACTAAATGTTTAGAAGCAAGACATCCAGAAAAAGGACAGATTCCAGTTTTAGCATTAGCAGTATAAACAGGATTTTCAACAATAAAAGGATAATTGGTTAGATCTATTTTATATCCGAAACCAACTACTTTTTCATTTTATAAAGATTCTTTATCATTTATAGCAGTTTTAGCAATGATGTCTTTAGTGGGTTTTTCTTTGACAATAAAAGATTAAGTAGATGAATTAAAAGAAGAAAATACTACAATATTTCAAATGATTATAAATTCTTTAGATTTGATTACAATTACTGTACCTCCAGCATTACCAACATGTCTATCAATTGGAGTTTCATTTGCTTTAGCTAGATTGAGCAAGAAATCTATTTATTGTATATCACCTAATAAGGTAAATGTGGCTGGGAAAATAACTATAATGTGTTTTGATAAAACAGGTACATTAACAGAAGATGGTTTGGATCTTTATGGAGTACGTTCTATTGGATATAATCATAGTAATTATTTTATATATATATATTTTAATAGAAAAATCAAAGATTTGTTTTTAAGATTTAATTATAGATGTTAATGAATTACCTACTCCTAATGTATTGTTTTCAATGAATTTAACAGGATAAAATGTATATGGATAGACTAAATTATAACCAACTTAATTGATTTTAGAAATTATGGCATCTTGTCATGGATTGGCTAAAGTAAATGGACAATTAATAGGTGATCCTTTGGAAGTGAAAATGTTTGAAGCTACTAATTTTGAATTAGATGATTTACATAATGAAGTTTTTAAAGATAATGAAAGAATTTAAATATTAAAAAGATTTGATTTTTCATCAACTCTTTAAAGGATGAGTGTTATAGTTTAAAGAAATGATAGATTAAGAGTGCATGTAAAAGGATCTCCTGAGAAATTAAGAGAATTATGTCATCCTACAACTGTTCCTAGAAGTTTTCATAAGATACTTGAACATTATTCAAAGATGGGCTTTAGAGTATTAGCTTGTGGATCTAAGGTTATTGATAGTGAATGTAATAGAGATAAAGCTGAATGTAATTTAACATTTTTAGGTTTCTTAATTATGTAGAATAAACTTAAACCAGTTACTCGTAGTATAATCTAAACATTATAAGATGCAATGATTAGAACAGTTATGGTTACAGGTGATAATGTTTTAACTGCTATTTCTGTTGCTAGATAATGTAATCTTGTATAACCAAATTAACGTATATTTTTGGGAGACATTGCAGAAGAGAAGTTGGATGGAAAGAATCATATAACTTGGAAAGACTTTGATATGAATGATAAAGTACTAAATCCAGAGAATTTATCTCCTGAATTAGATATTAAAGATGATTCTGGGGATGAATTTGAAACACCTGAATTATTTGGATAATAGGAATAGTAATATGAATAATAAATGGAAATCGTAATTGAAGAAAATGAGAAAGTTGCTAATTCTTAAAGTTATGAAAATAGGAAAAGTATGAATTTGAAGAAGAGCAAATATTAAAGTTATAAGGAATAAGAAGAGTAATTAAAAGCTGAAAATCTTGATCATTTAATTGATGATTAGGATCCATGGAAGACAGATTAACCATTTGTAGTAGCTATATCTGGAAAGGCATTTTAATTATTATTAAATCAAATTGATACAAATCCAAAGGCAAGAAGATTATTTGGTTTGATGTTAGAAAAAGCATAGATTTTTGCAAGAATGAAGCCTGAATAGAAAGCATAACTTATAACACATTTGTAAAAGATTAGTAAAAAGGCATTATGTGGTATGTGTGGTGATGGAGCAAATGATTGTGGAGCCTTAAAAGCAGCTGATGTTGGAATCTCTTTATCTGATGCAGAAGCATCAATAGCTGCTCCTTTTACTTCTAAGATTTAAAATATATCTTGTGTTGTAAAATTGTTAAGAGAAGGAAGAGCATCTTTGGTTACAAGTTTCTAATGTTTTAAATATATGGCTTTGTATAGTATGATTTAATTTAGTACTGTTACTTTGCTTTATTTTACTCTTTCAAATATGTCATCATTGGAATACTTTTATATAGATTTATTCATAATTATACCATTAGCTGGAACTATGGGTTAAACTAAAGCATACAAAAAGTTAACTTAATTTTAACCAGGATCAAATCTAATTTCTTTTCCAGTTTTATTATCTGTAATTGGTTAAACTTTAATTTAAATTGGATTTTAAACTTTTGTTTACTTTTATATGAAGAATCAATCATGGTATAGATCAGGAGTAGATATTCATAAAGATATAGGAGATATTGATGATCATCTTGAAATGGAAATATGTTATGAAAATACAATATTATTCTTATATGCTAATTTCCAATATGTATTCCAATGTGTTGCTTTTTCAATTGGTAAACCATTTAGAAGAGAATTTTATACAAATATTTATTTCACTTTATGGATAATTTTAGCTATGCTCTTTAATAGTTATATCTTCTTAATTGAGAAAAGTGGTTTTTAGGATATTTTTATGGTATAAATGTATATTTATATTTTTAGTTAATGTTTGAATATGAATCTACAAAGAATGCTGATTTAAGTACTGAAATTGATAGATAATGGATGTATTGGTTGTATGGGATTATGATAATAAATTTGATTACTACGATTATATTTGAGAAATATATAGTGCCATTTACAACTAGATTTTATAGAGGGAAGAAAAGAAAGTTGTTAAAGAGATATAAATATTCTTAAAATCCATATCTGAATGATCAATTAGAATAGAAATGATTATGATAAATATTATTATAAATTAAATTACATGAATATTGATGAATAGAAATGTATTTTAAGAATTGAGCTTATTGCAGGACATTAAATGTTGTTAGACAAAGATTAATAGAGATGTTTTATTGAATTTAAATTGGATGGAGAAGCAAAATAAAGTAATGAAAAAACAAAACAGGATGATTATTTTGAATAAGTGTTTCATTTTCATTTGAATCAAAATAAGAATGCCAATCGAGAATTATAGATTCTATTATGCAATATTAATAGAGGTGGATATATGTCAAAGTAGACTCTTCATAAAATCAATCTAAGAGAATTGAAATTCTAACTCAATTAGCCTTTTGATTTACCTGTTAAAACTAAAAGTAAATCATTAAATATACTAATTTAGTTAAGGATAAGTTAGTATCTATCCAAGTTTTTTTCTCATTTATTAATAATCTTTTTGTGGATAATGTAACTGGGGAAGTTATTGTTAATTTGTAATCAATGATTCCTTAGAATAAAGGAATATTGGCAATGTCTATAGGTGGAAGTTAAACATCCTATACTTTTTAGGCAGGAACTGAATTGAAGATAATGAATGATTCACCCTATTGTAAATTGACATTGATCTATTATTCAAATGTTATTCCTAAGGATTATTTTGGAATCAATTAAATTAAGTTATTGAAATAAGAATCTTTAAAAAAAGAAATATATCTATGTGATTTGAATTGGAAATAAAAAAATAATGAATTAGAAGTTTATTTAGATAAGGTTTAATTGAGTACAGGTATGTTTAGATTGAGATTAACATTATCAAGGAAATAAGAAATTCCAAAGTTTTTAGAAGAGAAATAGTTGGTACCTTAAAAAAGAGTTATGGCAATCAAATCTATAAAAATAGATGGATTTCCAACAAAAGAATTAGGTAATGCTAAATATTATCTATAAATTCGTACACCAAATCATTTTTATTTTACTCATCTTAGTGTAATACCATAATGGGATTGTGATATAGCTTTATATGAATAAAATTATACAGTCATACTTTACAATTATTGTGGAGATAAGAAGACTTCTTTTTTGGCTAAATTTGAGAATGGTAATGAAGGAGAATTAAGTTTGCCATTTTAATAATTTTTGAAAACTTTTTATGGTTCAAATCCAAATCAATTTTAAAAAGTGACTTAATTTCTTAATTTATAAATGCATAGTGATATTAAATATCATACTTCTCTTATGATTGATAATCCTAGAGGTATTGTCAATCTACCAATTACTGAGTTTAGTATTAATGAATATTAAGGTAATTACATGATGTTTCAAACATTTTCCATTTATGATTATGTTTAGATACGTAAGTATAAAGCAAATAAGGCTGAAATTGCATTTGATATACCATTATATGAAATTGAAAATTAAATATTTTTTGGTGGATAATAAATACCAATAAAATATGAAAGTGATTAATAAAATAAAGAGGAAGTTATAGAGGAGAAATTGGAAAAAAGTAATTATGTTAAAATTACAGTTCATTCAGTTAAAATAACTAAGAATGAATATTTATAAGTAACAATTACAACTGATGAACTTACTTTTCAAACATCAAAAATATGTGGTATTTATTTTGGATAATCTTTCATATGTAAATTTCCAAATAAATTATCATTTTAATTAGTAAATAGAACAGAAAATGATATAATTTAAGATACATATACTTCATTCATTGATTTGTAATAATTTGATTTTTTGGGAACTGAATCATTTATTAATGTATAAATGAATTCAATTGGAAAATAATGTTTACTTACAATAAGATTGGAATTGAGTGGAAATATATCATAAGTTAATAGATTATCGATAATTCCATAAGCACTTTATCCTGTAAGTACAGAAGGTGTTTATTATATGAGAGTATTATTTTCTTATAGATTCTTTTATGATTATCAATAAGTGAAAAGTGAAAAAGATTATTTAGTGTTTGATAAATTTGAATGGACAGCTGAGGATTTATGGAAATCTATTAGATTTTAATTATTTTATTAGAGTGGAAACAAAAAGGAAAATCATACTCTATTAGCAGATTATTAATTATAAGCAATAGATTTATTATGGAAGAATAAAGGATATGTGATAAGAGAAAAATGTAGATTTTTAATAAAGAAAGAATAAAAATATAATGTGGACACACCTATAAAAGTGATAAAGGATTTAGATTAACCTAAAGTTTTTGTTAAATTTACTCCATTATCAATATAATTTCAATAAAATTCTTAAGATAATGTATAGGTAGAAGGGTTTGCATTATAATTACATCACATTTCGAATGATACAATAGCTAGATTAGAAGATAATTTAAATTTTGAATATAATGGAAATGTTATGGAATTTGATAGAAGTGAGAATAGTGTTTTGAAATATCCTGTATCAACATAATTAACAAAATTATAATTAGATATTAGCATGATTAAATTAATTAAATAAGAATTAAGAATAAATTAATTTGTAATTCCTGTAGATTTAAAATAATTAGATGCAATACAATATGTAGAAATAAGAAATGATATTCCAATGATATTAAAGTATCGAAGATAAATAATATAACATATGAGATTATCACATACATCTATTTATGATGTTTCAATAACAAATATTGGAATATCAAAATAAGATTTAATTAATTTAAAATTTTATGTAGGTACAACAACATTAATTAATTATCCTTGGGTTAAAGATGGAATACTTGAATAATAATATAAAGAAAGTGTTTAACCAATATTATTTTAATTAGATGAAATAGATACATGTTTAGAATTTGTCTTATTCACTGAAGTAATGATATTTAGAAGACATGTAATAAATATTAGCACAATATAATTTATATATAATGAAGAACAATAGATAGGAACTTATGATTTAAATTTAGATGAATTTAAATGTTAAATTATTATTAAAGAATCAAGTGAATAATTTAAAGCAGACTCAATCAATGTATCATTTAATACTTTAACTAAATTGAAACATATGGCAGGCAAATTTATAAAATATAGATTTAGTTATAATTTTGAATGTAAAGAATTCTCTAGTTAATTAAAATATACATTTTTTACATCTATATCATCTTATATAGCTTCTATATTATAAAGAAATGAAGGATAAACTGAAGGAGAATATGAATATACAATTATTATTCCTGAAAGAAAGAAATTTCCTAGAAATCATTCTGTTGCAAAAGTATTTTTAGGATCTAAAGAATTATATCTTGTTAGACATTAAGAAACAAGGGCAGAAGATTTGGAAACAATTTTAGAGACAAAAATAAAAATTAGAAATATTTATGTTTTAAGTACAGAACCTACTCAAAGTTTTACATGTCTTACTAAAGAAGGCAAGATTATTGAATTAGATACAGAATATTTAGTATATAAATAGATAAAGACTTAATTTACAATAGGCAAATTTGAAATTATGATTTATAGATTATTGAAAGATATTGAAAAAGATTATTAAAATAAATATATTGGACCTGATTTAAGATTATGTTTAAAATATAATAAATAAAAATATTGGATTACAAGTATTAATGATTAAGGACTTATGATTGATGGAGAATTTTAGAAATGTGAATTTTATGTTACTAATGTTACAGATTTATTAAAGATATAATTATTTATTCATGATTATTTAGTTGCTGAAAATGAATATTGTGTACCTTTATTAAAAGAATAATTTATTTAAGAATTATAGAGAATATTATATAAATCTAATGATTTAATTAATCATTTTCATTAAAAATTAAAACTTAAAAATATTTGGGTTATGGGTAGATGTAAATTTTAAAAATAGAATTGGGTTAAATTGTTTCTTAAATTTCATAAATTAATTATAAAATTAGATGAAGAAGAAGAGAAATAATTAAGAAGTTATTCATTAAAAGTATCTAATAAATAATTAGATTGGATATCTAAAGTATATTCAACTTCAAGAAATATTACAGAAATTGATTTTTATGATGAAGAAATAGTTGATTAAATAATCTTACCTGGAGAGGAAGATTAATCTTATTTCAAAATGTAAGTAAGAATGAATGGTGATATTCTTGCTGAAAAATTATTAGTCTTAAAACCATTTGTTGTAAGAAATGTATCTAATTTCCCTTTTGAATTCAAAATTAATGATAAAGTATCTGTTACTACTACAATTGAAGTATCATAAAAATTTAAAAGTGATAATTTAAAAAAATAAATACCAGAAGAATATAAATTTGATTTTAGAAAAACTAGTTATGAGGATATGGTAATCACTATGTTAAATTTTAAAGGCACATTTGATAAAATTCTTAAAGAAATATTTGAATTTCTTATGTATAATTTACCTAATAAATATGAACCTTTTAAACTATTTAAAGTATGCAAAGCTATATTTTGTATTCATAATAAAAATCTTACTTTAAGTTGTTATTCAACTCAATGTATGTCCACTATTTATTTGTCTCATAGTGATTAACTTATGGGTTAAATTAATCATTTATTATTAATGTAATAATTACAAGATCTTGTAATTGCTAAGAATAAAGACTTTAAACCACTTATCAATATACCATATTATGATGAATATCTACCTACTTCTGTTAATACTATTAAAAATTTAGATTTAACTGAAGGTGAATTATTTGCATATCTTAAAGCCAATTTTCATAAAGTAAAAGAAGATCTCTTTCAAGAATCAAGAGATAAACATTCAGCAAAAATTACATTCAGTTGTATGAAAATTTTGGAAACCTTACTTTAGAAAAATTAATAACCAGGATTAGAAATTTTAACCAATTTACCTATTTTAACTGAAGCATATAAATAATTTGATGATTATGAAAATAAAATTGGAAATATATTCACAATCTTAATAAACACTTTAATCAAATTCTATACAAATCAAGAAAATGAAACAGAAATTGCAAAATTAATTAATTCCAATTTTTATCTTCTTCTTTAAGTATTTTTTGAAACTATTGAAAAAGCTAGTTAATAATAATTCATAGCTATATTATTGACTATGCATAGTATAATAAAGATAATTAATTAAGATTAATTATAATTCCTTAAATTAATCTTAAAATATTTAATCAGAAGTCTTGTAGTATAATAAGATCTTGAATTACATATTGGAGTAGCAGTTGAATATTTCTAACCAAATTATCAATCAATAATTAAATAGGTTTTATCAGAAATTTCCTTAGAAAATATTGCTTTAAAGATAATTTAATAAGAGTTTTAAAATAGAAAATAGAGCAATGTTCTATCTAATTTATTTGACATGATAATCTAATCTATAGAACTAGGTGTAGAATATGTAAATATTATTTTTAATATTTTAGCCTTATACTGAATTATAAGATTATATTAAAAAAGTATAGCCAAAACATGAATCAAATAAAATAAAAGTTGAAAAATTTATGTAATTTATGAGCAAAAGATCAGAAAGAGAAGAAAAATTGAAATAATTAAAAGAATAGAAACTTCAAACATAAACAATTGATGAATAAAAGAAGAGAGTAATGGATAGATTCATGATCTCCAAACTACCTTGGTGAAATTGGTTATTAATATTAAATTTCATATAAACCTAAGATGATAAATTAATCTATTATTATAATTAGTAGTCTCATTTCTTAATAAAACTCAATTATATTGATCTTGAATATTTCTTATATTTAACATAATTATTTAAATTAAAAAAGAGGAGAAATTCAAATGGAGAGAACATATAAAAATAGAATTATATCATTAAAGTATTTATAAAGATAAATTATAATATCTCTTTAGAATTGAAATAGATAAAGTCTATGAAAAAGCATATATTTTAGATTTAGTCTTTTTTCTTATGTTACATTTATAAAATGATCAAAGAAAATCAGGTGCAATTGAACCATTCTTTATTTTTAAATGAACGAATGCTCCATTCTTAGGTCTATTTAAACCTTCAGCCCATGATCTTACTAATCCAGCAATCTAATCAGGATTAGCCCATTTGCTAAAATCTTCTTTTGGCATTGCTTATCTATTAGCAGGTGTATCAATAGTTTCTCTAAAAATTATGATAAAATTATACGGCAATAGTGTTATTACAGCAGAGTCTTCTGGTAAATGAGTACTTACAGCAGTCTAAATTGCTAGAGTATGAACAGCTGTCTTTGCCAAAGCATATCCAATCATACTTGGTGTTGGTGCATTAAATACCGAATAAGCACCTGTAAAGATTAGCAAACCCTATCTTGATAATTATGTAGTAGCTAAATGACTGCAGACAAGAGCTGGTACTACACTCTTTTGATTCATATCTTCATAAACTTAAAGAACATTTTCATCTTTTATTGATCCTCCTGTCCATCCACCAGCCACACAAACTATGCAATTAAATTTCTCTATAAGTATATATATGTTAATAAATACCAAGTGTATTTAATTCAGATTTCAGAAAATTGATATCACTTGCATTCTTAATAATAATATTGTCACATTCTTCATTCTTATTGAAATCAACACTTGTCACTTTCCATCCTTTAAATACTTTAACCATTGAACGACCTAATGCTCCTGAACCACCAAAAATTAAAGCTTTCATTTAATTAAATCAAATAAAAAATAATAATGGTTATAATCAATTAGATACATCCAATTGTTTTATTAGCTAAATAGGGTATCCTTAGTAGTAGGAATTGAATGTGATAATTTTATTAAATAATTATCCAAAAATAGAATTTGTCTGATATTAACTTGATATATATTGAGTGTTGAATCATGAGATTTTATTATTATGCAATACTTTTCTTTTTGAGTTATTTTTATATTTTGAAAATTAGAAACAAAACTTATTTATTAATTTAATCAATGATATTGTACTTGTTTAATATTGAATTCTTTACTAATTAATTAATTCTTTAATTAATTCTTTTATATCTACTTATAATTATTTGATAAACTCTTTATACCTTATTTAATATTTTTATTGAGTTTTTGTTATGAATCATAATGATTATTAGATCCTAAATCTATTTTTGTAATTTAAATCCTTATATTATTAAATAACAACTTATTTATCTAGTTCTCAGTTAATTAAATAATTAGATTACTTAATTAAGTTTTTATAGAGTTATTTATTTAAATTCTAAATGATATTTAGTTTTTGTAAATTATTCATAAATACCTGTTTTTTAGTCCTTATTTAGATGATAATTTATATTTATTAAATAATTTAGTGATAATCATTCTACATGAATTGTCAATCCAAAAATAAATAATTTCAATTTATAATATTAAAATAAATGGGATGCATAACATCAAATGGGAATAAAAAAGTAAATAATTCCATTATATACAGTTAGAAGATATGAAATAAGGATTTATGATTAGAATTCAGCATCCAGACAATAAGACAGAAAAATAATATAAATATTTTGATGAAAAATAGAAAAGTGATTTAATAATGAATGTCATGAATGGAATCTGTTTCAGTGAAAAAGTTTCGGATAAATGCGATGGAAATTTTATTTCTCTTTATGATCCAACAGATGATAGATTTCATTACTACATCTAAAAATTAGACGGTATAATGTTGGAAGCTTAAAGTACTTAGGGATAGAAATAGATAACCCAAATGAACCTCTAAAAGGCAAAATTTGGATTCCTTATATTAATGAAAAACGACATGATTGGGACACACTTGTTGAGAATAATATTAGAATATCAATAACTGACCACTTATTATGGAAATTGGAATATTTAAAAAAATGAATATATATGTTTTAATTATTATCGTTATATCAAGAATGATTGAAATTGAATGATACTATTATAATCTTCCTTAAATATATATCATTTCATTTCTACCAATTTCATATTTTATTTTGATTTTTAAACCTAATTTAATAGATGAATTAAACATTTTAATTTTCTAATCCTATTTATATAATCTAATTATCAATATTTAAATACTAATGAAATTTCAAATTCTAATTAAAAACCATTAGAGAATTTAAAATCTAGTTATCATCTTGTATAAATTAATTAAATTTAAATTGAATTGTGTAGAAAATTAGTTTCAATTTTCTTAAGACCTAATAAGTAATATAAATTTATAATTCTTACTATATTATATTATAAGATATTGATATATTAATTAATTATATCAAACATAATTCTAAATGTACATGGTACTTATATCACATCTTAAAGAACATGTATTATTGGTCTATAAATAATTTATTAATTATTAATAAAATCATCTATTTTCATATCCCTAACAGAACTATGAAATATTCAAAAATTAAATTTTTGATATCCCATTTATTTATTTTTATTTGTATGATTTGAAATTAGATTGTAAATTCAATATTATCTAATCAAAGATAGATTCTTATTAAGAGTGTTTATTAATGTATTATTTTTTGTGAATTGTTATATAAATAATTTATATGTTTAATTCTCAAAATATTATTTAAACTATTAGAAAAAATGCCATCTATCATGAACTTTTATGTCAATATACTTTTAAATAATCTCTTTCTAATTTTGAATCATTAAACTGATTCTGCAAAGCTCTAATAGTTTAAATTTTTTAAAGATTCTTTTATGTAAATTTTGTATTCAACTTTATTAGTTTTCTATGTAAATCTTAAAGAGGTAAGGCTTTAATTAAAGTTCATATGTACAAATAATTATTATGTTTGTATTCCCACTAAAAGATTTTGATAAAAACTGAATTAGTTTTGGATCTCTATAAAGTACAAATGTTTACCAGTTTTAACAATTTTTTATTACTTTACTTAAAATAAAAAGATTCTTATAATATATTCTAACTCATTTGAAGGATAAATGACCCATATCATATAGTATTATAGTGTTTGTTTAGTTTTAATTCTTTAAAGCTTCTTCATATAAAAATGTATAGAAGTAATTTAACCCTGAAAAAAATTTTAATTGCTTTATTGATTTCAACAAAGTAATATACATTAAAAATATTAAAAATTATCTTTAACAATTTATAAAAATGTTAATGTTAAAATATATGTTTTTTAAAGCGTAAAATCCAGCTTATTTGAAAGATGATTCAATTTTAATCCTTTAAATTTATAGATAAGTTGATTAATATTAAATTAATGTTTATTTGTTGTAAAACAAAGAATAAAAAGATCAAGTATAATAACCCTTTATTATATTTATTTAGATAACCAATCAATAATGATTCTGAAGTAAGATCTTTCGGTAAAGAAAACGAATAACAAGAAAAAGTTGTAAATCAAGACCAGGATTCCCAATAAGACCAAAAATCATAAGAAGCTAACCAAACTGAAGAATGTCAAGAAGAAATTTAAAACGTAGTGAATCAAATACGAGCCTAAAGAGAATAAGGATAGATCAAAGAAAGGTATACTCTTATATATAGTCAGTATTGATTTAGAAAAAGTGTTTGTGAATGGATTACTAGCAGAAGATCTTCCTATTGTTTATTTTATTGAATATCGTTGGGCTTTGCATTATACAGGATTTCTGGGAGGAAAGAAGAAAGTTATGCCTAAGGAGATAAACAACAATAAAATATTGACAGTTGAACACAGAATAAATGATACAATCCATATCACTATAGACAATGATCCACAATTACAACCTGGTATTCAACCAGAAAGACATTATTCACTTTTAAATGAAAAGACTTGGAAGTTTATTCATCTTCTCTATGGAGGTGGACCTACAATAACTATTGATTTAGATAATGCCAAATTATAAACTCCATAAAATGAAAAGTAGGAATCACAAGTTCTCCAAGATAAAGAATGCTTAATAGCTCAACCAATAGATAAAATAAATGATGATCCAAGTAATTTTAATCCTCTACAAATTGGAACCTAATTAGAGTTTACTAATGAAGCAGCGACTCATGTAACTGCTACAACAATTTTACCTTTAAAAATGCCAACAGATCCTCATATTGATATTAGGTTTTCATCCAATAATATTGAGGATATTGATAGCACTGCTATAGAAAACAATTCTAATTAAAACATAACTGGCAAAACTAGAAAGATTAAAATTTTTACAAAGATTCCGTTAGAATTACCAATCATAGGTTTTAATAATCCAAAGTATAATTGTTATATGAATGCTGTACTACAATGTTTATTAAGTATATCCAAATTTAATAATAAAATTCTTAAAATTCAAAAACAAAAGGATAGGTAGTTTACATCAGCCTATCAAGATCTAATCAAATTAATATAAGGGACTATTCCTGGAAGTTCAATTACATTGGATTTATTGTCTTATGTTTGTTAATATAAATTTAAAGCTACTTAGTAATAAGATTCTCATGAATTTCTTTTATTTTTATTATCATAAATCTAAGAAGAATTAATTGGAAAGAAAAATACTGAAAAAAAATAAGAATTAGAAGCATGGGAAGTTTATAGAGATAGAAATCCAGATATTATAACTGAATTATTTACTGGGCAAATTGTTATTAAAAATTACTGTTTAAAATGTAAAAAGACATGTGAAGTTTATGATCCTATATTGGATCTTAATTTACCTATATAAAATGCAAGTGGATTATAAGAAATAAAATTAAATGAATGTTTATATGGTTATTTTAGAGAAGAGCAAATATTTAATGATTGGTAATGTAACAATTGTCAATATTAAAACAAATTTCTCTTAAGAAAAATTTAAATTAAACACAAACCATAGTTTCTAATAATTCATCTAAAAAGATTTGCTTAATTTCCCAGAAATCATAAGATATAAAATGACATATCATATCCTGAATTCTTAAATATTAAAGAGTAATATTATATATATATAATATTAGATATTGTGATGAAAATGTTATTAATCCTGAATATAAATTAAAGGGATTAATTTCACATTCAGGACAAATAAATAGTGGTCATTATAAGGCTTATGCTTAAAGATAAAATTAATGGTATGAATTTGATGATGACATTGTAACAATTGACAAAAGAAACAGGCATTTAACTGATAAAGGAGCATACATAATCTTCTATGAAGCAATCTGAATTAAACCTAATATCCTATCTTTATTTTTTAAATTGAGTAAATATTGATATCAAAATTTAGTTAAATAATATAAAATCAAGATTTGGTTCTCTTTTCGTCTTTTAATACTTAAACTCTCCAACTTTCAGAAAACTCATTAAATTTTAACATAAATTCTTAATGAAATCCCATTCCTTCTTAATCAGGAATTTTCAATTTATTCATATTTTATTATTAAAGTTACTGTTAGATTTTTTTTTATTGTTATTATTACTATAACTATTATAATTATTATAATTTTTGCTATTATTAATTGCATTTTGATAAATCTATCTTCATTTTAACTGAACTTCTACTTTCTGTAGCATAAGCACTATTTTAATTTCTGTTTTCAAATCTTCTAATACTTTCAATTATACTTTCATCATCTAGTCTTCCATTATATTAAAAACTAGATTCATCTGAATCATTAACAACTGAATTATCAGCATCATGAAAACTTCTTTCAATTTTTGTGATAGCCAATCTAATAAATAAATTAATAATATACTTTTTATCTCTATTAGATTGATTTTATTACTCTGATAAAGAATCTTCATTCAATACTTCCTCATTATATATCTTTTCTATATCAATTCCTGTTCTACGAATAGCTAATACTAATTTAATTAATTTTGATTCTTTCTCAGACATTTCTGTAATTTTTTATTACATTAAGACAATCATTTCTTTTAATTAAGGAGTATCAACAGAATCAAGTTCCTTTTATTTATTATCTTATTTAAAAGGAGAGGGTCTCTCATTTTCTAATGTTAATTTTAATTAAGAAACAGTTTCTAATAGAACATCTCTTTCTTATTCAAGAGATTTAAAGTTATTTTACCAAATATCTCTTTCTCTTCTCATTTATTCAATCAATTCATTTAATTTTAAATCTTACTCATAAGCCATAAGAATAGCAGAATTTTAAAATAATTCAAATAAATTATTTGCAATTTACATAATGATATCTGACCATTACTATTCTATTTCTCTAACTTAGATTTATAATTAATTGAATAAATTCTTAAATTATACTGGAGTTCTAGCAAATTATTTAATAAAAAGATCTTTAAATGAATCCCATAAACCTCTTTACTTTAAATATTATTATTTCTTTTATTATTCTAATGTGGCACCTTAAATCTATTTATCTAAATTTAAAAATTAATCTATCAATTCTTTTGATTGACTAACTTATTATGATTAAATCTTTTTATGCATCAATGATTTTTCTCTTAACATATTTAATTAATTAATATCGAAATCTGCTGATTTTTTATAAGCTGATTTATTTTATCTACCTCCTGGACTTGATGAATCACAAGTTAAATTAGATTTAGAACTATAAAAGAATGATATTAATATTTATACACAAATAGGTTAGTATTATAAACCTATGAATCTCCTATAATTTTCTTTAATTTGAGTGCATTTTAAGAATTATACATAGAATCATCTTCCAATTAATTGCTTGTAAAACCAGAAATACGACTTTTCGAACTACTATTTGTACGATTATTTAATTCAGATAGATTAGTTTTATTGACTTTACATCTCTTCTCTTCTATAGATTTAGATGTAGTAGGTTATGGTTTGAATCTTTAATGACAGTATTTTTAAGGAATATGAAATAATTAACTAGATTCTGGTATGCTAACAGTCTTTATAATATTTGAATTCACATACAGGTTATGATTATTATTTTTTATAATCTTGAGTTGAAGTTTTTGAAGCTGTTTCTTTAACACTATTAGGAGTTGTTCTCATATATTCAAAGTTCGATAAATTTAATTAAATTAACAAATGTTTTATTCTGTTTTATTTTTCATAGCTCTCACAACACTAGTTTTTATAACTTTTATACTTCTAAACAAATCCTAATTATAATTTGAAGAGAAATTAACTTCTAAAACTATTATTATAGGACTTTTTGCACTTGTTGTATTAATGAATTAAATTTAATTGATGAGTCAATTCAAATAAACTAATAAACTTGCCAATATTTTTAGTGAATTAGATTTGATAGAAATGCCATCTAATACAAATATTTAAGAGCTTAGTGTTCCATTTAATAAAACTAAAGGAATATATTTTACTAATAATACTTTACCATTTAGTCTATAATAATAATTAGAGAATACATAAAAACCTTATTTACATATTAATTTTGATCATTATTCAGCATTAAATATTGATACCATTTATTTAAATAAGAAAATGAGTTAATTATAAAATGAATTACTCAAATAATAATCATAGCCAGCTATCTTACTTATTAAAATAGAATCATTTAATTAAGAATTCTTTGAATATTTAGAATAAATCTTTGAATTAAGTGAATGCACTTTAATTTTATATGGATCTCAAATTTAACAAATCAGACATATTTGTAATTATATTGATTCTTATTAGAAGTGCCATCCTTTTTTAGATTTTCATAGTAATTAGTAATTTGAGGAATTTTATATAGTTTTATAGTAAATATATATAAAACACAATATAAAAATATAAATAATCATTAAATTTACTGAGTTTTTCCTAATTTTTCATAGAACAATTTTATTTTTACGATTCCCTATTGCAAATTAAAGATTTTAATTAAATTTTGGAGTAGTCGTTGGAGATTCTTAATTTTTAGAGATGAACTTCTTATCACTCTTTAAAATAAATTCTTCATCTTTTGTAATATCAATCGATCGATATAATTATATTTATTGTTTAGGATCAGTTACAAATGGTGATTCAATACACATTTTTCTATTTGAATGTGAAATCGAAATTGATTGCCTATGTAATTGAAATTTATTTTGTTATTGATTTCGATTCTATTTTTAACCAACACATCCCATTATTGTATACAAAATAAAATAATAATATTAATGTTGTTTAAGAATGAAATTTTCAACATTCTTCAGTATTTTAATAATACCTCATAAATTAATCATACAAATCATGATATTACTCTTTTATTATAAAATTTAACTATTGATTGAATTGAAAAATAATAATAATTAATTGAATTCAACACTATAATGACGTAGTATGAAATGTTACTAATTAATTCATTTTTATTATTATTGTTAATTTCTTCATCATAATCAAATTATTTATTATATTAAATAAAAATTGCCTTAATGTTCATTAAATTTATATAATTATTATAAATATCATATAATATGACAAGATATCTTATATTAACACATAAATTTAAAATATTGTAAAATACTCTTTTCAAAATAGTTAAATTTCAGCAAATATCATTTTATATTAAAACAAAAAAATTAAAAAAATAAGTATAAATATTATTAATTAAATGAGTATAAATGAAGTATTATTTATTTGATTTAATTTCAATATGGGTTGTAATCCTTCAAAAATATCCATTCATGAACCTTAATTATTTTTAAATTAAAGAAAAATTGGAAGGAATCCTAAATAGTTAACAGATATCTAGTAAAATATTGACAGACATCTAAAATAATAATTAGGATAATCAAAAACAAATGCTTCCTCTCCAAATACTATAATAACATCTACAAGTATATTTTATCTTAATATTTAGGAAGTTCAAGAATTACAGATCATTAAATTGATATTTCAAAGTCTACCAATATTTTTTAAACAGACTAAGCTTCTTAACCACTTTAAAGAAGATCTTTATAATGATTATATATTTATATTATGTCACTTTAATTAAGAATCAATAAAATTTTAGTAAATCATTCTAATTTTATAAGATAGATGAAATGTGATCTAATACAAAGAATAACAAAAATTAAATCACAATTTAGGGCTATTCATTAATGATAACTTTCTCCTTTATTCTGGGGAATTCTTAATAAATTTAAATGGACTTTAAGTAATACTCTACCTCTTAGTTATATATTTTTGAAGTTCATCACTACTTACCATATGTTTTAATCTCCTTCCTATCTATGGAGAATGAGGAACGTTTATTTCACTATTAACTCTACCAGCCTATGGCTCAGTTTCTAATATTTTGCTTTATTAATTTAATTGATTCTATGATTGACTATTCGGATAAGTTGTTCTACCTTAATCTCTTGGTTAAGATCTAACTTTTTATGCAATGCAGCCCATTAAAATTAATAGTATGTTAATAAAATTAGCTATAATAATAATTTATTTTGTTTATAAAAAGTTTTATTTTTAACCCAGATTTTTGGACGATTATATCGATTCAATGATCTCAAACATTATTTTGTTAAATTGAATGTATAAGGCCTAATTAATTATCATTCTACCTTATTTTAATAGACCTTGAAATTTTTATGGTTTACCTTTATTATTCAATTATGAAATTATCTTTAAGAGTTTTTGATAGCATATTTCATTATATAAATTCTTTGGATTTTATGTAACTATTTTATAATAATTGTAAAATTTAATACAAAAATAAGTTTGCTAAAAGCGATATCTATTTTAATATATAAAAGTAAGAACTGAATTGATAAATAATTGGATTCATATTACAAAAATTCTTATTAATACATGATTAATAGTTTATACATTTAGTATTAAATCCAAATTTTCATTGTAAAAATAGTTAATAAAAAGATAGTTTTTTTATTAATTATCAAAGAAATTATAATTAATCTTTTTATTATTACATTTAAGAACTAGTTTTATTATTTTTTATGATTACTATCCTATTTATTAAATATTTAATTATTATTTCTCATTAAATATAATGATTAAGCTTTATTAACTTTGATAATATAACTTATAATTTCAGTTTAATATTATATTTAGATGAGAAGCATTAATTATTTACAATATCGAAATTTCAATTTAGATTAACAATTAATTTTATTGTACTATAAACTAAGTTCAATAATTTGTGTACAATTTATCTTATTTTATTTTATAAAATGATATTTAAAAATATTTTATAAGTATCTTTCTTTTAGATTAATTTTATTATATAGAATTTCATAAGATTAATAAACTTTCTACTTTAAAATTTCATTCAATTTTCTATTCTTCATTATTATCTAAGATAAGATTTTATTATTTTATTTTAGAATTAAGGTCTTTTAAATCTATATTTTATAGAAATATTGACTTAAGTATTGTTGAATGTAATAATTCAATAAATTATTCACTATAAATTCCTTTAGTATTTATAATAAAAAATTCATAAAATGTAAGTAAACTATATTTAGAAATAATAATTATATTAATTTAATATTGCAGTAAAGAATAAATAAATTAAATTTAGGATTTTTATGGCTTATTTAGAAGAAAATATAAACAAAAATAAATATAAATAAATTAGTACATGGGTTAAACTTGTTCCTGCAAATCGATGCTCTCAGTCTCAAATGCAGAAATAACAAGAAGAAATGAATTATCCTTAAGAAATGATAGCTAAAATAGCCCTTAAGAAAATTATTTATAAGTCGAAAAGTCTTCTAGAGCTTATACTACAGACTACCCTTAAAGATTTATCATCATTTATCCTGCCAAAAAGGAAAACTTTGATAGCCTTAGAAAAGAGCTTAAACACCTTAATAAAGACGCTTCATTTATCATTTAAGAGTGTGAAAATTTGAGTTAAGATTCAAATTTTTCTTTAGAATTCTCTAGCTATTTGCCTTCCTCTTTAGAGGATTTCAAATTATGAATTATTTTTAGTGTATATAACTATATTTTGTTTATTATTAAACAATACCAGTCAATATGGATAAGACTCTGTTTTATGCTTAAAGCTATCCTTTATCGATATAATGTTGTATAAATACTCTTTATAGTATAAACTTATAAAAATGTTAACCAAATAAAATTAAGTTTATGAATTATATGATCAATTTAATCTTAAAAATATAGATTAATTTTTTTAATACAAACATCTATTCTATATCTAATAAAAATCATTTATGTGGATGTTAATAGTTATACTTATAGAGGGTAATAGATAATTGGAAATAATTTCAAATTATTGATAAAATAAATATTTATAATTAGTATTTAGCCAATTATAAAAATTTGATTTGGTTAAGTAAAGATTATATAAAGAATTTTATGGAGAAGCATGTATAATAAATTTTATTTATTAATATCCCAATTAAATATGAATGAATGATAATTCTAGCATTTTTAAAATTGTTAAATTATATAATTATCTTTAAGCTCATTAGATCAAGTAATTTATGAACTTTTATCTAGATAATTATTATATTAAAAAATAAAATCTAAATCTAATTTAATAATAATTTGTTATTTGTTAGTTATAATATTTTATGGAAATTATTTAAATATCAACTAAAAATGTTGTCTAAAAATGATTTTTTTTCCTTTTATGGCTAAGGCTTTTAGGCTGGTTGTGGTTTAGCTGGAGGGGACTGATAAATTAGAATAAGATTAAGATTTACATGTCTTCTTGGTTGTGATATTGGAGGGCCATAAGATGATTGGGGAGCATATGAAACAGGAGCAATTCTTGAAGGCATAAAATTAGGTTGGACATAAGGAGCATATTAAATTTAAGGTTGTTAGAAAACTGGTTAAACAACTGGTTATACTGGAGCAAAATATTAAGGAACTTATTGAACAACAGATTAAACAACTGGTTATGCTACTACTTATTGAACAGGTTGATGAACTACTTATCTTTCAACTGGATAATATTCTACTCTATCTTAAAATTTATCAACAGGAACATATTCTAATGATGATTATTTATTTATATACCTGTAACTTTATCATAGAATACTTATGGAATATATTCAGTCTAATATTCAACAGCTTAGTATTCTGTCACATACTTTTCTCTTGGAACTTAGATTTTTTATCTGACTTCTTCATATTCAATAACTGATTTTTCATAGGGAATATATCTAAAATATATCTAAATAAGATTATTACTCAATTCTGCTTTCTCCTTTTATGACTTATTAGGCTGGTTAAACAGCAACTGGTTAAACAGCTACTGGTTGAACAGCTACTGGTTGAATAGCTACTGGTTGAACAGCTACTGGTTATGGATATTAAACAGGGGCACCAACAAAAGATTGTTAAAAAGGTAGATATGAAGGACTTGCAAATGGCATTGGTTGTGCATATGTTCTTGGTGGTGAATAGGCAATAGGATGTTATGGTGCTGGTGCTGGTTTTGAGAGAGGTTTTGTTGAGGCAGGATGATTACTCATATTTGAATGTTAAAAATTTTAATAATTTAAAAAGTGATCGTTAGTAATTTTAATTATTGTACAATGATACTAATCTACATACAATACTAGTTAAAATTATTAATTGTATATGAAGAATAAGAATAACTAATTTTATGTTTAAATATATCTTGTTTTTGGTTGGTATATGTTGTAGAAGTATTGTTAAAACTTTAATACTTAAAAAGGAATAATAATTTATTTAAAAATAGGATTTATGGAATTATGTAAGATGAAGAAATCAAGAAAATTTATTATTAGATTAATAAATGTAAATTTTATTGCTTTGTGTACCCTTATTAATTTTTGGGTAAAAAGTGAGGATTTATATATAAGATGAAGATGATGAATATTTAGTTTATGAGAACAATAAAGTTTCATTTGAATTCCTTCCTGATAATTTAAATTAAGGAATGACATGCAAACCACCTAAATCTTTTGGTATCTTGGGTACTAATGATGTAATTAGAATATCAAATTAAACTTTGAGAATAGAAAATGATGATATTATATCATACAATGTCTTTGTTTAACAAATAAATGAAAAAAGTACAAATATGTATTTTTATATATTTATAAAGAGAAACCTATAAACTTAAGTAATTTCAGATGATGATAAACTTAGACCTAAAACTTAGATCCTATTTAGACTATCATAGAAATGTCCATCAAAAGATCATCTTACATCTCAGAATTATTGGACACCTATTAAAGTCTAAGTTGGTTTTAATGAAATGAGTCAGGAGAATTATTAATTAATAGAATTTGCAATGATATTTTCATGTGACAAATCATTTAGAGATCTAACATTTGATTGGAGTCTTCCTATATTACTAATTATATCAACTATTTTGATTGCTTTTTTAGCTAAATATACAAGAATTCTTTCATTTAGATGGAAGAGAAAGGGATAAGATTTTTAAGGATTTGAGATCAATTATTTGATTATTGTGATCTATATACTTTTATATGCAGGTGGAGGCATGATTGTATTAGTAACAGATTTTTTAGATTTCATTAGATATTTATTTATTGTCATAGCTTGTACAATAGGCACACTTGCAATATTCTTTGTATCTGCTGAGGTAATTAAATTATATAATTATTTTAGTTTGCCTGTCTATTGAAAGCAAACTCATTTGTGAGAAAATATTATATAGTTTTTTCATCAATCATTTCTTTATTAATTGGGATGCCTTATTATTTTTTAAAGCCATGGTACTTGAATGACATCATTTCATTAGCATTTATAGTTCTTATTGTGAAGTTATTCAGACTAAAGAACTTTAAGTTTGCATCTTTCTTAATGGTATCAAATGTTGTATTAGATTCAACATTCGCCTTAATAATTCATTATACTTAAGTTGAATCTTACAATACTACTGTATTATAATATTTGAATTGCCCTTTAGAATTGCAATTCCCTTTAATTAAATTGTAATATAATAAAAATTGTGCTTGGATTTCCTTATTTAGTCAAGCTATACCAGGACTTCTTTTAAGTTTAGCTTATAGAATAGATAAAAGTAAAAGAACTTTCACTTATGGTCTGTAAGGTTTTTGTTCATTGATAATTGCAGAAGGTTTTTGGATTTTAGCAACAGTATCTGTGAAACATTCAATACCTGAAACTCTATTTACTTATCCAATATTATTAGGAACTTTAACAATAAATTCACTTAGAAGAGCAGAATTTAATTCTTTTTGGTTTGGAGATTATTTAATTGATGAAAGCTATTAAAGAATAAGAGGAGAAAGTTTAATTGATTATAGAATTCCTGACTTACAAATTAATGTGGATAATATTCCTGAAAGCAAAGTTTAACCAACAGATTTGTGATATTTTAAATAATTTAAATGTTTTAATATAAATATTTATTTTATTAATTTTATGGAATCAAATAAATCCAATATAATGGTTGCAACTGATGGATCATAAGCATCAAAATAAGCATTCTTTGTACCTTATTTTATAATATTAATTTTAGTAAGCAGTTGAGTTCTTTGAATATAAGAACATTTTCAATTAAATCATTGTAGCCCATGTCTCAGATGAATCCAAAACCTATTTGCCTTTTGAATTCTAAAGCACAACAATTTATGAAGATTATAAAATAGAATTATTATCAAGAGTAAAATGATTTATCTATTTATTCTTTAGTATCCAGAAGCAAACTACTAATTGATTTTTTAGGAGAAAGCTCAAGGTTAAGAGAATATTAGAAATTAAATATTGAATATTGCAGGAAATTTGAATGTCAGTTATCTGATAGTTGGATTTAATGGAAGAAAGGGAGTCAAATAAGATGCCACCATTTTAGGATAGACAGTGAGAAATTCAGTGTACAATAGTAAAATACCTTTGATAGCTGTTAAGAAACTCTATAAAAGAGATGAAACTAATGGATTTAAATTTGTGGTTTGTATAGATGGATCTAAGAAATCTTATAAATCATTAGAAAGTGCAATTGCTTTGTCTTTTGATGAACGTGATAGTTTATTGATATGTTTTGCTCCTACTCCTGATAGAGAGGCATTTGGAACTACTATTAAAACAAAGGTTGAAGAGTTTATGGCAAAATATTAAAGAAAATGGTAATATAAATAATTGGATGCATCTTATAGAGCAATAGAAAATGTGATTGAAATGATAAATAATTCAGATGATCTTGATTTTGTTGTATTTGGATCAAATGGATATAGAGCATAATTAGAGAACAAAACATTTTTTGGTTCAACAGCTGATGAATTATTAAAAAAGGCAAAGGCAAATATTATAATGGTACCTTGAATATAAAATATATAATAAAGTTAAATATATATATAATAATTAAATAACTTCTAATGTAAGAAACAATTTAGTTGAAACCGGTGACATAGAAGAAAAATAAAAGCAATTTTTTATTGGAAATGAATGAGAAAGATAAAGAAATCAATAATCAAATTATTAAGAACATGAATAAGAGAGTTAATTATCTAAAGAATCCTCGATTCAAAATTAACAAAGCACCGGTATTATTTTCATACATCAATACAAAGCAAGTAAGTTTAATTTGAATTTAATTAGGATATTGTTGTAGATAAAGATTAAATAACATCTTTTAGAGTATTTCCAAAATAATTGGTATTTAGAGAGTATATGTTGAATGGTATGTATGAAATAGATTTATATGTTACTAATGCTACTGGGACTTTGTAGAGAATTAAAGTGTTACCTCCAGAAAAGTGAGTTATTTAATATTATTTTAGAAAGGAGTTTCAGATAGCTGAAATTAAATATCCAACGAAAGAGGATGGATTTATAGCTCCAGGGATGAGTGCAATATTAAAGGTTAGATTTAATCCATCTTCATTGGCAGAGTTTGATGATACAATAGCCGTAATAACAGAAGATCATATTTTAAAAGTTCCATTATTAGCAAGAAAGGAACCACCTTAATTAGATTTACCATCATAATTAGATTGTTAGAGTTGTTGGATAGGTGATTAAGTAGAAACAAGATTTGTAGTTAAANTAGATGGATCTAAGAAATCTTATAAATCCTTAGAAAATGCAATTGCATTGTCCTTTGATGAACGTGATAGTTTATTGATATGTTTTGCTCCTACTCCAGATAGAGAGGCATTTGGAACTACTATTAAGACTAAAGTTGAGGAGTTTATGGGAAAATATTAAAGAAAATGGTAATATAAATAATTGGATGCATCTTATAGAGCAATAGAAAATGTGATTGAAATGATAAATAATTCAGATGATCTTGATTTTGTTGTATTTGGTTCAAATGGATATAGAGCATAATTAGAAAATAAGACATTTTTTGGTTCAACAGCTGATGAATTATTAAAAAAGGCAAAGGCAAATATTATAATGGTACCTTGAATTTAAAATATATAATAAAGTTAAATATAAATATATATATAATTAAATAACTTCTAATGAAAGAAACAACTTCATTGAAACCGGTGACATAGAAAAAAAATAAAAGCAATTTTTTATTGGAAATGAATGAGAAAGATAAAGAAATCAATAATCAAATTATTAAGAACATGAATAAGAGAGTTAATTATCTAAAGAATCCTCGATTCAAAATTAATAAAGCACCGGTTCTATTTTCATATATCAATACAAAGCAAGTAAGATTAGTTTGAATTAACTTAGGATATTGTTGTAGAGAAAGATTAAATTACATCTTTTAGAGTTTTTCCAAAATAATTGATATTTAGAGAGTACATGTTGAATGGTATGTATGAAATAGATTTGTATGTTACCAATGCTACTGGGACTTTGTAAAGAATCAAAGTGTTACCACCTGAAAAGTGAGTGATTTAACATTATTTTAGAAAGGAGTTTCAGATAGCAGCAATTAAATATCCAACAAAAGAGGATGGATTTATAGCTCCAGGGATGAGTGCAGTATTAAAGGTTAGATTTAATCCATCTTCATTGGCAGAGTTTGATGATACAATAGCCGTAATAACAGAAGATCATATTTTAAAAGTTCCATTATTAGCAAGAAAGGAACCACCTTAATTAGATTTACCATCATAATTAGATTGTTAGAGTTGTTGGATAGGTGATTAAGTAGAAACAAGATTTGTAGTTAAAAATTCTGGAGGAGAAGCAGGTTATCGTTTTTTTATTAATAATCAATAAGATTAATAAGAAGAAGAGAATTATATATAAATTGGTAATTTCTATTTATCACCTGCTGAATTCTTCTTACATAAAGGTGAAACTTAAATCATTTAAGCAATATTTAAACCAGATGTTGAAGGTGAAGTTATTGAAAACATTATATTAGGATGTGATAATTTAACTTAGGCTACATTAAAATTGATTGGTAGAGGAAATATGGTAGAATTAGGAATATTAGGAATTGATAATATTAATTTAGAAAATTAAGAACAATTATAAAAGATATTTTTTAATGATCCTATTCCAAAAGTTGAAACTAGTAGACAATTAAAAATAAGAAATAAAACATCTGTTAAAGTTAAATATCATTGGTATCTATAAAATGATGATAAGGAATTAAAATTAGAAGATGAATAAAATAATTATTCTATTTAACCTTAAGAAGGATATTTTTAACCTAATGAAGTTATAGATTTTAAGATATTTTTAAAGAGTGAAGAATATTATCCACTATTTTAAACAGCCTATTTAATTATTGATGATATTCCATTTGAAAGTATTAGAAATCCACCTCCTAATTTAAAATAATAATTTGAAAATAATTCATAATCAGTTGCTATTGGATCTAATAGTATTAAACCATCAATAACATACTTTGAATTTGAATTAATTAGCAAGTCTGCACTTGGAGAAGTGAGTGTTACACCTCAATTTTATAAATTTCCTATTCCTATTTGTGTGAATACTTTGGCTTAATATAAATTTAAATTATCAACAACATCAAAAACTTAAATGAAATATTAAATTAATCCACTTCAACTAGATTATTTCTATATTTAAGATAAATAAGGAGTTATAAATAATGAAGCTGAAATTGTCTTAGGAATATAAAGTTCTGAAGTTGGTCATAAGAAATTAGAATATAGAGTAGATTTTGATTATGCTAATTCTATTCTAATTACAGTTTTTGCTGAAATTATAGCTCCTATTATATCAGTAAAATAGAGTTGGTTAAATTATGGCTTGATTTAAACTTATTCATTAGAATCATAAGAATTAACTATAAATAATTTATCACCAGTTCCTGCTTTAATTAAAGCATAATCTGGATCAGATTAAAGATTATTATTTAATAAAGATTAATTTGAAATCAAACCAAATAGTTCAATTTCATTTAAAGTAGAGTTTTAATCTAGAGAGGCTGAAACCTATAATGATTTCTTATATTTTTAGGTTGAAAATGGAGATTGTATTGTTTTAGATGTATTTGCTGAAGTTCAAAATCCAAGTGTCTCATTAAATAGATTATCTCTTAATATTGATACACTTTATTGTGGTAATACATACACATTTGATTAAAGAGCATAATAATACATTTAATTATAGAATTTAGGTAATATCAGTACTCCTTTTGAATGGGTTGTTGATAATGAAAAATAAGATAAATATTTGGTTTAATTTGAACCTAAAAAAGGAGTTCTTAAACCTAAAACAAATTAAATTATAAAATTCTCTATAAAACCTAAAGAAGGTGGGAAATTAAATGAACTCTTTGTTTGTGAAGTGCAAGGATTGTAATATCCATTAGGATTTGAAATGAATACTATGATTTATGGTTTATCTGTAGAATATGAATTAGTTGATGATAGTGCACATATATCATCTAAAACATCAGTCAGTTCTAAATCAAAAAGTCTCAAAGATTCTAGGAAATCACTTTTAAAAGCAGATACTGAAATAAAAAATTAATAAATGGATAAATTAGAATTTTATAATTGTACAATTAATTAACCAAAACAAGCTAAGTTTTTAATTAAGAATACATCTGGTATTCATACATAATTTAATTTGTATATGAGAAAATATTAACCACATGCATTAGAAGAGTAATCAACTATTTTTGATGATTTTGATGCTAAATCATAAGCAGCAAGAACAATTAAATTTGCTGAATCTTCTATTTCTAAATCTGTATCAAAAAAAGGAAAGATTACTTAAGGAGGTAGACCTGTAGTATTATTAACAAATAAGATTGAGAAAACACATAATTTTACTTCTGAAGCAGGTCTTAAATTAAATAAATAAAAGAAGATGGAACATGATTAAAGAGTTTATCTATCTAATAATTTGGGTATTGCAGTTGTATTTGAACCATCCTCTGGTACATTAAATGCATATGGATCTGTTGTTGTTTAAGTAACAGTATTTAATGATATTTGTGGATTATTTGAAGATTTAATGTGTTGTGATATTAGAGGACTTCCTACTAAAGAATTTCCAATTGCAATAGATATTAAAGGATCTCCTATTGTAATTAGTCCAAGTCAATTAGGATTTAATTACAAAACAGATTTTCCTACATTTGATTTAGGTACTTATATGAGAAACTTTGGTACAATCAGTAGAGATTTTAGAGTTATGAATACAGGTCCTTAAGATATTGAATTGGAATGGAAAATTTATAATTTAGGAAATAGTACTATTTCTGATTATTTTGAAATTAAAATAACAGAACCATAATTAGGATCAGATTAATTATGTGATGTTTAATTTATAGCAAATGAACCTCCAGAATCAAAGGATGGTCCATTTTAAGTAGTACCAAATAAAGAGAGAATTAAATAAAGGAAAGAGAAACATTTTACTTTACATTTTACTACATAAGATACTGGAAATTATAGTGCATGTTTAGTTGCAAGACCAAGACTTATTAATTAAGATAAAACAATAGGAGAAGTAGCTTTTTATGTAAAAAGTGAAACTATTACACCTTATTTGACATTTGATAAGCTTGAAAAATTGGAAGGAGGATTTTAGGTTAAATTTTAGAAATGGTCTAGTGGTTATAATTAAAAATAAGAAAAAAAATTAATTTTAGTTAATAGATAAAAATCAAGTTTTGTATGTACTTTTGAAATTGAAGGACCATTTAAAATAATGTAGACTTCAACCAATTCACCTTAAAAATATGAACTTGGTATGAAGACAGAAATAGCAAAAACATTCAATTTAGTAACAGATTCACATGTAGAATTACTAATAAAATTTGAAGGTTATTAACCTAATGATCCAGTTAATTGGCCTCTTACTTATAAAGTGTATCATCATGGATCAATTAATATATTTTATGCTAATGGAGATAAACAATCAATTGAATTAGAAGGGATTTTATTGAGACCATTTGTTCATTTAAATACTTCTGGGATTGATCAAGTAGAAGGACCTGAAGTATTGGATTTTGGAGATGTATAAGAAGATAAAACTATTGCTATTTATTTATCAAATTTATCATTAGTACCTGCTTAATGGAAATTATAACATTAAAAAAATCCATTAAGGAAAAATATAGTTGATAGAACAATGACTTTAGAAGACAAAGAAGAAATGAAGAAAACTGATGATCCATCTGTGTTTGAATTTTAAATTACAGAAGGTAAATTAGATGGACCATCTACAATGGTACACACTTTACCACATGCTACATGTTTACCTTATCAAATAACAATTGATGATATAAGAGAATTAGGTGTATAACCATTTAAAATTCTCATTAGATTCAAAGTAAATATATTTATTTAATTTTCAAGCCTACTGGTGAATTATTATATAAATCAAAATATAGAATAAAAGTATAGGATGGCCCTAGTGTGGATTTCATTCTCAGAGGCACTGGCAAAGATTTAATCAAAAGAAAAGTATGAACAATTATATAATTTAATGGTTTAATTTTTATTAATAATTTATTAATAATATAATGGATTTGAATTCAAATGCAGATTTTCCCTCTAACATTTAAACAGATGGGTTGATATAATTAAAAAGAGAATAAGTGAGAAATTCATAAAGAAAAGAAGACATACAAAATAAATTGCTCCAAAAAAGACAACAATACATTTATTAATATGAATAATTGTATCTAAAATAATAGGAACTCAGAAAAGAGGTGTGTTTGTATTATATTTTAAGGAACTTGCCTTAGTGTTCAATAAATCTATTGAATAAGTTAATGATCACTTTTATTTAAATGAAGTGACAGCTGCTCTAGAAATTATGGTGAATTTAGAATCCAAACTTGAAAATATTACAGATATACCTGAACAATTATGTGTTAGTTCATTTACAAATGTTTTGAACCAATTAGTGGCACAATTGTCTGCCAATAATCAATTAGAATTCTACCTTTTAACTTTATCCTTTGATTCCATAAATATATCACTCTTTCCTTAAGAATAATCAGTTATGAGTGACTATTATTCCAAGACATTAGAGTTACTTAAAAAAGAGAAACATAGACATGCCTAACATTTCCTTACAAAATTATATTAAAATAATCCATTATGGTTTGAGGCAGTACTCTTTTAAGAGTTTCTTTAAATCAATAAGAAATTATTTGAACTTCTACTCAAACATATCGAAAACTAAACTGTTTGGATAATATTATCTTAATTGAAATTTGTTCCTTATGATAACTTAATATTTTCAACAATATTAAAAAACATTTCAAAGAAGAATGCTTTCCTACTCTTGAGAAAGACTTTATGTTAAGAAGAGTACTAAATAAAATACATCCAAGCTAATATCTTTTATCTATTTACCTAAGTATTATAATAATCAGATGATAAACAATACTTCTTAAATGAAGTTATAGATTGCATTCTTAGCATTTGTTGTGTAATTATTATAATATATAAACTTTAAGCTAAAATTTGAATTATTCGAAAAAGTAATTACTTCTGGTTTAGCCCTTGTTATATCTGCTTAATCGATTAAGGATTTCACTGTTGAAGTAAAAACCATATTTTATTTTAGGGAGTCTAAAATTTATAAAGGATTGTTTACTGGATGTGTAGCAGTAAAAGTGAATTATTGAGTAAAAACATTAAAGAAGGGATATGGTTTTAGAATATTTTCTTAATCTTATTGCAATAACAATTGAATCATGTAGTCTAAATTAATACTTTGGATATATTGAAATAATAGTTTAAATCAGATTTAGGTTGTCATTTCAAAGAGTTTTTCAGAACTACATATTAAGTACCAGATAATATCTAAATTTTGATCGAAAGATACTTATGAATAATTAATATATTTTTGGTTAAACATATTCAAAATTTAATCATAAGTCCCTAAAATTTTATTTCTCTTAAGTGACCTTTTTAAAGGCCTCCTAAAAGTCTGAATCAATAATAAACTCTTATTATTTTTCTATGGCTATATATGCACTTTCGTTTGTAATATTTTCCATATCAGCTCCAGAAAAGCCATTTGCATTCTTGGCTACTAATTCAATCATTCCAGAAGAAATTTAATGTTTTTTCTAAAGAAATCATAAATTTTTCTATTACATTATGTAAATGAACACCAAGAATACCTTTTCTATCATTTTCTGAAGGTAATTAGATCTCTATTTTAATATCGAATCTACCACTTCTCAAAAGAGCTTCATCTAAAATCTAAATTCTATTAGTTGCTGCAATAACAACAATATTTTCATTTTCTTTAAATCCATCTAATTCTGTGAGTAATTAATTTAAAGTACTTACCCTTTCATTATCACCTCCTGTTTCTGATCCAAAATTTTAATTTTTCCTTTTATATGCTATGCTATCAATTTCATCTATAAAAATAATTGCTGGAGCTAATTATCTTGCTTTTTTGAACAATTCTCTTACTCTCTTTGGACCAGTACCAACATATATCTCCATGAATTCTGTTGCTGAACAATATAAAAACTACACATTGCTTTCTGTTGCTGTAGCCTTGGCAAGCATTGTTTTTCCTGTACCTGGTGGACCATAAATCATGACACCTCTCCTTAATCTGGCACCTACATTTCTAAATTTTTATGGATCCTATAAATATTCAATGATTTATTAGAGTTATTTTTTTGCATGATCTAATCCATAAATGTTTGCAAATTTGACTCCTGTAGAAGAGGCAATCATAGATTTATTAGCAAGTTTCTATAAATTAATGATATAAGATGCAAGTATGCCAAAAGTATATGATAATGCTGCAATGCTCATTATTAAATACATCATTTATTTTTCAGAGTAATAGATTTAAGTGGAATTTTAGAATCTTGGAACACCATATTCCCTTGAATGCATATAAGAGATTCTTACATTAATGCCTTCAGCAATTCCTTTCCCTTTATCATGGGATCAGCCTGTGTTGATAGCCATTAGGCTTAATTAACACATCTAAATAAAATGTGAGTTCCATCATAAATTACTTCTTCAACTAATTTCTTTTGTAACACCAACATAAAATTGCTGATTTTCACAAGTGGCAAAGATGGTTTTGCTTTTGCTTTATATATACAAAAAAAAGCAATTAACATAGCAGCAGAAGCTGATACATTCAATTTATCATTAAATTTGCGTAGTACTATTTGCATAATTTATCTAAAATTAACCATATTTATTTTTAATATATTAAATAATATAAATTGTTCTAATTTGCTGTTAATTTAAGTATTTCAAACATTGTTATATATATATTTTCTTAAGATTCACAGTAGTAATTATTATAAAAATAAATATTCAAAAGATGATTTTGATAAATTCAAAAATAGTTAAAGCAGGATTGATTGGACTTATTGGCATCACTTTAATAGCCTAATAATAATAAAATCGATTTAAATGTGCTGCTCCCTATTTTTCATTCATTTCTCATACAGAATTATAATAATTTCGTCTGAGGTTTCCCAGTCTTTATGTATTAGATAAATTTCAAGTTGAACATATATTGAGTGTAATTCGAAACAAAACTACATAAACTAAAGTAGTATCATTAATAATTTTAGCATTTTAGATTATATTCTGATCGATTGATTAGATTACTAATAGAAAAGGCTGTGTCAGAGCATATCAAAAAAATGTCACCTTAAGATGGATAACAAACTTTATAATAATAAGTGTTAAGTTTTGAGTAGAACTAATTTTGTGTAGTAGTGATGATAAGATCTGGAAATGCATTTTTAGGAGAAGCCCTAAAAGTGCTACCAGGTACATCAGTTGGATTCATTTTAGTTTAGGAACATCCTTAGACTAAGGATCCATAATTAATCTATTGTAAATTACCAGATGATGTGGATCAAAAATAAGTAAAATTAAACATAATAAATTAGGTAATTCTTACAGATGCTATGATAACAACTGGAGGTAGAATAACTACAGCTATCAAAGCATTATTATCACATGGAGTAAGTTAAGATAATATTACTGCAGTGAATATAGTTTCATGTGAAAAAGGTCTCTCAAAGGTTCTTCATTAATTTCCTAAAGTAAAAGTAATTACTGCAGGAGTGGATCATGCATTAAATACTATATAAGATCTACGTTTCCCAGGAGTAGGAGATTTTGGAGATAGATATTTTGGAACTGTAGATCAAAAATGAATATTTTATTTTTAAGATTGTTCTTAAAAATTATACAATATTTTTAGCTTGATTATTTGCATTATTTAAAATACAATATTTAGATCAGAGTTTGTCCAAATATTCATTAAGGTCTGGCAATTAAACTTTGATACCTTTTCTCTTTCTGATGGACAATACTAATTCATTAACCTAAATGATTAATTAAGAATAATACTTTGCTTCCTACTTCAAGTGGATTACCATTAACAACAGCCCAGTGATCAAAGACACATTGAGGGAAAGCTTGTCCTTAAGTCATACCTCTTAAATGGGCAGTGAAACCGAAAGATTCAGCGACTGGTAAATGAGCTCTAACCTATGAAAATAGAATAATATTGATACCACTGAAAGTGGGGTTCCTGCAACTTATTCTTCTTCAATGACTGTTCCTCTTCTGGTGTTGAGACAATTATATACACCACCAGTAGCGTCATTTGGTGCAGTAATTTCAGCCAAGAAGACTGGTTCTTATAATCTTGGTTAAGCTGTCAATTCGCATGCATAATACAATCTTCTGGCAGTTGGAATGATTTAACCACCTCCTCTGTGAATAGCATCAGCATGTAAAACACAATCCAAAATGTTGACTCTGACACCTCTTTGATTTTCTTCACAAAGTGGTCCTTCTTTTGTTGACCATTACCAAGCAGATTCCATTGATTCTCTTAATTCATTCATATATTAAACACCTGATGTTTTGTCCATCAAAATGTTTGCACCACTGTTATCTGGTCCAAAAGTCCAAATTCTGAGTGCATCATCCTTATCCCATTCATAATCTTCATTAAGAGATTTGGCTCTTAGTTTTGGATCATCTTTTGGTGTAATTTATCCTTTTTCAATAGCATCTGGTAAATTTTAATGTAATGGAGTAGCTTAAGCATAAATTCTGTTATGTTTATTTGGTGATTTAGACATACAAACGATGTTTGAAATAGCAGTTACAGTTTCCTTATATGAGACAATTGGGTCAGATTTAATAAGTTCAATACCTGCAAAATCTTTTTCTAAATCATTTAAACAGATTTCAACGTGTAATTCACCACATCCAGCAACAACGTTTTATCCTGATTCTTCTGTTGTACATAAGACTAATGGATCAGATTTTGATAATTTCTTTAATCCATCAACTAATTTTGGTAAATCTCCTGGGTTCTTTGGTTAAACAGCAACTCTGACAACTGGAGATACTGAATATTTCATTGATCTGATTAAATGGCAATCTGGATGATCTGAGATGGTACCAGTCTTCATCAAATATTGATCAACACCGACCAATCCGACTGTGTTACCACATGGAACATCTGGAATGTATTCAACTCTACTGGCCATCATAAGAACAGTTCTTTAGATAGCTTTTTCAAATAAATCTTCCTTCTTTCCTACTTTGTAATTGGCTCCCATGATTCTAACCTTTTATCCTGTAGCAATAGTACCAGAGAAAACTCTACCAAAAGCAAAGAATCTTCCTCTATCTGTAGTTGGCACCATCTTTGAGACGTACATAATTAATGGTCCCTTTGGATTGCATTCTCTCATTGATTAAGCAATAGCATCATCTTATGGTCCTTCATATAAATATGATGTTCTGTATTTTTAAGCCTTTCTTGGTGATGGTAAATGGCAGACAATCATTTCAAGTAATGTATCAGCTGCATTAATCCATTTAGACATAACAGCCTTAAGTAAATGTTTTCCTCCTAATTTTGCTTCTTCTTATGTGAGTTTTAATCCCAAAGTTTCAAACATTTTATTAGCCATATCCATATTACCTTCCATAACTGCATTAGCTAATTTACAGATTGGGTCCATGATAAAAGCAACAAATGCTCTTTTCATTGGTTTACCTGATCCACTTACACTGTCTTTTCTCCAGCATTTTCCTTCAGCATCAAAGTAATTGTCTCCCCACAATCTTTCTTATAATTTAAGTGGTTCAACCTTGAATTTATTAGCATAGATTCTGGCAAATCTTGTGCATGAGAAAGCCCAGCATTCTTTTCCTGAACCAAATGAAACAGATCCAAGTTCTGGATGAACAAGAAGATCACCCATGTCCTCTTATTAATAGGTGTTGATGATAACATTAACCATATCAACAACTCTGACAAAATTTTAATACATAGTTTCACCATCATGTTTTAATTCCAAAATAGCTCTATCAATTTTGTTAACCATGACAACTGGTTTGATTTTCTCTTGCATAGCTTATCTCAACACTGTTTCTGTTTAGACACAAACACCTTCGACACAATCAACAACGACTAGTGCACCATCAGTAACTCTTAAGGCAGCTGTGACTTCTGAACTGAAATCAACGTGTCCTGGAGAATCAATCAAGTTGATCAAAAACTTTTCTAATGTCTTGTTATCATAGATGTCATATTCATAATAAAGAGAAACACCAGTGGATTTGATAGTAATACCTCGTTCCTTTTCATCATCTCTAGTATCTGTTGCTCTTGCATCACCAGCAACTTTGGAGGCAATAATACCAGCTTTGCATAACAATGAGTCTGTGAGTGTTGATTTACCATGATCAACATGGGCAATGACAGACATATTTCTAATGTTATCTTATTTGTCCATGATCTCTCTGATCTGATCCACTGAAAAATTTACCATATGTTTTTAACTTTTTAAAAAAAAGATTTAAATTTCCCCATAATTAAATCGTGGTTTTATATTAAATGAGCACAATTATAAAATTTTAAATAAAAATTAATATTTCACAAAAATCAGAAATTCTTTAATAAATAATTTTTATTATTTATTTTTATAATTTTTTTTATTTATTTTTTATATTATTTTATAATTATAATTCTTAAATGAAACCTTATTTATTTTTATCATCAAATTTTTATTTTGAATATCTGAGCTAAATATTTACAGAAAAAAAGTCTAAACTTTCAAGTATTCTTTAATTTAATATCTAATTCAAATGAATTTTTTTATAATATAAATTTTGTAAAGTTATTTTAGTTATAAGATAAGCAAAATGATTCTTTTTTATATTTGTATTTTAAGAAATTAATTGTTTATCATAAAGTAATTTTGGTTTTCTAGAAAAAAACTTAAATAAAATGGAGTGCACTCTTTTTTTATTTTAAACGGATATTTTAATATTTATATAAATAAATTAGAAATTTGAGTGATTTTTACAGATTTTATATATAAAAATATCACTCAAGAGTAAATGATAATTTATAAATCTAATATAATATATATATAATTTATTTCATTCTTACTTTTATTCTACCTGTTCCTCTTATTATTGAACTTTTTCTGGAGCTTTATCTTATTTAGTTAAATGAGTCATATATTTGTGCCATCTGATCAAATTTTATAGAACAGGATCAATATCTTTGATTTTAGCAAATTCATCAAAGTCTCTTTTTCCAACAGAATATCCATCTCCTTCTAAGAACATCTTTTCTTATAATTCATCATTTAATTTTAAATGAGAATCATCATGTTCATGAATTTCAACTTCTACGTTAGATTTAGGTGGTTTAAGGGATTCAAAGAATTTACACAATTAAGGAATAGTCAACTTACCCTAAATTAAAATAAATAGACAAAATTACAATTCTAGTACTTTTTTCACAATCTCTGATATCAATAACACCAGCACGTACTTCTTCTTAACCAATAACTCCAATAAAGTTATAGTATTAGATTTAAGAATTACGAACCTTCTTAGCAAGAGTTTAATCAGAATCATCAGTAAAGACAGTATATCCTTCTAATCTCAATCTTGCAGCTACTTTTTCAGCAACATCCTTATAGTAAGCAGATACTGGACATAGGAGTAATTATTTAGGAGATAACCAAAATGGCCATTTGCCTCCACATTATTCAGTTAAGATAGCTATCATTCTTTCCAATGATCCTAAAATAGCTCTGTGGACGATGACTGGTCTTGCAAATCCTGCCTTTAAATGATGATATCCCAATTCATATTTCTTTTCTAGAAAATATAATAGATGAAAAATACCATGTAAGACTTTATTTAGTTCATGTTATGATAATCCTTAACTTGATCCAGATTCAATTATTTCTTCTGGTAATTTTTATTTTATTTATTATTATTATTATTATTATTATTATGATTATTTTTATTTTTTTTATTTTTATTGCTTAACGTTCTATTCTTAAGGTACTTTTTCTTCAGCAGGAATTTCAGTAGTCTATTATTAAGTAGGATTAGATATATTTTCAGTGTCTGAATGATGAGAAGCCTTTCGAGCTACATCAATAATTTCTTAGGCAACCTAAACTTATTCATTGTGAACCTATTCTTTATCCTTCTATACTTCTTATTCATCTTCACTAGCTCTATATTATAAATTAAATCTTTCAGGTAAATTGAAATCTAATTAAATGGTACCACATTAATGTTCTCTTTTATAGGCATCATATAATTTGACATCAATTTTAGGCCCATAAAAGGCACCATCTCCAGGATTTACTTCAAAATGTTTTCCAAATTTCTTTAATCCTTATTCTAATTGATATTCAGCATTATCCCAAACTTCCTTGGTTCCTAAGAATTTCTCAGGACGAGTACTGAGATACAATTTGAATTCAAATCCAAAGAGCGAATAAATATAACTTAAGAATTCAAGACAACTCTTGATTTCTTCTTAAATTTAATCCATTCTACAAAAAATATGTGCATCATCCTATTGGAAACGACGAACTCTAGTTAATCCACTCAAAGCACCATGTACCTCATTTCTATGTAAGACACCAAAATCAGCAAATCTTACTGGCAAATCTCTATAACTATGTTGAATCATATCAAACATTAAACAATGTCCAGGACAATTCATAGGTTTTAATCCATATTCTCCCTCTTCACCCATATTAATAAAGAATAAGTTTTCCTTATACTTATCATAATGTCCACTTATCTTCCAAAGTTAAGCATTGAAAATATTTGGTGAAATAACTTCTTAATATCCCCTAATATAATATTGTCTTCTCAAAAAGTTCATTAAAGTATTGTAAATATGAGCACCACTTGGATAAAAGAAGGCTGATCCAGGGGATAATTGATGGAAGAGATATAAATTCTGTTTCTTACCTACATTTCTGTGATCTCTTAGAGCTAATTCCTTTTAAATTTAAACATATTCATCTAACAATTTCTTACCTGGGAATGAAACACCATAAACTCTTTATAAATCATCATTGGTGTTCTTACCCAACCAATAAGCAGCTGAATTTTTAGTTACTTAAAATGCCTTAACATAACCAGTATTAGGTAAATGTGGACCAGTACATAAGTCAATTAAATTACCACATTTATAAGCAGTAGTCATAGCACCTTCTGGAATCTTATTGGTAATCAATTATCTCTTAAATGGATTAGTACCAAATAATTCTAAACTAAAATATAATGATAATTAATAATACCATTCATCTTTAGTTAAGACAGCTCTTTGAAATTCTTATTTGGATGCGACTAGATCTTAAGCTGCCTTCTCAATTTTCACATAATCATTCTAAGTAACCTTATAATCTCCTATGTAACAATCATAAAAGAATCCACCATCTATTGCAGGACCAATGCATAAATGACATCCATATACTTCTTCCAAAGCGGATCCCAAAATGTGAGATGATGAATGCCAAAATACTTCCTTTCCATTTTTATCATCAAAACTTAACAATTCCAATTAGCAATCTCCTTCCAATGGTCTACTCAAATCCCATATCAAGTAATCTGATTTCAAAGTCAATGAAGATTCTTAGTATTATTAATCGTCATGATCTACATCAACAAAATCTATTCCTATATATATATTCATACTTTTTTCAAATAAACTATCATAAACAACTTTAGCAGCCACCATGTTTTCAGCAAACTTTTTATTAATTCCTACTGCAATCATCATTGGAGTAGTAACCCATTTTTACCTAAAATATTAAAATATATAAAACCTTCTATTTTTTTTCCATCCTTTAGAGTAACAGTGATTGGAATCTTTTCTTTAGCTTCTAGTTCTGCTTTTTGGCGTTGATATATTTCATTAAACAATTTCAATCTTTTTTCTTAATAAACAGGCTTTCCAATTTTAAAAGGTCCTCCTATCTTATTTCCAGTTTAAACTATCTGTCCTTCAGTAGCTTCTTTCAATCTCTATCCTTATTGCATAATTAGTTAAATTAATTTAAATTCTTTCTCTAATTATTGTTACTATACAATTATTAAATTCTTTCATCAAATATTTAAATGCCAAACATAATTAAATTATCACATAAATTCTGATAATAGATTATATATAAATAAGCATGATTAATTAAAAATATAACTATATAGAATATTGAATCTAAAAACTTAGGTATAATTAAATAAAATATGGCAAAATTTCTTATTGTTAAAGTTGTTAATTCTTGAAATTACACTAGAGAATAGGACTATTTAATAATATAAGTAATTAATACCATAGAACTTATTAAAGTTAATATCATTTAAAATTAGATCATATATGTTATTAATTTATATAGATAGATCAGTTAAACATAGATATTTATCAGTATCATATTTTAAATGATATCAAGATTCTTGTCTTATTTAATATTATGTAATGTTTGTAGGTGTCATTCCTATCATGAAAAAATAAAGATACTAAATTTTCCTTAAAGATTTCAATAGTTTTTTATATTAAATTATGATTAATTAATATATTGAAGCTGTTTATTAATTGTTGTTCATAAGAAATCTATTTACAATCGATTAAAATTTTATCTTTCTGTAATTATTTTAAACCATATATAAATTTACAGGAGCTTTTGTGAACCTAACTGTTATAGGATTTCTTTTTTCAAAGAAATTTTGTAAAATCTATTAGAAACTATGTTTAGTATTTCAAAAATTATTTTAATTTTCAATTAGAACTTACATCATTTCATTTTTTAATTGAAAATAGTGACCAGTACTGAATAAATAATGGTTTCTATATTTATTAAACAGCTTTAACATTATATGCTTAGACTCCTATAAAAGAATAAATTAATTAATATTGTAAAAGTTTATAGTAATTGATGTCTTTTCGAAAAACAACTTTCTCTTAATACTCTAGTAATGTCTTAAAGCTTGACTTTGAATCAGAAAATTAATCTGCAAAAACTCTTTAGAAATCCAATTATACTATAACTACAGACTATAACTCACCTTAAGGTAATCTAGATAGTCTTGACAACTTATTGGATTAAAAGTCTTCAAAGAAGTCACGATTCTTTTTTAGCTAAAAAATTGATAGTGAAGAGAACTTTAGACATATTAAGACAGAGAGCGATTTATAATAGAAGGAAGTAAAAGAAGTTCGTCCTTTTCGCTTTAGAAGGCGAGAAATCCAACCAAAAATAGATTTAAATGATAAGAATGATGTAGATGAATTTTTTACTGGAGTGGAAATACCAAGAATAAGCTAATAAGCCTAAAAATAAAATCCATATCAATTAGTGACCTTCACTGATTATGTAGAAAACCTTTATGGAAAAGATTGGTTTTACTAAAGAGAGAGGAAATTTAAGAGATAAATCACAGTTTAAGATTTCTTTGATACCCCATGTTGACTTTTATTTATTTATTAAAATGAAATTTATTCCATTTTCACCATTAATCGACTTTGATTTTAGTAATTATTATCAAAAATAAAATTGAGATTTACAAATTAGATGATAGTCTAAGATCTTTACTAATTTAAATAAATATAAATCAGTATCCATTTGTTAGTTTATATTCTTTCCAATATGAAATATTATAATCAACAAATCCATCCTTTTATAATTTAATTAAGAATTTAATTCTAAAATTACAATACAATAGAGGACTATTAGAAATTTGATCATTTTAATTAATGTTGAATGAATTTTTGAAAATATGAATCATAAACTAATAATCATGATAATTAATTGATTTTTAGAAAATTATGAAAATTAATGATTTTTTATAATAATTATCACTATTTATATAATAATAAAATAGAGCTGAATGTAAATATTGAAAATATAATTAAATGAATGTTAAAACAAAAAAATAAGATTCATTTAATTAAGCTTAATTGAATGGCTAATTAAATAAGCTTTAATACCTTAATTGATAAAAAGTAACTCATTCAAGGAACAATTATATAATATAGAAATTATATTTATTAAAGGTATATGATAATATTCTGAAAGACATTTTAGAAATAACTGTAGAATTAGGGATAAAAAAAATAGATTGAGGAATTCTAAAATATTGATGGAGATAATGAATTTTTTGTGTTATTGATAATTTAATGAAATTGAATTTAAATATATGTAGATTTATGTAAGAAATTTAAATTAAAACTCTTTGATATTATATTGTTATGCTATATTTCAAAGGATTTAATTATATAAATTCAGGTTTATTTTATAATTTAAACAATATAAAAAATGAGTTAAGGAATGAATAATAATTCTTAAATACCATTTTTAGGTATTGCACAAGATTTGGACTTATGCTAAATGTTTTTCAGGTATGACATTGAACTTATTTATAACATGCTAATAATTTATTGATATCCATATATTTATTTGATAGGCTTATGATTATATTAGTTAACAGCAAAATCCATTGTTTAAATAGCTCTATTAAGCATAGCTATTGCAAAACCTACCATAAAGTTTGAACTTAAATAATTCATCTAAGGATCTCTTTCCAATTCCTAATATGCTGAGTAAGTTATTATTTATATATCTGACACCCTCATTTATATACCATATATATGAATTATTTACCATAATTATATAGATGTCTTGCCTGTGAATAAACCAATAGAACTGGAACAATACTTTTCTAATTCAATACAATTTTTATAATAAGCCAACTTCCTAAACCCATATCATCTACAACAAATGAATTTCAATTAAAAGTAAAAAAACAACGTTGATAATCCAATTACAGTTGATGATGATGAATCATAATAACAGTAAAAAAAATGTCATAATCCTCAATGTAAGAATGTGGGTGACAAAAAAATCAAATCAAAAAAGAATGATATATTATTCTTTTGTGATAAATGTTCAAAATTATATAATAAAGGAAATTATTGTGATTATTGTGAATAAGTACAAAATTTTCATATATTATTATTTAAGGTTTATGGATCCTATGATGATGAGGCAAGGTGGATATAATGTGATTCATGTCAAAAATGGGTAAAAAGATAAGTTAATTTAATTTAGAATCATATTATATGTGAATAAAAAAATAGGAATTAAAATATTCAAATAGAATTTGAAACTAATCAATATCATTGTCTAACTTGTTCCAAAAATATTAAGAAACCAAAAATTATTAAAAAAATTGAAGAACCTCCAGTTATTAAATAGCGTCCAATAATAGAATAAGAGGATTTTAGAAACAGAGAAAAAAACATTAATTTTGTTGCAACCAAAGATAATAAAATTTAATATAGTATACAAGAGAATCTAAATTATAGCATTTCGATTTAATCTTATGGATGATGAAATCAAATAAGATTTAGATTAATTGAGAAATTCAACAAAAAAAAAACAAAAAATTTAATAATCATCTCCACCAAAAATCTCATAAGTCATCCAAACTTAATAAACTACTTAACCTTAATAATAGTAATAAATCTAATAAGAAGTAAAATATATATTAAAGCTTATTTAGACTTAAGAGACTTCATTCAATAATAGAAATTTAAGAAGAAGAATTAATTAAAAAATTAATTATAGAGATTTGATTGGAGAGTATTGAAATTTATAATATTTCAGTCAATTATATATTCAATCTAATTTAATATTAATATTATATGCTTAAATTATAAGAGAAGAAAAAAATTATAGAAATTTTAAATAACCCTATTTCTTATTGTAATAGACCAACAAAAAGCTCATCAACATACAATCCTTAACCTATTGAATAGTTAGTCTTTAATAGAAGCTTACTTAGAGTATATGGTTATTAAAAACCATAAACTCAACAAAGAAATACAAGAAAATTCAATTTGAAATTATTAGAAGTAACGTAAGATATTGAAAACAACAAATAAATGATTGAAATATTAAAACGAGATTACTCAACAAAATCCAATGTTGAAAAATAATCATCCTTTAAAAAAGAACAGTTAGAAAAAAGATGCAATACAACAACAAATAATAGATTCTTTTAATTGAACGCTATGATAAAAAATAAGAGGAATACAAACATTTCAAGAGTAATTGAATAATAAAATGATAGCCAAAAATAAAGATATTAGATGCTACATCTCAATTTTATTAAAACCTAAAAATAATACTAGAACATTTATGGAATACCATTATCTGAATTTCTATTAGAACATAAGTTTTTAACATTAATTCATTAGTAATTATTGATAATTTTATTGATGATTTTCTAAATTGATTGTACTAATATATATGAAGTAATTACCTATAAATAATACAAACTCTTTAAATAAGTTATAATTTGGAAAGATTTGTCAATTATTGATTTAGTTGATAAAATTTCATAGATTTTTGAAAATGCTACTGGAGGACATTTACTTAATATTATTCATTTAATGGCTTAAATTTAGCCTTACAAATATAATGGTAAATAAAAATTAAATAGAGATATATAATTATTAAATAAAACTATTTAAGATTTAGAATATAAATGTATAGAACATGTTTTATAATAAGGAAATTTAAATATGCAAATTGATATTACTAAATTAAAAAAACTATTTTATAATTAAATTATTAATATTAATACATTTATCGACTTATTATCAGGATAATTTTGATTATAAATACATATAATAAATAAATTTCATATTTACTACCTACACAAAGGACATTAATTATTAATATTATACCATCTTTATAAACAAATTTAATGAAAAGTATGTTTGCATCCTCTAATTTAACTTCCAATCTCATTTGAAATTATTAATTTTAAGCAAATGCTGCACTCTATTTTTTCATCCTATATAATAAATTATTAAGTTCTCAATTTCTTTATCATAATATTATCAAAAGGAAATATGATTTTTGAAGTATTATAGTTTCTATCACTTTCTTATTTTTATAAACCATTCCTCATTTAATTATATATATGCAATTAAATATAAAAATAAATGTATTTTATTTTTATGAATAAAGAATTCCTAAAGTCTAAGTAATTATCTACAAAAACGACAGTGTCTGATTTTCTCTTACATCTCTATTCAGTGTTATAATCATACAGAACTTAATGATTATTTTCCACTTTTAATAAGAATATTAAAAACTTATAATGATGCAGTTTAATAATTTTTTGATTGAATAATATCATCTTACTTTTACTTACTAAATTTTTTTTTCTATTTTTTTCCTTTGAAATTAATATGATAAACAAAATTATTGTATTTTACAAAAAAAGTTGTTTGTTTGGATTTTGACTAATCAATAAGAGTTAATTCTCTAAATTGAATAAATTTTCTGTATATTTTGAATTGTATGAATTTATTTGTTTCTAAGAGGATAAATAGGAACGTAAAATTTATTAATATTAATATTAAATCAATGGATGAAAGAAGGGCTACGTTTATGTTTTTTATAAAACTATAGTATATCTATATCATTAATACTTCTTCAACAAATTAAGCCAATTATTTTGACTCTCTCAATATTTAATTGTATTTCATTTATTATTGAGCATATGTATTTATAATATATTATTCTTATTAAAATTCTTGAGATTCTTTTCTTAAATCAAGGAACCTTTTTTTTGGAGGAACATACCATTTATTATAATCCTTAATATTTTTTCTAGGAGATATCTTAGTGTAATGTTTAGCTGAATCTTGAACTTATGATTCTAAAGAATATAGAGATTAAGCTCTATTTTATTTAGGATTATATAATGATTGATTGATCAATTAATTAATTTAATCTAACTAAATGGGTTGAGTTTATCTTCTATCAATTGGTGGGAGCAGAGTTGCCTATTGTTTTTTTAAGTTATTTTTCATAATAATTTATTTTATTAATAGTTTTATATAGATAATAAAAATAGGTTGAAATAATGCTTGACTTTTTAGACTCAAAGGTTTAATTTACTTTGAAATTTTTCATTGTTAAACAATTGTATTCTACATTTATAATAATAAATTTTAAATTTAATATAATTAGATTCCTTCTAAATATCATTCTAATACTGAAGAGAGAGAAACTCAAAAATAGGATTTAGAACATAATTTAATTCTATTTTTCATTTTAATATAATAGATTAAATAATTTTTATATATATAATCAATAAATGATTGAAAGTATTTAAGTGATTGATTTTTCAAATTAATTCATAAGTTGAATATAAAATGATGTAAAGGAAATAAATTTGAAAGAAATTAAAAGTCCTTTATTTTGTATTTTAGATAAGCAATATTTTTAATTAAAAATAACAGATATTAACTAAATTTTATATAAATTTTATAAAGAAGAAAATATAGTTATTATGATTAAGATTAGATTTTAAATTTAATATGTTATTTAATTTAGATTTTGCATAGGAATTACAAGAGGATATTTAAATATATCTCTATAATGATGATTTGTTCAGTAATTTGATTACTTTAGATTTTGAAATATATAATAAACTAAAATATACAAAATAAGCTTAATAATAATATCAATATTAATATGAATTAGATATTATTTGTGATTGAATAAATTATTATAAAGACTCTGATGTTTTTTTATTATTATTTTTGATTTCAAATTTATTAATATGAATATATTGATTATATTTATAAAATGAATAAATAATGATTATTACTAACTAGATTTATGAATAGACAATTATATATTATAATAATAATATAAGAAAATCAACAACATGACTTTCCATCTTTCTTTTCTTAATCTTAATTTTATGGATTATCTAAATTTATATTATTTTTTGCTTATAGATCTATGAAATTTAATACGTTAAATTGGATTGTTAACAACAGAATTAACCATTTAAGATGTTTCAGTACCTGGAAGAGTAGCTGCTATTTATTTGAATAGTAATTCAACATTGCTTCCTGATTTTGCACTAACTTCTATAAAATGAGCATCTTATTCCTTGGCTAAGGTTGCTCCTTATTCTGTTGATACAACTCTTTCCATTAATATGCATATAATTACCTATTTTCAAGATCAATCTTATTGGCCACTAAAAAGATTATTACATCATTGCCTCTTTCTAAACGTACATCTTCAATCCATTTTACAACACTATCAAATGATTATTTCACTTTGTATTATCAGAAATTACCTTCAACATCATAACATACTACAGCAACTGCACTATCCCTAATATAGCTTGGTATTAAGGATCTGAATCTCTCTTATCCTGCAGTATCCCATAATTAAAGACGAATGGTTCTATCTTCATAGTAAAGAGTCTTGGAGATAAAATCTATGCCAACTGTAGGCTTGAATATTCAAATTGTCTTACATGATCTTTGCCATCAAATGTATCAAACATGAAACGATTAATTATAGAAGTTTTTCCGACCGATTAATCTCCTAAGAATACTAATTTATATTTAGATAATGGAGCCACCATTGATCCCTTAGTATCAGTCATTATCAATATAATAATTATTTAAATTAAGTAATATTTAAAAAGTTAAAGAATAATAATGAAGAAATATTAATTGATTTAAAAATGGATTAGATTCTATATCTATATTATAAAAGTAATTAAGTATTCTTATTCTTTATATATATAATAATGATGATTATTATTAATCTAAAATATTTTTTAAAATAATGAAAATGAACATATATTAATATGAATAATTTTTTCATTTTTTTTTCCAATCATGTTCTTCTTTAAAGAATATTCCTAAAATAAATGCAACACAACAAAATCCAAAGACAATCCAAAATACTCCACCATAACCTATTTTAGGTTCTCCAAATTTGTACAATAAATATCCTAACATATTTGATAAACCAATAACAAAGAATAAACCACCATAAATAATGGGTCCCACCTTTTAATATTTAATTAATCATCTTACTTTATGTCCAAATATTTTTGCACTTACAGCAGGATAACAAGAGAATAATCCTCCTTCACAACACATTGTTACACATAATATAATGAAATAGCCAACATAACTATTATCAATATAACCAATAGTGGCAGTACAAATTAAGTTAATCACTGCTATGATCAAATAAACTTTTTTGAAACCAATTTTATCAAACAAAACTGCCCATCCAAATCTTGAACCACCATTACATACAGCTTAAACTGAACCAAGTACTGTTAATTTTGCATCATCAATACCTAACTATATACATATATATTAATAATAAATACAGTTTATCCAAATACTTTATAGCAATTAGCTAATAACATTCCAAAAATAATTGAACATAACACCATAAATATTAAAAACCAAAATGGTTTTGATTTCATACCTTAAGCAAGAGTTTCACATTCAGCATGCATAACAGTTGGATGATAATCTACTGATTTTTCATGATTAATTCCACTTGGTTTCTTATTTCCTTCTCCTAAAACTTATTAATATTCTAAATTCAAATCTCTTGGATATTTTACTAATAGAGTTGCAATTATTGTTAAAAGGAAATATGATCTAAAATACAATTCATAATATATTTTTACAATGCTAACATCTAGAACATAAAAGGAACATTATCAAAAACATCCTTTGAAAAATACTTTTTTGTTTTTCCATCTTCTGTAAAAGGAATCTCTGGTTCTTCATTATTTGGATTACATATAGCTTTGCATATAAAGTTAAATGTAAATGCTCCAAATCCATAACCAGCAATAATCAATCCAGAAACCATTCCTCTATTGAATGGGAAATATTTCCATCCACAAACTAAAATTATATAAAATAATTACTAATTGGCAACATATAAACTAGTCCTGAAGGTATACCTATCATAAAACAATATATCAATATGAATCCATAAATATTATTAATGAAGGACAGTATTAAAAATGCGAGGGAAATCAAGAATCCAGCTCCAGCTATCATAGTTTTAAATCCTATTCTTTGTGCTAACTTAACTCCAAAGGAAAGAACAGAATTTGTGGCTATTCCTAAAATTGGAAACACAATTTAGAGTGTTGATTATGTGACATTTGGATCCCTATTCTTCATGTAGGCACCAACATAAGGACCTTATATTAATAAAATTATGTTACTTATGCCCCCCCAAAGATAAAATGTACCAAGAACAAAGTGAAGAGCAATACCACCAATTATACAAACAGCACCTTGAATTTTTATACTTTGAAGTTCCTTTGGTGAATATTCTTTAAAGTGATGTTCATCTCCATGTTCATCTGCTTAACTTTCATGATGATGTTTATCCAATTCATGATCACTTTATGCTACTGATTAGGGAACTGCCTATGGCTTCATTTATAAAGATATATTTATTATTTAATGTTCAAATCATTCATTATGTATAAATATGTCTCTCAAATTTCAATTTCCCTCATTTAATTTTCATACATATCTTTAGTTTCTAATTCTTATTTATTTTATGCTTTCTCATATTCTTATTCAATAATCCTTCCACCTCCTTCTTTAATTACATAAAATAACAACATAAATAAATTTAAACACAAGAATTGTAAAGTAAAATACTAATTTCCAATCTATTTCATGTCATAACAGAAAATTTCTGTTAACATTAATTCGATAATCCATATTATTTCTATTATCAATTATAAAATTATATTATCAAAATATTCAACATTATATTCAGTAATCTTTTAAATACTTGTTATTATGCTTTTTTCATTTATTTCTAAATTGCTATTGATTTCAGTTGTAAAATGGTAATACATTTATTATAAACAAATAAGAATAATAATATCCATAAGATGTAAATATCCATCAATCTAACATAAAATAGGACTATTTGGTAATACTGGATGTGTTACAGTAATATATAAGATATCTATTATTAAATATGCAGGATATTTAAAATAACTTTATTCATTCTCTTTAAAGTATTAAAATGATAATAATAAGATTGGTAATAGATTTTAGGCTCTACAAAAACAACAAACCAATAGAATTGTAACATCCATATGTTTTCTAAATAAAAATATAATCAAAGGGATGAATATAATCAATAAATATCTAACGTATGTTGATAAAATAATTATTATAAATATTCCTATGCAATATTTTAATAAATTTTATTTTGTTTTCAATAAAGTTAAAATTATATCCTTATTTTTAATAAATAAATAAACCAAGCTTCCAATTGAAATTAATTAATAAAATGGAAAATCACTAATCAAAAGTAAGAATCCTAAAAGACTTTAAATAACTGGTTATTTCATTCTTAATAATAATACTAAAAATAGTGTTATTTTAAATAAGTTAATTTCAATAAATGCAAATGTTATTGTTAATCCTATAATATACCAATCAATAATCACTAATTCTTATTATCTAAAAAAAATCAAATACAATATATAAAGACATAAAAAGAGTCCAAGTAATAGAACAAAAAAGTTACCACTAATTTCAGAATTAATTGCAACAGCAAGTTCTTTAATTTCATTTTTTAATGTATTTAAATAAGTTTAAATCATCTTATCATCTTTACTTGTTGAAACTAATTCAAATTAATCTTTGAATAAATCTAAATCCTTCTAATACTTGATTGATTTCTTTTTTTCAATTAAAGTATAATGTTCATATAATTAATATAAATTCATCATATAATCCAATAATTAAATCTAATTGATATCTTAAGCAGGTGTTGTTTCATAAAATAAACCTGGCAATATCATTCCATGATTTTCTAATGGTATTGGAGTATCAAGTAGACAACTAATAGTAGATGTTAATGAATCTATTGAATATATAGTTTTAGTATGTTCATCTTTTGATAATCTAGTTCTATTTGTATAAAAATAGACTTTGTCAAATTTAAGTATAATGATCATAGTATTATTGTCAACTTAAGTCAATAAATTATCATATTCTATTGATGATAGTTATAGATTATCAATGTAATAGAATGCAAAATCATTTTTATTTAATTTTGTAATTAATTCTGATCCATCATTTAATTACTAAAATTAGCTAAAAGGATCATAATCTGCGTAAGCCTTATAACTTGATAAATAACTAGTTTTATTCTGCTTTTTTAACTAATATGTAACACTATCTAAAGTTTAGTATTAGATATTCCAATATTGTAATTATGCAATTGGACTTATTCCATGTATGACAGTATTGTAAAGAATTTCATAATTAATATTGAATTATGAATCAATATGATAATATACATCATTAGTGTCGAATCCTGTAAAAGTTTCATCGACAATCAAAACGATTCTGCTAAATACATAATAAAAAAAATCTTTTTTATCAAGGAATAATGGATTTCCAGTATTCTTTTAAGCTTTGTTTAATTCTTATGAATTCATAAAGTATCCAATTAAAATGCAAAGAAAGGCAATTATTTTGAGGGATAGAAATCCAATATTAGTATAATTGAACATATTAAAATTTATTATTAATCAGACAAATTATATAATGTAAAAAAACACAACTCATTATTTAATAATAATATTAGTTAATAATGAATTATCTTAATTAATCTTCTTTATGTTTCTCAAATAATTGTATTGTATATCTTTTTTATCAATTTAATTGAAATATAAACATATGGTATATTAAAGGAAGATGTACTAATAATAAATTGTTGATATTTTTACATTAACTCAATGATTAAAAGAATTATTATTATTCTTATCAAAACTTATTTTTTTTTAACTTAATTAGATGACTAAATGAAAATCACCAAAAAAATTATTTATCTATTTGAGAGCCTACATAATGTATATCATGACCTTATATCTTTATACTCTATATTATAAGTATTGACACAATTATAAAGAATATGGTTGCAACTAAATATGACATTTAATTCAATCACTATTGTAAAAGAATCAAGTAATTTTATATTTAATAATAAAGAATTTGAGCTTTTTCATTTTTTACAAGATATTATTGTGAGTGAAGTTAGAGATATTAAGTTAAATCAATTATTGTTTATAAGGTAATAAAATATTCATTTATATAAAAGAATATTTAATTGAACAACATTTTGGAAAAATAAAATAAAGTAAAGGTTGTTTATTAAAATTCTGAATTTTTAGAAACCAGTAATTTTATAAAAATATGTATTTTCTGGTTTAGTGAAATTCAATTAGAAATTTTCTAATTAATCTGGTCTTTGAATATATTAAGATTGAGGGAGAATAGAAATATGTAATTTCATAATATATATTTTTGATGATTTTTAATGTATAACTGTTTCATATTCATATGGTTTCAAATAAAAAAGATTATAATAATAATAATAATAAACAATGGCTGACGATGACCCGATGACGCAGCAGGAATAATTAAAAGACGATGGGACTGAACCATATGGAAAATTTCGAATAGCTAAACAAACGTTGTGTTCGATTGCTTATATGTGTCAAGAAAGAGTGTTTGCTGAAGAAGTAGACAAACTAGAAGAAATTGGAGAGAAATTGATAGAGGTATTAGATGTAATTAGTATGAAAGGAAGGACTATGTACAGATTTTAAATAAGGTTTGACAATGTAAGACCAAGCAGAGAGAGAGAGAGCTTTTGGACACAATAGAAAACCAAAAATTGAACCAAAAGGGTATTGTGAGTTGTGGCTAGGGGCCTTAAATGATTTTACAATGAAGGTTTTATGTGTAGCAGCCGTGATCAGTATTATAGTTGATGTTACAACTGCTGATGAGAGTTACAGATAAATAGCTTGGATTGAAGGTATTTTAATAATTTAAATAAATTAGGATTTGCAATATTGGTAGCAGTGATTATATCTACAAATGCAAATGCTGTGAATGATTATCAAAAAGAACGATAATTTTAAAAATTAAATGAAGTTGCTGATGAGAGAAAGAGAGTGACAGTTGTTAGAAATGGAAAGAAATGTGATATTCATATGAGTGAAGTATTGGTTGGAGATGTGGTATAAATATTTGAAGGAATGGAAATACCAGCAGATGGTTTTGTATTGGAGGCATCAGATTTGACATCAGATGAGAGTGCTATGACAGGAGAAACTGATCCAATTAAGAAAAATGTTTTGAGTGAATGTGTTAATAGAAGGAACTAATTAAAAGAAGAAGGAGGATAAGTAAATATTAATATAATTAATATATTAGAATACAGCAGGTCATCATGATGTTCCATCTCCAATAATGATGAGTGGAACAAGAGTATTAAGTGGTGAAGGGAAAATGCTCATTCTTGTTGTAGGAGACTCATCCTGTGCTGGTAAGATTGCAGCCTTATTAAGATAAGATGAACCAGAAGGTAATAATAATTATTAATTTTATAGCAACTCCTTTATAAATGAAATTAACAGCAATTGCTGAAGATATTGGTAAATTTGGATTGATCTCAGCAATATTGATTGTTTGTGTAATGTGTTTAAGATTTGGTATCGAAAGAGGAGTAAATGATGATTGGGAAAATTATATGGTTGTTACTATTATTGGATACTTTATTATTGGAATTACAGTCGTAGTCGTTGCTATTCCAGAAGGATTGCCATTAGCAGTTACTCTATCATTAGCTTATTCTACTAAATAAATGCTTTAAGATTAGAATCTGGTTAGAAAAATGGCTGCATGTGAAACTATGGGAGGAGCCTCTATGATTTGTTCAGATAAAACAGGAACATTAACTCAAAATAAAATGTCACTTGTTAATGTGTGGAATGATGATATCATTGAAATAGATACTTATTCTGAAAAATAATAATTGACATCCTATTTCCCATAAAACTTTTAAGAATTCTTTATTTAATGTGCTGTTGTCAATGGATCAGCTATGCTTAGACCTGAACCAAAAGGATCTAAAACAGAAATTGCATTACTTGAATTCATTGAAAGATGTTCTATGAATTATGAAGAATAAAGAGAGAAATATCCTGCTAGTACTAAATTCCCATTTAGTAGTTAAAGAAAAAGAATGTCTATGGTATTAGAATTAGATGGAGGAAGACGTAGATTAGTATGTAAAGGAGCATCTGAAATGGTTTTAGCTGCATGTTCATAATATCATTCTAAAGGAAATGGATCTATTGTTCCTATGAATTAAGAATTAAAATAAAAGGTAGAAAAATCAATTGAAACTATGGCTGGCAGAGCATTAAGAACTATTTGTTTAGCATATAAAGAAATCAGTGCAAGAGAAGATTTGACAACAAAAGATAACAAAGGTGTTTATGCTGTTGAATAAAGTGATTTAACATTAGTTGCAGTTTTGGGAATCAAAGATATTCTAAGATAAGAAGTGCCAAGAGCTATTTAATTATGTAGAAGAGCAGGAATTAAAGTTAGAATGGTTACTGGAGATAATAAAATGACTGCCAGAGCTATTGCTAAAGAATGTGGTATCATTACACCTGGTGATGATTAATCTATTGTGATGGAAGGACCTGACTTTATAGCTAAGATTGGAGGAGTTGTATGCACAAAATGCAGAACAGCTATCTGTCCATGTGCAAGAGATAGTACTACAGCAAAAAAGGAAAATAAGGATGTAAGAGTTGATACTATTGCAAATCCTTAAGAATTTGATAAAATCTATCCTCATTTAGATGTATTGGCTCGTAGTAGACCTGAAGATAAATATGCTTTAGTGACAGGTTTAATTGAAAGAGGTCATGTAGTTGCTGTTACAGGTGATGGTACTAATGATGCTCCAGCACTTAAAAAGGCTGATGTTGGATTTGCTATGGGTATTGCAGGAACTGAAGTTGCTAGAGAGGCTGCTGCTATTATTCTATTGGATGATAATTTCAATTCAATTGTTAAGGCTGTTATGTGGGGAAGAAATGTTTATGATAACATCAAAAAATTCTTAAGATTTTAATTGACTGCTAACTTAGTTAGTGTCGGTTTGACATTAATTGGAGCAGCTGTTTTGAGTCAAGAAATATTGAAACCAATTTAATTGTTGTGGGTCAACTTGATTATGGATACTTTAGGTTCTCTTGCCTTAGCTACTGAGCCACCTACTGAGAAATTACTTTATCGTAAACCACATGATAGAAATGAATACATTATCTCTAAAAAGATGTTTAAATTCATAGTTGGAACTGCAATTATATAAATAGCTGTTGTTTTAATTGTAGTTTTTGCTGGAGACTCATTTTTACCAGAATATCCTGATGAATATGATCTTACAGCATTTAGAGGAATAAAAAAAAGATATAAATATAGTGATCATTTGTGTAAGACTACTTATGATGATCTTAAGAAATATTCTGATGAGAGTGGTAGACCATTAACTTTGATACCAGATATTACTGAATCAAGAGATGTTAAAAAGGATGGAACATGTTTATCATCAGAATGTGTATGTCATGAAAAAAAATGTTATGAAATAATGTGTGAAGAATGTGATTTTGAAACTAGTTGTACTATAATAGCTAGTGGTAGATTGAATACACCTGAAGGAGGTAGAGATTATGCTGTATTCTTTGAAGATTCTCATGAACCTTCTCGTCATGTATTTATTAATTCATTAAATATTAGTTTACTTATGTCTTTAATGTTTTCATCATGCTTCAATTATTCAATTTTCTTAACAGCAGAAGATTTAATGATGAAATCAATATTTTTGAAGGATTATCAAAACATTCTGCATTCATGATAATTGTGCCTGTTATTTTCTGTATACAAATCCTTATGGTTACATTTGGTTCTAAAGCTATTGGTCTTTATGGTAATTTTGGACTTAAAATTCAATAATGGTAAATTCTTATATTTTAATATATTTCAGGTTGATTGGTATTGGATTTGGATGTATATCAATTATTGGATGCTTCTTCCTTAAATTCATAAAGGAAGATATGTGTTGTGAATGTGGAAGCAAAGAAATAAACCCAATGGAAACTGAACATAAGATTATTGCATTAAAGGGTGATCATTCCTCAGGTGGTTTAGCAAGACGTTATTCATCTCTTGTAAATTTATTCATTTATATTTTAGAGACACGATTAGAATCCTTTTGGTGCTGCTCATCAATAACATTAGCATTGAATAATTATAAATAATCATATATATTAACTATATAAAATGAAAATTAATAAGAGAGCCACTATGGAAAGTGAATATGATTAAAAAGACATTGTTGTAATTGATAATGGTACTGATACTATTAAAGTTGGAATCTCTGGAGAAGATTATCCTAGAGTAATAATGAATCTATTATATTAATAGCTTATTTATGATAATAAATGTGGATCACACTCAGTTTAAAATGACAATGATAACCCAAACAATAAACCATAGCTTCTTTTTGGTTAAGATTTAAAGAAAGTCGTTAAAGAAAAAAAGTTGAATGTACAGTTATCAAATCCAATCAAAGATGGAGTATAAATTATAATTATTATATTTAATTAGAAAATTGATAATGTTGAATCAATGAAAGAATTTTGGTAATATATTCTAGAAGATGGATTATAAATATCTGAATTGTAATAAGTCAATTTATTAATCATCGATTAAGTAAAGAATAGTAAAGAGTACAAATCAAAGCTTGCTGAAGTTTTTTTTGATTATCTCAAAGTCTAATCTGTTTTATTCATGAATTCAGCAAGTTTATCATTATTTTCAACTGGATTAGTCAGGTAATTAAATTAATTACTTTTTTTTCAGTGGTTTATCAATTGAATTAGGACATGCTGTTAATACTGTTGTTCCTATTTATTAAGGATTTCCAATTATGCATGCTTTAGAATTTTCTCATATATCTGGTGCTGAAATCACATAATGTTTGGAAAATGATTTAAAAGCCTATGAATAATCATTGGATAAATTTTCTGAGGAAGAGAAATTATGGATTATTAAAGATATTAAAGAAAAGATGTGTTATATTGCTAGTGATTATGAAATGCAAGTAATTAATATATCCTTTATAAATTAAGATAAATTCAGAAGATAATTTTACAGAAGAAGAGCGTAGTTATGAATTACCAGATGAATAAGTCATTCATATAACTCCATAGATTAGATATCATTGTTCAGAAGCTTTATTCAATTCTGCTATTGTAAATAAAAATAGTTTTTCATTGCCTTAAATGATTGTTAATTCGATCTTAAGATGCGATAAGGAATTAAGATAAGAATTAGTTTCTAATATGGTACTTGGAGGAGGTACTTCTATGTTTTAAGGCCTGATATCTAGATTGCAAGATGATATTTGTTAAATTTATCCAGGAGGTGCTATGAGATCAGAATTCAATTTTGTTGCTGATTTTCAAAGAAAATATAGTGCTTGGATTGGTGGTTCTATGCTTGGATCACTCAAGACATTTTAATCTTTAGCTATCAACAAATAAGAGTATGAAGAAAATCCTGAAGGAAAAATGTCACTTATTCATAAGAGAACATTTTGAAACAAATTATATTAGTAATTATTTTTAATTAAATTTTAAATAAATAAATAAATATATAATACATAATATTATTATTTTTTCTTTTATTAGAATATATATATATTCAAAAATACCTTTTGAAATTTCTTATTAGATATTCATTTTCTGATAGACGTTGACAAATAATAGCTTTTTTATAATTCTTCATATCAATTAAAATCTTAGCTAATAAATAATAATAATAATAATTTGCCTTTCCATTAATAATGATCTATATTTTCTAAGTTTTAACTACAAAATTAATCCCAACATGATAATGCTTCATCTGATCTTTCATTTTAACTTAAATACAAAGCTAGTAAAATATTAAATTATTTTCAACCTTTGTAAAAGAAAAAGTTTTAATTATTCCTATTTACTTTTGTTCCTTCATCCCAACACTCTAAGATTTCTGAAAATCTATCTTGTTTAAATAGAGCATTTGCTAATATATAATATAATAATTATTAGATACTTTTTTCTCTATAAAAGTTTACTTCACTTTTATTAAATTCGATCCCTTTATTCCAGCATTAGATAATTTCATCATTCATTTCTAAATCATCTAAGAGAGAAGCTGATAATAATAATTAATTGAATTTTACTTTTAAAAGTGTAAAATGATATATTATGTTTATTATAAGAAATCCCCAAATCCCACAACTCAAGAGCTTATTCTATTTGTCCTTATTCTACTAGAAATTTTGCTATAAAGTTATATTTTGATCATACATTTTTCATCATAAAAATTAATTATCTATGTATTATTTTCAATTCCTTAATCCCAGCATTCTAAAACTTCAGTGAATCTCTACAATTAAGTTAAGAATAATGCTTAAGATATTAACTATAATTTACCTTTTTCAAAATAAAAATTGATGTTGTGTTTATTTTTCAATATTCCTTAATCAAATATTTAGATTGCTTCTTCAATTCTATTTAATTTTTTTAATGCTTAAGCTTTAAAATTTAATTGTTAATGATACCAAGTTAACTAAAAAAATGGGCATAAGATTAATGAATTTCTATGGCCTCAGCCCAACAATCTATAACTTTATCAAATCTTTTCAACTCTTTTAAAGCTTAAGCTATAAAATAAATATTTTAGTATACCTTTGTCATTATAAAATTCCATAGCTTATGAATTCAATTAAATAATTTTATCACAATATATTATAACTTCCTCAAATCTATTTTACTTTTATAATGCCTTAACTATACATAATCTGAATAAATAACTTATTTCTCTATAAAAATTTGAATTTTTTAAATTTCTTTTGATTCCTTGATCCCAACATTAAATAATTTCATTTAATTTTCCGTTCTTCTCTAATGTTTTAGCTTAAAATATTGAAAAGCAATTTAAACCTTTCTCTATATAATATAAAATATTATATTTATTATTTTCAATTCCTTAATCCCAACAATCAATGCTTTCTTATATTAAACCTATTTATTCTAAATACATAGCTAACATTTCATCAATACAATACATTTTAATCCATAGAAATATATATCAGTTTAATTCAACTTAATTGCTTAATTTAAACATTCAATAGCTTATTTTTGAAGTCCTTGCTTTTGTAATTAAGTAACTATTATTTATTATTAATTTACTTACACAATTAATAAAAAAATATTCTAGAATCTTATTACATCTTTTTAAAGTATATTAAATACTCAATTTTTTATATTATTTAAATAATCTTTTTATATAATAAATTATAATTTTTAACTTATATTTAGATAAATAAATCAAAGATATTAAATAGATATCTATTAATATAAGAAATATAATTTATATATTATTCTAAATTAAATATATAGACAATTCATCTGCTTCAGACTATTTTGTATAATTGAATAGTGTAAAACAAATTTTTCTTTTATTCTATTAAATATTCATTTTAAGAATGTTGTAATCTTAATCCATTATATTATTTTAAAATAATAAAATAATTAATTAATTTATAAGAATGGTAAAATATTTTTGGTCATTTGCTTTTAAAATGAGAGATGCTTAGTTAATTGAAAATATCCTTAAATAATTAAGTTATAATTATTAAGCTGTCAAATTTATATAAATAATATAAGTTTCTTATTCTGGGTGATTTTATTAAAATTAAGGGTGAAAATTAAAGTAATGCTCGCTTCTAATTTTTGAGATGAAACTACTAATAAATAAATGATACTAAAAAATAATATATATAGATTTGATGAGATTTTAATTGTTGATATGCAGTTCAGAATGGATAAAGATAAATAATAATAGAATTTTAATTAAAGAATGTTATGAGAATTTACTAATAAAAATATTAAGTTATTTACAATATTAAATGATAATATTTGATGTTGTTTATTTAAGTTATAACGAATATTTATTATCAAATAAGATAAATTAAGGTATAGAAATTGAAGAAGTTTAGAATTACTTAGATTTGTTGAAGATAATATCTATTTTCAGATGTTTATACTTAAAGTAATTAGAACGACTTCTAAAATATATTATACATTATGAAAGTGATGAAGACATTGATTAATTATTATTGATTATAATTTTCTTAAACAATTAATAAAGATATATTTAATTTCATTAGAAATAAAATTAATTATTAAGAAACACATGCAGAATCTAAAATCAATAACTCCTAGATAAGAAATGAAGCCAGTTAAAGTCAATATTACAACGTAATTCACATAACAATAAACTCTATAGTGAGCAATTCCAAGCTTTAACAAAAATGTATAATTTGGGTAAATTGTAAACAAAAAATGCAGAGCGTGAACTCATTTAATAACATTTACAATAATAGTAATTAATATAAATTGGTACTCAAAGAAATAATACACCATAATCTTGTAAGAGTGCTTAAGAAGTATTATTATATGCTATATATTTTTAAGATGAAATATTTCCTATATTAAAAAAATAATGGAAAAGAATAATAAATCAAAATCTAAAACAACTCATAAGTATCACAAAAACCAAAAAATAGTTTACATCGTAATTTTTCTTAATTAGAGAAATCTGGAACACCAATTCTACCTTAAAAAATTTAACCATTAGTAACTTCATAATAAAAAGTTAAAAAATATAATCCTTTATCTATTGATTAAAGATTTACATCAAATTAATAATTTGTTTAATAAATAACATCTCAAATAAATAAAAAAGAAGATCCACCAAAAAAAGAAAATTTAAAAGTGAGTTTAGATGATTTTGTTACTTAAATTAATAAACCAGCAAAAAGTTTGATTTCCCCATTGAAATAAACAAAATCTTTATCTCCTTCAAGTAGAATTTAATCATCAAAATAGAAAAGTAATATTTCTATATATAATAAAATTAGAATTTATATACTATGTAACATCTCTTATAGAAACATTTAAAAATTAATATCCTTAAACACTTGATTAATAATTATTTAAAGATCATGCTGTTTAGACTTTTAATTGTATTGGTTTTTGTTTGAATTTGTAAGATCCAGATCCTTAAGTCTTAAGATAAAAATCATTAGATCTACCTATAAAATAAAATTGCAAGTGTAAGTTAATAATGGTATTCAAATAGTTAAGAAGACAGTAGTATTTGATTTAGATGAGACCTTAATTCATTGTAATGAAAATTAATCTTTAAAAGCTGATATTTATTTACCTATAAGATTTCCTTCTGGTGATATAGTTTCTGCAGGAATAAATATTCGTCCTTATGCCAAATGGATATTAACAGAACTTAGTAAGGTATGTGAAGTGATTGTATTTACTGCCTCTCATTAATGTTATGCTAGTTAGGTGATTTCTCATTTAGATCCAAATAATTAATTACTTTCAGCATAAGTATTTAGGGATGGATGTGTATTATCATCTGAAGGAGTACATATAAAGGATTTAAGAATATTTAAAAGAGATTTAAAAGATATAGTTTTAATAGATAATGCAGCTTATTCTTTTGGTGTACATTTGGAAAACGGAATTCCTATAATTCCATATTATGATAATCAGGAAGATAAAGAATTAAAATATTTATATGATTTCTTAATTGAACAAGTGTTACCAGCTCCAGATTGTAGATTAGTTCTATAATCTACATTTAAATTGAGGGAATATTCGAAATATAGAGAACCAAAGACAGCCATAGAGAAACTATTTTGATTGAATGTTTAATTAATTTATTTATACTAAATGGCTTAAATTAAAGTAATATTGACAAGTTTGATTTGGTATATCTGTAAAAATTACAAATAATAATAAATATATTAAATAATGGTTTGTTAATTTAGATGTCTTTTTTTTAAATAAATCTTAACGTGCATATTATTAATAAAATTAATATTTATATTATATTATTTGATTATATGAAATCTGAAATTTCACTATTATTTATTAATATATATTAAAATGCAATCTCAAATTAATAAAACTTAGATCCTAGCCAAAGTAAAGAAATGCCATAAGAACATTTCAAAATTAAATGACAAATTGTATATATTTCAAACACTTAACAATAAATCAAATATCAATATCTAAAAAAATGCAGAGGTAATCAAATCAAAGACTATTGAAAATCCTATAGTCATTATAAATGATGAAACTAGTGTAGAAGTAATTATTAATACAGAAGATCCATAATAAGAATAAGTTTTAGATATAAAATAGACAGCACGCAAATTAATATCACGATTTTATTATCACATCAAATAAAAAATGAAATAAGATTCCATAAATCAAATTGAAGCATTAAAGTAATTTTGTGATAAAGAATACAAAAATGATCTGTATATGAAGCTTCATCAAGGATTATTTAAATTGTATTTTGAAAAAGATTCAACATGTAAAGAATGTCATTAAATCATAATAAATTAGCACCATTGTTTTAATCATATTAGAAATGAACATTTGGCTGATCTAGAAATTTATATTTGCATTAAATGTAAATTGTCATTTTCTAAAGGAGATCTATTAGAAAAACATATTCAACAATAACATCATCATTAATAAATTGAAATCTAAAGTCACAGAGAAATTAAAGGAAATATATAATAGTTATAAATTAAACCATAAAGTAATGGAAATTGTATACAACATAGATTTAATTAGAAATTAGATTTAAATAAGATTGTTTAAAATATATAACCTTAACCTATACTTAAAAAAATATTAGTACCATAATAAAATAATAATAACAGTTTAAGATCTTCTTCAGATGAGGCTAAGAAATGTATACCTGTATTTAATCAGGTATATGTTCCTGTTGAATTATAAGTTGGAAGTAATATAGAGGAGAATAATGAAGAAAAATAAGATCTTAATTCCAATACTATCAAAAAGCCTTCCAAACTTAAAATTAAATTCATATAAGTATAAAAAAATGATAAAACATAAAATAATTGACATAATTATTTATTCCAAAAAATGATTAAAGGAGTTTTAAATAAATCTCATGGAATTGTTATAATAACAATGACAGGTCTATTCACTTAAGCAAATTGGACAATACAAACTCTTTAATAGTCTTTATAAAAGCCAAATGATTTCTAAAAAGATATTCTTGAATATTAAATGGCTCACTTTATAAATTATGTATAATATCTAATTAATAAGTCAATAAGTGGATTTTTTTTCCCTATTACAACTAGTCTATTGTTATCAGGATTATTAATTTTGAGATAATACAATAATTATATTGATTATGAATAGGATAAATAAAAATACTTTAAATATGCTTAGATGTCAATAATTGGTTGTACAAGTCTTCTAGGATTAAGTGTACCAGGTAGATATATATTATTAAATAAACATCGTTGATAAATAATTAGTTTTTAGAGTATATTTAATTTTCATAATTAAGAATTAGACAAATTATGTTTATATATAAATAGTTTATATTATTAAATAACATAATTAGAAAAAATTGTGATGAATAAGGACGATATCATTGCATTTTATGGAAAAAGAGAGGTGAAAGAGACATACAATTATGATATTTTGGCAGATGATAGAGTTTCTTTATTTTCTTCAACAAGAGAATCAAAACATTAAAATTAAAAGACTATGATTTTAAGTAGTTAACCTACTATATATTGTTCTTTGAGTATATGTAGTTTTTTGATTGCTTTATCAAATTTACCAGAAGAAGATAGAATTTATTTTTTTTATGATGATCCATTATCATACAATATTGGATTAGTTGTAAGTTATTAATTTAAGTAAGAGGTTTGTATGTGTTGTCTTTGTATATTGGGTATAGTAATCTCAGAAATTATAAAGAGATCATTTACAAATAAATAAATAGGAACATTGCCGTTTTTGACTAAGAAGTAACATAAAATGAATTTTAATGCAACTATCTGTTTAGCAGGACAAATTGCTCATTTACTTTTACTTATTGAAATAATTCTATAAGCTATGCCAACTTAATTATTTTAACATGAAACATTAGTTGATTTATCATTTTTATTAAATGTGGTTTATTTTGCTTATGCGAATAGTTTTTTAGAGAAGAAGAAAGCTGCTCAGATGCATTATATACCATTTTTCTTTTATATTTGTGTTACACTTGCATGTAATCATTTTTGTAATTTAGAGTGTTATGTTAAAATAACTCAATGAAATTACAATATACTCATATATGGAAAGTATAGACAGAGAGAGTTATTTTGACATATATGGGAATTATGTTGCAAGGAATATAATTTTAGTTATTTAGACCAGCTATAAAGGAAATGGAGAGAAATCAAAATATCTTAGCAGAAGTTCTTTGATTGCTTTATTAAATATAAAATCAATCTTAAAAAGGTTGAATGTCTTATTATTTTTATTATTTTTATTATGCTTATTATTATTATTATTATTATTATTATTATTATTATTATTATGGTTTTATCTTTTGCATCAATGAACGCATAAAGTTTTTTTAAGGGGAAGGTGGTTCTGGAGTAGCAATATATTATTGTCTATAATTAGGAGATACAGGGATTTATTTTATTATCAATGGACTTTGGCATTCGAAATTCTTAGGTATTTATATAGGTTGAGCATTTGAAATAGATTTTACAATATCTCTAAATCCACTCAAAAATCTTTCATTATAATACTCAACAATTCTTGTGAAAACTTATTTTTATTATGAATAATATTAAGTGTAAAGCTATAATAATTTAATATATATATTACCTTATTATAAGAATTAAAAGATGGACTTTATTTTTGATGTTTTTATATGACATAGAATGTGCAAATGATCACAGTGTCAAAAATTACATCCTTTAATACTTCTAATTTAGGATTCTTCATAAATTCACAAATTGCTGAATAAGCAAAATCATGAATGTCTAATTAAAGTATTTTACAAAGTTCTTTCACTCTTAAAGCTAAATGATTTTAGAATCTCCTTACTAATTCTTAATCAAAATATTTTGGGGAATCTATATATATATTATATTTAATTTTATACTATCTTTGAATATTTCAACTAGTTTTTCAGCATCTGTTTACCACATCAAATTAAAAAGTATATGTTTCTCTAATTCAAATAATTATGAAGTTATAGTAGATGGCATTTATCTATGAAAATGAGCAAAATTAGCTATCACTCTAAATAAATCTAAGGGACTTATCTCAAAGATAGTGCATAATTATTTCATATTTGAAAGTAAATTAGGTTTTTAGATTACAATTTAATATGTATATAAAGATAAACCTAAAATAGCAAATTGAAATCTATAATTTTTAAGTAATTTCAAATCAAACTATCCTTCATTTGATTTCATTAATGAGTCAATTACAGCAAGACATAATGTTAATATAGTTTATTCATTTTATTTTGAAGATTTAGAGGATTCTGTAACTTCAAAATATTTTCTAATATTTATAGTTGCCTAATTATAAAATTCTTATTCATCATCATCTTCAAAACATTTATATGTTTACATAGTTATTTTCTTAATCCATTAATGTAATTCCATACATTTACTAATTGGAGTTTAAGGAATTGCATTTTTCTTTATATCAAAATATGTTTTTTCTTGAGTATTAGAGAATTTATTATCTTTCAATGGTGTTTACATAAAAGGAGGATCACTTTTTATTTTAGTTTTCTTTTACAATGTTTCAAATTCTGAATAATCTGCTTATTTATTAATATCTTTCTTAGGTGTAAATACAATTCTCTATCTTAAAAAACATTCTTCATCTAAATCAGAATGTTTTCTAGTCTTTTCATAATATTTATGTAATCTTCTATATGTTTAATCAATTGTTTTTTCTTCAAATAATACAGAAAGTTGAGTTTCTTAAGTTTCTTATTACATATCTAATACTTTAGTTTTATATTGCATCATATTTACAACTTAATTTATACATTTAAAACACAAATCTTAATAATATTTTAATTCTTCATCTATCTCTCTTTAATCATTACAAAAAAATGATAACATTTTTTGTGAAATATCTTCAACATTTTATGTGAATGTATTTGGTAAATTTTAAAATACAATCGATAAAGATCCCACTAAAATTAAAATTACTTTAGTATTTGGATCACAAATAATTAACTAATTTTTATCTAACTATTCCTCATATTGTAAAATATTCTATCGAACTATTATACAGAGAATCCAAGCTACTTTTTTTAAGTCTAATATATAAGGATCACAATCATCCTCTTTTTTGAATTATGGAGTTTAACTTGGATTCTGTACAGGTCTTTAAAAATATAAAAATTATCAAAATACTGGATGAGACTAAAGCATTTGTCAAACTTTTTGTATAATCTAAAGCTGAAATTAGCTTATCTGACTACATTATCAAATTCGGTTGAATGACACTTCAGAAGAGCAGGAAGGTCTTATAAAACCATTAAGAACTACTCAATATCAACTTAGGGATCCAAGTTGCGGATGATCTACAATCTAATTACTAATATACTTATGTAAGTGTAATTCCATTGCCTTATTTTGTCTATCCATCTATTTATTGAATTTGGCAGCTTTGGCTACACAAATAAACTACAGCTGGAACATAAATCTATATATTCTCTAATCAAATATACTTTTTCATCTTATTCTGAAAATTGTTGCATAGCTAATTTAGCTTTATCTAAAGTTTCTTGATCCAAATTTAGTTAATTAGAAAATTCTTCTATATACATTCTTCCCGGGTAATTTTATTATATTTATAAACTATTAATAAATATATTTGAAAAATTAATATGTTGTGTATGTGCAAAAAGTTATTACTCATAATTATTTATTGTTGTCAGCAATTGAATTATACTACAAATAATTGATTATGTTTATAGATTTTTAAGGGATTTTATACATATTGACTTTAAAGATTTAAGTCATTAACATATATTAATTATTATTCATAAATAATTAAAATCAAATCATTTAATTTATCATACTTAACACTACTAAAAAAGAAATTGAATCGATCTCATACAGCTAAAACTAAGAATAACAAAGATTATAGAAAATAGTATCTTAAATCAATTAAAAAATTAATAATTAATATACAGAGACTGTCATAATTTCAATTATAAACATATGGCTTAATACATTTATTGTACATTTTAGCTATAACTCATTAGATTTTAGTATATTTTTTATCTGCTTTAACATTAAATTGAAATATACTTTTACTTATAAATTTATGATGTTGTTAATTGATCATAAATTCAACTATTTTAAAACTCTGTTATCTTTACCATTTCTCTAAAAAGTATAATATTATATAAGAATCATCTGTGTTTACATACTTTTTATAAATTAAAAGTATTAACAGATCTAATGATTATTCAATTTGAAGATTTTAAAGTGGATAATAGAGCTCAGATTAAGAAATTAAATTCATATAATGAAATAACAAATATATGAGATTATCATTAATTTAATTATGATATTATTCTTTCACGACATTATTTAGGAAGATCCTAATCAATGAAATCAATCATTCTCATTTCTTCTAAAGGATTATCATCTGAGAATTATTATAATTGATCTAAAAATGCTAATGGATCATCATCTTCTAAATTATTATCTTTTGTATTTTCACTAGAAGATTTTAATGCATCAATAACTTCTTTTTTATCCTTTAAATTAGCATTAATTCTTGTTACAAGGTTCCCTGGATCATTTTGATAAGCAAGTTCATGATCATCATCAAACTTTTAATTTGATTGAATTTTCAAATTAAGTTATTCTGCTACCATTTTAGCAGTGCATTTTCTTTGATGACTATCTAATCTATCTATAACACCCTTCCATTTGCAACCATAATTTTTATTTGAACAATAAACATCTAATTCACTTATTATTCCTGCAGCAATACGGTCGACTATAAAAATTTGTTTTGATAAAAAATACTTTGAAAATTCTTTCTTTTAGCTTCTGATCTACATTCAGGACATGTTGAATGATCATTTAACCATTAAGAAATACATAATTTACAAAATGTATGGCTTCATCAAAAATAAAATAATACCCACATCTTAATCTTGTTGGTTCATCAAAAACAGCAGAACAAATAATACACTTTAGATATTTAGAAATCAAATTTTCATTTACAAAATTTCGCTCCAATTTTGTTGTTTACATTATATTTTTTATATTTATTTAAATATCTCTATTTATTTAATAAATATCAATAAGGTCTATTCATAAATAATATTGAATTCATAATGAAATTGATTTCTATAGTTATTCTCATTATTCTAAGACTTATAATATAAGTATTTATTTAAATATTTTATAATGAATAAATAAAATAGAACACATAAATATAATTATAGCATTCTAAAATACACATAATTTGATATTCATTCCCTGTAAAAAAATAATTAAACTAAATATCTATATATATAAATATTTTGAATTAAATTTTTATTTATAATTGAAATAAATTTTAATATGTCTGAAATTGAACAGTTAACTTAATAGAAGTAAGAGATTGAGAAAAGTCAAGCAATTTTAAATTAATGGGTATAATTAAAGAAAAATCTATCATCTAAATTCAAAAATCCTGCAGAAGCTTTTAAATCATTATGTAAGGAAGGGAAGGATGTGTTAGCCATTGAAGATTTTGGAGATTATGCTAAAGGATTGGATTTGTAAGATTATTAAATTATATTTAATTAGAACTTAAGTATTTAAAGACATTACATTAAATGATGAAAACTTTTCTAAAGTTTGGGAATAATGGGAATATAAATAAAAATAAAATGATCATAAATTACAAATCATAAATGAAAAACTATAACTGTTGACTATGTTGGATAATGGAGAGATGCCTAAAGAAGCTTCAAGAGGATTAGATGCAGCACCAAATAAAAGAGTATAACCAATAGAAACATTAGAAAAATTACAAGAGAAATTAGATAATTTAGTAAATGAAGGATAAAAATAAAAAGAAAAATAAGATGTTATTTAAAATGAATAAGATTGTTTTGCACAATTTTTAGCTAAGAAATCTGAAATCAAATCATCAGAACTTCAAGTTACTAAACTACAATAAAAAAATAATGAAGAAGAATAAGGTACTAATCCGTCAAAAGCTAAACGAAGTTATATTGATTCAACTCCAGCATATTCTAGAAATAAGGCTGCTTTTGGAAGTAGTGGTAATTTACTTTAAAGTAGTCTATAAAATAAGGGTTCGTTAGGAAATAGTCAATTATCCGTTAAATCTTCTTTTATTGTAGAATCTTAGATTTAGATATCTCCTCAAAAAGCAGCTTAAAATTTAAGAAATTATGCATCTAATCCTTAATAATAATTAAAGTCACCTTATGAAGAAAGGTAATTATAAGAAGAAAGAAAATCTTAAAAGGCAAACAGAATGAAAGGAGATCTTTAATCGTATATTTCTGAACTATTTTAAAATGAAAAGGAATAAAGATAGTAAATAAGAACATATGATAAACCAAATTCATAAGGCTTAGCTGGTTTTGTTACATCTAAGAGATTATATCAGAATGCATCAAATAAATAATCATTTGTGGATACTGATTCCTAAAATGTATCAAAGAGAGTATAATCTATAAGGTATTATTGAATAAATATAATAGATATAAATTGGATGACTTTTAATCATAAAAATTAGCCTAATATAGTTATGTTCCAAGAACAGTGCCAGATTGGACTCCTGATAGACCAGTGAGATTGTCAAATCCGAAACCTAAATAAAATAGTGGAAAATAGATAAGTCCTAAATATACTCCTGGAAATACTCATAGATTAAATTTAAATTATTTGAAACAAGAAAAGGAAAAGGATTCACATGAATAAAAGTAAGAAGAGTAGCCATCAGCTAATTGTTGATTTAATATATATTAATAAATAAATGTTAATTTATTATTTTATAAATAGTTCATAGATTAAATATATAGCTTATCAAATTAGCTAACCATGTTTTATTTTATTATTTCATTTTCATTTTCTATTTCTCTTTTTATACTTAATTATTATATAAGAAATCTGTTAATCGAATCAATTCTAAACAATAATGGCCAATTAAAGATTTATATAATATTGCTAAATCTGAATGTTAAGGATTGAAGATATCGCAGATTCCCCATGGAAATTTTCTAAATTCAATAAATCAATCATTACCTTCCATATATAAGATGATTTCCTACTTGAAATTATTCTACCGAACTTATAATTACATAAGGAGGTGTAGATCCAAATTGACTTCTCTCATTGAAATTATTATTGCATTAGCATTTAAACAAATCAATATGATATTCATTTATCAAATCATTAAACTGTTATTTAAGTTAGATAATCTCATTTTTAGTATAAGAGTCTCCTTTGGCTAAAATGGGAATTACATTTACTAATCCACTTATCTTCTTAAGTGCTTATAAATCCTCAGTTTAAATTCTAGGTCCAGAGAAAAAGTAAAAACATACATGTACTCTTTCATCCAAGTCTTATTATGATAATTACTAAAATTTCTCTTTGCTTTCATATTATAGATTTTATCTTTGCTAGTAAGAATTAAATTAACTCCTAATATGTCCACATAATAATTTCAGCCAAGATCTTAAACTATATTAATGTCTGAATCCAGGAGTGTCAATAAATTTAATATTCAAAGTGAAATCATTTGCAGTTATTTGACCTTTGTTTTTAAAAGAATGAATACCTTATATTTCCTATATTTGAAGAGTAGAATCTCTTAAAATTTAACCAGTTCGAAACTTTTTTTTTAGTATAACATCAATGAAAGTTGATTTTCCTAATCCTGATTAACCAACAACCATAATATTCAAATAAATCTAAATTTAAAAATATATTATTATACAGGTTTATGATCTCTTTACTTTTTTTATTCAATAAGTGCTTTAATTTCAGATCCAGGATATGAATCTCCTAAAGATTCTACTATTTGTGATTCATACTCTGACTTTTCGATGTCTTATTGAATTATAGGTAAGGGTTATTTTAAAGAAGATGATTTACTAGATGAAGGAGTAAATTTTACTTTTCTTAATATTCTGATGTTTCACTAGCTTATTCATCAAATTTATGATCACTTTACTTGATTGTACCAGTTGGCCCATTGATGATTGAGAAATCTTCTGTTCTTTATGAATTATCTAATTAAATTGGCTTTAAATTTCATACAAGAAGTCTCAAGTTTAGTTCTTTTGAAATCTTGCATTATAAAATTATATTTAATAATGCAAAAATAAGCTAGGGATAGTTTTATTTATGTAAATTATAAATATTTGTTAATGAATTGAAGATGGAAGAAAATAAGGAGAAAAAAAAAGAAATATATATTAGTCACATTTAGATTTAATAATCTGAATATAATTTATTTATATAATGATTATTAAGTCTAAAGCTACAGTAACAAAGATCAAGTTACCTTAATTGGCTATGAGTCATATTCGTGAACGATCAACTCGACATTCATAGACTAGATCCTTGAATCCATCTCAATCTCCTATGTCTAAAATTTTATAGCCAACAACTCCATTGCATTCAACTCATCATAAGAACTCCTCTTATTATCATTATTCTAGCATAATGAAAATAGAATAAGCTCCTCTTAATGAAGTCGAAATGTTTAACTGTTTATATAAACCTCTTGATGCTGCCACAACAACTAAAAATAAAGATAGTCCTCTAAAGCGTATACGAAATAGTAGTAATGAGAACTTTTAGAATAATTTTATGATATCTCGAGATCCTCGCAGAAGTGCACCTGATTTAGACTTGTATCCAAATTACTTGAAAAAGCCTTAATTATAAAATCAAACAAAGAGAATTGAAATAAGAGAGAAAATAATGGAAATATATCATTAGGTTGAGAAATTACTGAAAAATCATAAGGGTTATGTAAGATAAGTAGAAAAGAAGCAAGCTGTAATTACTTTAGTAAAGTTAAGAAAAGAATTCATACTTTTAAATTAGGATTATAATGATTATTATATTTTACCAAAAGCAGAACCTGATCTTGAATTTAAGAATAGAATGGAAATGTTAATTAATTTATTTTAACCTAATAAATTATAAAAGAGCAATAGAATAAATCTATTATTTAATTGTGATGATTCATTCAATACTGCTGAATAAAGTTAGATAATGCAATTTTTGTCTGATTAATTTAGTGATCAAGATTAATATAATACAACCTCTTAGTAATCTTGTGAGAACTTATCTGAAGTATCTGGAACAATCAGTCAATCAAAAAGAAATGCTTAATAGCATAGAAACACAAAAGTTTCAGTATCAAGATAATCAAAGTTAATTAATCCAATAGAATCATAATAAATTTAATAAACACAAGTTGATTCATAAAAATAGAAACGAAAAAGTATTAAATAAGATTTAAAGGAATCAAAAACTTAAATACCTAGAAAATATACTAAATTAAGTATTGAAGATATCATGGATACAAAAGATAAGAATGCTAATATAAATTATTTAGATGATGAAGAAGAACCAAGTGATAATGGTACAGGTGATAAAGGTACAGATACAAAAAGAAGAGTAAGAAGAGATGCAAAAGTAATAAGCAGAAAAAATGCTATTTTTGCAGCTAATGGCTAATAAATTGATAAGAAAAATTATAGAATTAATACTGATGGATAGATGGTAAGTGATTAATTGTCTGATTAAGATAAATCTAGTGATAATAGAAGGTAATCTGAAGAAACAAATAGAAATGGTTTAGAGAATAGAGAAGATTTATTATCTAATTAGGAATAAATTGATGAGATATTAAATCAAGTTGAAAATGAGTTAATTGCTTATTAGAAAATAGATGAAAATGATAATAAAAGAAGAAGAGGTAAAGGAATGGAATTTGATATGGATAATAATAATAATCAATAAAGTAAGTTTTAAAAGTAATAAACTAAATATGACTAAAATTTTATCATTAAATAAAGTTAAATATACAAAACAGAACCAGAATTTTTAAATTAAATAATTGATGAAACTGGTTTAATTGAAGCCTTGTACAATTGTTAATACATTTATGATTCTCGAATATTGGATTTATATAGAATAGATAAATAATATACTACATGGGATGATGATATAGATTATATTTACTGTGGAGAATATTAATTCAAATGATATATTATATATATATAATGTTTATTAATGATCATTATTATACTTTTTCTTGTGCTTTTTACAATAAATCAAAGAAATTGATTGATGAACTTCCTGTTGGTAGATTTAGAAAGCCCATAGCTGTAAAAGCTTGAAGATGTAATTTAAATCCATCTATATTATCATAATTGGAAAATGTTGGACATAAAAATATTATGTGTTTGCTTATTAATAAATTAAATCCCATTTTAAGAGCAGCAGCTAAATATTAAAATATTAGATTACTATGATCATAATCCAAAATTATTGATAAAATCTTTAATATTATATCCATAACAGATTCAGCTGTTAAAATCTATGGAGGGAATGCAAAGTAATGTTGAATATCCAAAGATTTAACTACATTATAATTATACAAATTATACGTTTAAACACTTCTCTTTGTACTTCATAACATTAACTTCTTTGATCAAGAATAAATTCTTCAATTGGCATTAATTATTTATAATTAACTTATACTTTCTTTTCATTTAAGAATTTAAACAGTTTCTTATTAGCTTTATTTAATTCTGCATGTTATCTTAAAATAATTGAATAATGACCATTAGATAATGGTAAAAATGATTCTAAATCTTATGGAAGTATATTCAAAACAACTAAAGCATCACATTTATTAATAATTTTGGTTACAACTTCACAATCTTATATAGTAATTGATTTAAATATATCTAATTAGTGATCATATAATCCTTCACAATTTGATTATGCACTACTTTTCTTATATGAATTTATTCTTCCTCTTTTAATACAACTATAATCATCAATATGATTATCTATAGGTTTACATAACAACATTTAACCATCCATCAAAGGAAATGGATGCAAAATGAGTGCATATTGATTTCTAAATTTGTGAACATACAATTCTGATACATCAATTTTATCAGGCTTCTCTTAATTAGTATTTAAGATAGTTTCTATATCCTCTTATAAATCTAGTATAGCTCCACCTCCAATAGATTAAACTTAATCTAATTCTTATTATTCTATAGTAGGATTTATTTATTCTTGCTATTAATCAGTTTATTATGGATCATCAATCTATTCATTTTTTATTACATCTTGTTCACCTTCTTCATTTGGTTATTCAGCAATTGGTTAAGTTTGAATGGTTGCCTTAGGAGAAGAATTAGTATCATTTAATTCATTAGTGTCTCTTCTGATATCAGGTGAAATCATGCCTGAATAATAATATATTATTACTATTCTTATGAGATTATTCTCTCTCTTTCTATTATGCCAATTCTTATAATTATTATTATAATTATTCTTATTCTAAAGTAAGAAATCTGGCTGTTTCACTAAACCATAATATTTGTTTGATTACTAATTTACCATCTTCTTTGACTTCAACATCAACATAATTAGATTCTTATATGGTTTCTTTATTTTCTTCAAAATAATGAGATTCTTATAATTTTTTGATTGGTCTCAATCTATCATCAAATTTATATAGGAACTAAAATAAAATAGAAGAATCACCTTCATTCCATTTCTAAAACTAGATGAGTAAATACTATCAGTTGATAAGTTACGTTTGACATCTGTTCGTATTAAATTATTTAGTGAATCATACCAAGTCTTCAATTTTTCTTTGACACCACTTTTAAATGACTATTTGAATACACCATCNTTTATAATTAACTTATACTTTCTTTTCATTTAAGAATTTAAACAATTTCTTATTAGCTTTATTTAATTCTGCATGTTATCTTAAAATAATAGAATAATGTCCATTAGATAATGGTAAAAATGATTCTAAATCTTATGGAAGAATATTCAAAACAACTAAAGCATCACATTTATTAATAATTTTGGTAACAACTTCACAATCTTAAATAGTAATTGATTTAAATATATCTAATTAGTGCTCATATAATCCTTCACAATTTGATTATGCACTACTTTTCTTGTATGAATTTATTCTTCCTCTTTTAATACAACTATAATCATCAATATGATTATCTATAGGTTTACATAACAACATTTAACCATCCATTAATGGAAATGGATGTAAAATTAATGCATATTGATTTCTAAACTTATGAACAAATAATTCTGACACATCAATTTTGTCTGGTTTTTCTTAATTATTGTTTAAGATAGTTTCAATATCTTCTTATAAATCCATTATAGCTCCTCCATCTCCAATAGATTAAACTTAATCTAATTCTTATTGTTCAATAGTTGGATTAATTTATTCTTATTATTAATCAGTAACTTATTGATCAATCTATTAAAGATCTTCAATCTAATCATTTTTTATGATATCTTATTCCCCATCTTCATTAGGTTATTCAACAATTGGTTAAGTTTAAATTGTTGCCTTAGGAGATGAGTTTATATCATTTATTTCATTATTGTCTCTTCTAATATCAGATGAAATTATGCCTTAATGATAATATATTATTACTATTCTTATGAGATTATTCCCTCTCTCTCTATTATGCCAATTCTTATAATTATTATTATAATTATTCTTATTCTAAAGTAAGAAATCTGGCTGTTTCACTAAACCATAATATTTGTTTGATTACTAATTTACCATCTTCTTTGACTTCAACATCAACATAATTAGATTCTTATATGGTTTCTTTATTTTCTTCAAAATAATGAGATTCTTATAATTTTTTGATTGGTCTCAATCTATCATCAAATTTATATAGGAACTAAAATTAAATAGAGGAATCACCTTCATTCCATTTCTAAAACTAGATGAGTAAATACTATCAGTTGATAAGTTACGTTTGACATCTGTTCGTATTAAATTATTTAGTGAATCATACCAAGTCTTCAATTTTTCTTTGACACCACTTTTAAATGACTATTTGAATACACCATCTGTTGGTTATACAATATTATTAGAATAAATGATAAGCATCTGTTATTCTATTTTCTCAACTAATGTTTTCTTGTTTCTCTATAATTTTAATTTTAGATCCAATTCTTATTTGGCTATTTTCTTATTGACATCAGGAGTAATAGGTCCTTATCTTAATTTTGGATCAGAGAAACCAAATCTACTCTCTGCTAATGAAATAAATGCCTAAATGATTTGCATAATAATACATTTCTGTCTCCAATTAGACATCCATCCATTGTATATATGATGGGATTACTTTTTTATTTAAATCCATATATTCTACATATCTCATCAGCATATTATTCCCATTAAGTTAGATCTTTCAATACAATTTTGAATGAGATTTCTGGATAATATTGTCTAATTAGATTGGCCATGTTCTCACACTATTAAGTTTAAAAGAATAGAGAATACTTCAGCTGTATCTACTTTATCAGAACTGCCTGCTATAATATATGAACTCATTTTTATTAATTAATGTTTATTTGTATTGTACTATAATTAATGAATCTAAATCAACGATTGGTTTTGGCAACTTTCTCTAATTCGTCTCTCTTTTTAATTGTATATGACTTTTATCCATCTTCATTGGATGCTGCAATCAATTCATCAGCTAAGGCTTCAGCTATTGTTTTCATCTTCTTAAATACTGATTCTCTAACACCTTTGGCTAAATTGTGAACAGCCTTTCATTATCATTCAATTCTATACTTCATTAACTCTTCTAATTGGAGCAACATCAACAGCTTATTATTTGGCAACACCACCAGTTCCTACTTTTGTAAAATCTTCTCTTGCTCCACCTCTTTAGACAGCAAGTGATAATACTGCAAGTGGATTTTTTCCTGTCAACAAATGAACAATTTCAAATGCATGTCTGATTATTGCCACAGCCTTTACTTTCTTACCTGTATTTCTGCCATGAAACATAAGTGCTCCAGCCAATCTCTCAACAATTGGACATTAAGCCTTTCTAAACTTCTTTCTTTGATANGGAATCACCTTCATTCCATTTCTAAAACTAGATGAGTAAATACTATCAGTTGATAAGTTACGTTTGACATCTGTTCGTATTAAATTATTTAGTGAATCATACCAAGTCTTCAATTTTTCTTTGACACCACTTTTAAATGACTATTTGAATACACCATCTGTTGGTTATACAATATTATTAGAATAAATGATAAGCATCTGTTATTCTATTTTCTCTACTAATGTTTTCTTGTTTCTCTATAATTTTAATTTTAGATCCAATTCTTATTTGGCTATTTTCTTATTGACATCAGGAGTAATAGGTCCTTATCTTAATTTTGGATCAGAGAAACCAAATCTACTCTCTGCTAATGAAATAAATGCCTAAATGATTTGCATAATAATACATTTCTGTCTCCAATTAGACATCCATCCATTGTATATATGATGGGATTACTTTTTTATTTAAATCCATATATTCTACAAATCTCATCAGCATATTATTCCCATTAAGTTAGATCTTTCAATACAATTTTGAATGAGATTTCTGGATAATATTGTCTAATTAGATTGGCCATGTTCTCACACTATTAAGTTTAAAAGAATAGAGAATACTTCAGCTGTATCTACTTTATCAGAACTGCCTGCTATAATATATGAACTCATTTTTATTAATTAATGTTTATTTGTATTGTACTATAATTAATGAATCTAAATCAACGATTGGTTTTGGCAACTTTCTCTAATTCGTCTCTCTTTTTAATTGTATATGACTTTTATCCATCTTCATTGGATGCTGCAATCAATTCATCAGCTAAGGCTTCAGCTATTGTTTTCATCTTCTTAAATACTGATTCTCTAACACCTTTGGCTAAATTGTGAACAGCCTTTCATTATCATTCAATTCTATACTTCATTAACTCTTCTAATTGGAGCAACATCAACAGCTTATTATTTGGCAACACCACCAGTTCCTACTTTTGTAAAATCTTCTCTTGCTCCACCTCTTTAGACAGCAAGTGATAATACTGCAAGGGGATTTTTTCCTGTCAACAAATGAACAATTTCAAATGCATGTCTGATTATTGCCACAGCCTTTACTTTCTTACCTGTATTTCTGCCATGAAACATAAGTGCTCCAGCCAATCTCTCAACAATTGGACATTAAGCCTTTCTAAACTTCTTTCTTTGATATCTATAAACATTATAATTGAATCTCTTTACCTTCCAGCAGTATGAGGTACAAACACACGTGATTTTGATGTTTGAACTGCAATATAATCTTTGAAGCATTAATCTGTTACTTAAACCTCATCATAATCCCATTTTCCGAATAATTTAGGTTGATTTGCAAATTTGACTGTAGCTACAGATTCTTATTCAGCCATAATATTTTTTTTAAAAAGGATATTTTATTTATTTAAAATTTGATATATTTTACATGATTAAACAATCATTCAAAACTAAAGTGGCTTTAATGTTATCATATATTGGTACCAATTATCATGGACTACAATATTAATAATCGTATCCAACAATTGAATCCACACTATATGATGCTCTTATTAAAACAGTAATTTTGAATAATATCAAGGAATTTAGTTTCTGAATTAAATGCAGATAGTATTAAAAAAATAGGAGTAAGTAGAGGAGCAAGAACAGATCGAGGTGTACATGCATTATGTAATTATGTTTCTTTGAAATTGCAAATTGATTAAAAATATTGTTAATCTATGACTAATAATAAATTAGTTGATAAATGGAATATTAATTGGGATCTTTTGATTAATGAATTAAATTCATAATTGCCAACTGATATTAGAGTTAATGGTATTAAACATGTAACTCAATCTTTTAATGTAAAAAATTAAGCAGATTAAAGAATGTATAATTATATTTCACCTTAATTTTCCACTGTGAATGATATTTAGAAAATATGTTAATAATATATAGGAACACATAACTTTCATAATTACACTTCAAAAAAAGAATATAATGATCCATCATCAAAAAGATTTATATAGGAATTTAATGTTTAAACACTCAATTTTCATAATGAGAATTATCTAAAGTTCACTATTCTTGGAAATAGTTTTATGTATCATTAAATTAGAAAAATGATAGGAACTATTTATTAAATCATATAAGAGAAAAAAGATTTATAATTCATTCAGGACACTTTCACTTAATAAAAGCATTCTCTTTATATTGCTCCATAATAAGGATTGTATTTAAAAGAAATCAAATTCACAGGATATAATATGAAGAAAGATATCCCATAGAAATTAGAAATAGATTTCAAATAATAGAAATTAATTGATTCATTTGAAGATGAACTCATCAAATATATATGTGAACAGTATGAATCTTAAAACATTTTTGAAGAATGGTATAAAGAGATATAACAATATAAACAATGACCAAATATATAATTATTTATATAATCATAATGGATTAACATCATTCTAAATCTTTTGGAGCTTTCAATTAGTTGAACTGTCAACTTTTTAAACCAAAACCTCTTTCTTTTAGACTTCAAATAGGTAAATTATCTCATTAATTTCAAAGGTCCAATACCTACTGAAACACCTCGAGTCCTCAAATAAGCTCTCATCACTCCTTCAACTAATGATAATGATTCAAAGTATCACTTTTCATAATTTAGTCATTCACCCTCTCCATAATTACGAGCCTTCAAATCCTACAGAGTTTCCACTGAAATGTTAATTGGATCTCCAATTGATTAGATATAGTTAATTATTAGAGAAAATGAGAACTTGAAAAAATCCTTGAACTAAAAATAAAAGATTATTGATACTTTGACTCGATCATAGAAAACAAAAACTCGATTAGATTTCAATGACTTAAAAAAGAATTCAAGGTCACATATTTAACCTCAAAGCTAACAGGAAGCCATCAAACCTAAGTTAATAGAAGTAAAGTAATCTATCTCTCAAAATTACAATAAACGCACCAAGTTACCAAAAATTGAAGACTCTATCTAAAAAGAAGATGATTGTAACTTCACATTCGCTAAGAATTTTTTCAATAGTAATGCTACTTGTCAAAATCAAAAGATTAATTTTAAATAAGTATTTGCCTAATCTCATTTGAAGAAGAAATTTTTCACTTGATAATTAATTTTTATATAATAATTTAAATGAAAGACAATTATGATCATATCACAACTTCTTAAGCTATTTTTGATGTAGTTAAAAGAGGTAATTATGTTGAAGAAACACGTATACAATATGAAATCAAATGTATTGGAACTGAAATAGAAACAGCTCAAATGTAAAAATTTAATATTCAATTTAAAAGGGGAAAAGACACAGTTAAATATAAGTTTACAATAACTAAAATTGATTTGTTAACAGATACAAAAAAGTCTCATGAATTTGTCAGAAGGTATTAAAATAATATTACAATATAGATATACACATTTCTTATGGTTATAAAATGAATTACAAAATAAGTAAATAGGTAGAGTGATTCCTAGTCTACCTGAGAAATAAACTGTTTATGATAAAGATAAAAGGTATCATTATCTAAGATAATATAATAGAAAATTAGAATTTGTCTACTTTATGTAAAAAATATTAAGTCATAAAAAACTATAATAAATTGATTGTCTAGAACGTTTTTTTAGTGAAGAATTAAGAGTAATGATTGAATATACATTAGGATTATGATGCATTTCAACACTATATTGAAAATATGAAAGAGTCTTAATCAATGTTTAATATGGTTATAAATACTGGGATATCAGTTATGAATATGTTCTCAAAATTTTATAATTATAATGCTGTTTAAATTATAAATAGAATTCCTGATGAAAATGATAAATAATTTGAAGAATGTAAAATAATAATAATAATTTATATAAAGTTAAGAAAGAATTAGAATAAAACAAATCTAATACTGAAATAATAACATCTGATATCTAAAAAATTGTTTAGAAATTGTAGATACAAGCTAGATCATTATCAAATAGTTTTGATATATTCAGTATATTATATAAATTGAATTAGTGAATGAATGTTAAGGTGTTGAAGAATTTACTACATTAAAAACAATTATAAAAATATATGAAAGTTATGAAATTAAATTAAGATAAAAATATGTTTATAGAATGGAAGCAAGTATTAAAGATTATGATTAAGCAATTAAATTAATAAATCTTTATAAAGAATTAAAAGAGTAGATCAATAAAGATACTTAATTAATCAATAATCCAAATTATAGATCATAGATAGATGAATTGAAAATGTAAATCAACAATAACAAATAAAAAGTAGAATAATTGCATATTAACTTTCTTGATGATATTGATCTCTTTAAATAACAATAAAGTTGGTGTTTGAATGATGTATAGAAAAAGTTTTATATCGATTTGTAAGAGTGTTACGACTCAATAAAATAATAGAAAACTGCTTAGCATTTGTGAAATCTATAAAAATTATATTATTTTGGTATCTGACAAAACATTTATTATTTAATTAACTTATTGATATATTTCGAATATATGTCTAAAAAGAATTTAGAAGAATATGAATAAGAAGAAGAGTAATAAGAGGATGAAGAAGTAGAATTAATTGAAGATAATGGATTAAAAGAATTATATGAAAATTAAGGTATATATTGAATCTTCTATAAAATCAGAATAATTCATCAAATAAATTAATTAACTTAATCAATAAGGAGTTATCAAAATTAAGCTATAAAAATATTAGGATGCTATGAAATTGTTATAATAATCAGAATAAATGTTGGAAGTAAAAGAAGTAGATAGTATAATAGTATGCAACAAGTTGTGGCAAATAAATTGATAAGAATCTTATTATTGTCATACTTTATAATCAGGCATGCAGTTATTAATGGTAAATATTTTATTATAACAATCAAGTTAATGGATTTTAGATAAATGTTCAAAATATTTAACTGGAGTCATATATAATCTTGATGAGAGCATGAAAGAAGAAGATTTAAATGATAATACTATAACAAATGAAGAACTTAGTGATGCCACTTAAGTTAAGAAGAAATCATTTCTTGCAAGAGCTTCATTATAACATACTGCAATATTGAGCTAATTGGGAAAGTAAGACTAAATTAAATTATTAGACATACATAAGCACTATAATCAGCTAGAAAAGCAGCAGAAACTATGAGAGAAGTATTTAAATTAGCCTCACAATTTTGTAATGATTGGGTCAACAAAAATGGATCATTATAATCAGCAGCAACTACTCAATCATGTATGAACTATAAAACAAAGCAAAAAAATACTAAATTTTAAATGAAGGATGAAGTTGAATTTAGTAGATTAGTAATTAATTCAGGAAATGACATATTGTTAGATTTGTTGAAATATTAAGATTTAGATAATATATCTAATAATGAATAATTGATATTAAGAGAGGCTAAGAAGTAGTTGTATTTTTGGAAGAATAATCCAACAAACAATGAAAAACACATTCGTTAAGAATTAAAAATAAATAATAAACCAGATGATTATCGCTCAATCTTAGGAGTTTAAAATGTTGAAGAATGGATACAATCTTTTAATGTTAGTTTTATTATGCACATGACTCCATTAATTCATAATGAATTTTCATAACAAGGTGAAATGTTATATGAGATATCCAAAAGAATGTTATTGGAAAAGATTATTTAATTATCAATCTCATATTTCACTATTGCAACTGAATTAAGATTTATAGAATTAGAAAAAGCAAAACAATTAGGAATTAAAGAATTAAATACTGAAGAATTTAAATTAAGTGAATTATATCATCTTAAAGCTATTGAAATTGCATGTAAACATATAGCTTGTTCTTCACAATATATAAATCATCTAATAACAACTTATCATAAACATTATAATTCTAATTTAGATACTATTTAAGAAGAGTCAATCTCTACTATAGTATCAGAGTTCAACTATAAAGAATAAAAATTTTAGTAACTGAAATAAATGCAAATTCAAACTTAAAGAGAAAATTAATTGCTCTTATAGAAAATAACTGAAAAAAAACTGAATGATTCTTCTCCTACTGGAAGATTAGTAAATTCTTTTTAGGGTCTACAATCTCCACTTAAAAGTTGTAGAAATATTAGTGATAATATTAAGATTTAGGCTAATTTCCTTGATTAGATGATACGTAACAAAAGAAGATAGTAAATGCCTTCTGATATATCTCCAAAATAAAAGTTTTAATTTTTAAATATATCTAATAATAATAGTTGTGAAAGAGTCAATGAGAAAATGTTAAAAATAAAGGATAATCTTACAATTTAATTATAACCTTATAAATCAGCTAAAACAACTTTTAATCATATAATAAAATAACTTCCTTTTACTAAATAGAATAATAATGGATTAGTAAAGTCCTTTCTTCTTGAAAGTTCTAGAGTGCAAAGATAAAATTTTATATCAAATTGCTCTCCAAAAAGGGGAGGAAGATCTCCTAAAAAATCTCCAGATAAATCTTATGTAAATTATAAAACTAGGACTTCGATTCCATATAACAAATAAAATATTATAGAATCATGTATTGATAAAACTATTTTATAGAAATTCCAATGAAATTAGAGACTTTGTAATAGTCATTAATAGGAAAATCATATTATAATTAAAAAAGAAAATGAATATAAGTTATCATTCTTTTTACTGTTTTTTGTTTATAATAATTTATATTGAATTTATGTAAGAATCTTCATAATAATTAAAATCCTCTTGAACTCTTATTAAATCTATCATCAGTCAATTCTAAAGTACTTCCCATGTAGGATTATTAATGTATCAATTATTATTACTATTAACTATTACTTCTTATAGTGTTTAATAAATTAATCACTCTGTTTTAATATTCATTGATATTATTATTTCTATGGGATTTATCATTTGAATTCAATGGTAATAATGAAATATCTGATTTAGTTTATTTTTAGTTAATTATCTATTCTAAAATAGTTGAATATTTCATCATTTTCTAATTTAAATTTAATTCCTTTTTAACTAATATATCCTCTTTTTAAGCTAATTAATTCTCTTTCTCTTTCAATTTCTTTTCTTTTTTTATTAACTATACTTAATTATTATGATAGAAGATACTTATGTTTCTTTTTGTAATAATTTCTATTCCCATTAATTAAAAAGATCTTTATTTGTGTTATTATCTATTGGCTAGGATATTTTGTTAATCAAGGATGGTTTAAGTAAATTATCGACTTAATTCATAACTGAAAAAATTAATAATTAATCATCAAAATTTAAATTAATAAGATGTAGCTGTTGTCTAGAATACAGAATTTTTTATTTTTGGTGACTCAGTATGTGTTCTAAAAGTATTGAATTAAAATTTCTTATTCATTCTTTTCAATTCCTTTTACCTCTTATTAATAAAACTCTTATATTTCATAAAATATTACCTACTACATTTAAGTAATATTCATTGCTGAGATTTCAGCTGAACCACTCGTATTTAGATGTTTAGAAACATACATTTTAAGATCTTATTGAAAATTAGATATATCTTTAGCTTCTTCGTTATTTATCGTATATGCTTTTACTTATTCTTCTTATTCATTTGCATTTTTAATCTCGAACAAATAATTATTTTTATTGAAATTTTAAGCTTCTGAAATTAATACATCTTATTAACTGAAGGTTCTTCTTAATGAAGGTGAAAGTTTAGGTATATCTTAATAATCAATACATATATTATTAGATTATTTTTAGTCTTAATCATTTTTAACATCTTATTTTTTATTCAGATGCTTGAATAATTCATCTGAATACTTCTCTTTTTATTTTAATTCTAAATTACAAATAGGTTAAAAACACTTAAATTATTCTATTACAGTTGAATTTCTCTTTTTTAAAAGAGGTAATATTTCAAAAAATCTTTATCCTTTATATTTAACATATGTCTTTAAGTCATCTCTATTTTTTTTATGTAAAGCTCTAATACTTTTAATTGCTTCTGTTTTATTTTAAGTTTTATGCATATCATTTAGTTCTTATATATATTAATTCATGTATTCTATTTTATCTTAATAATCAATTTATTATTCTTTTGTTTTAAAATGTTTATCCAATTAATTTTCATACTATTAATCAATTTTTATGTCTTCTACATTACTTTTCCAATTATGATGTACTGGAATTTTAATTTAATTTGCACCTATGTTTAATTTTTTGTAATTAGTTTTTTCATTCTTCTAATCAGCTGGTTCCTCTGTTAAACCATATCTTATTATTCTTTTTTGACTAAATGATCTACATTATTTAATATCTGAATAATTTTCTCTTAGATATAAATATGCAACAACTTTTTTCATTCTATTCTCCTATCCATTTTGACTATTCATATCAGGACATGAATTAAAAAAAGGAACCTCATAATCATTTTAAATACTTATATATTATTTCTATTCTTATGTTCATTGAGACTTCTCTTTATTTTAGGTTTCATTATAAAATTAATAAAATATATCAATAACTTAATTTTACATTAAATCATTAAGCATATACTAAATTTCACTATGTTTCTATACTAAAATAGTTTAAAATATCCATATTTTTATATAAACATCATTCATCTCTAATTTATGATAAATGAAGTACATTAAATCATTTTAGTCTTTAAATCAATTAATTATTAAATAAATAATATATTTTAGATTAGATATCAGAAATATGTTAAGAAGTTAGATAACAATAGGATAAATGTCAATTAGTAAAATATGACTGATTACTATGAATTTTATTATGTAATTAATTTAAAAAAGAGAATCGCCAATTAATTATTATAAATCTAATTGTCTTATCTGAAAAAAGCAATTGATAATGCTCCTTTGTAAATTAATTTTGAAATTTAGAATAAATATTTCAATCTAATATCAGATTTTAATATAATTTTATATATAAGTAAAAATGTAAGACCCCTCAGATTTAAATTGCCAAGTTGAAAATGAGCCAAGTATCTAACAAATTAGATCAATCAAGATTTAAAAGAATAAAAGGTTAGTGATGAAATTTTCATCTGATTCTGAAAATGTAGAAAGTGATTAGAGCGTTGATAACTCTTAATATTACAGAAAATAATTTTTAGAGAGTTATTCAATGTTTACAACAAAGAATTCAATCCCAGGAAAATTTAAAAGCTTAAATTAACCAAGCTATTCTGAAACTTATAAGGCAAAACTTGCATCAATACGAAAAATAAAATCATTTAGACTTGATGATGACATATATAGTTAAGATGAAGAAGAAAGTTTGCCAAAAGAATTGATGTTAGTCAATTTTCAGTTTAGATAAGATGCTATAATTAATGTTTAAAAAATCCTTAAATAAAAGAAATGATATTACTATGGATTTTTCACTTAATTACTTTTACAACTAATGGAATAAAAAAGTTTATGATTTTAATTCTTATAGTTTTTTGAATCAATAACTTTTAAAATCATATCATTTCTTCTATATTGTAACTTATTGAGTGATCTTTATTTCAATAAATGTTAATATCATCAATTAATATTCTATTGTCATTTCCTATCTAACATTTATCTTTAGATAATTATCAAATAAATCTTTATTGTTGAATAATAATCAAGTGATTGTGTATGTTAATGACTAGTTACTAAGTGCATAATTAAATTTAATTCTCCATCCAATTAATTATTTTAGAGAATTATTTGTATAAATATATTATAAATTTTTTATCTACTTATTATTTTATATATAAGTTAAACAAAACCTTAAGTATTATGTAAACAAAAATATTAAATCTAAATTAATAAAAAAAGTGTATATAAATTAAATAAGTCAAAATATAGAGGAATTCATTTTTGTTTAAGACTTTTCTTAAAATTCTATATCATTTATTTCTTTTATAATTATTAGAAAAACGCTTTGAAGATCTAAATTTGTCTATGTTCATCAGCTATCTGAATATTCTTTCTTTCAGCATGTTATTCTAAGGCATTATATGTTTTCATCAAAAGTTTACGTTAATAGAAAATTTAAGCTAATTGATCTAAATCATCATCTATTCTAGATATTTATTTTATAATTGTCTCTGATTTTCTATTTGGAATAGCAAAATCATTAGGTAGAGTTGGTTTAAAATGTTAAACAGATGGACGATTTACTATTATTGGTACTCTCTCTTATTTAACTGATTTAGTAAATAATTCAGTTTAGTAATGATGAACATCATCTTATTCATTTAGTATCTGTTTTTAAAGTTAAAGATTTCTTTAAAATGATTTATATTATGAATCCTCTGTATTTGGTTTTTATTAAGTCTATATAAAATAATATTTTATTATACTAGGTATTCAGCTATTGGTACATTTAAAAAGTTAAGAGTTTTCTCTCTTAATACACTTTTATGATTTAATAAATTGGCAGACGACATTAAATTAACAGATAATATAATAAATTATATCTGTTATAAGTTTTATTTCTTTAATATATATAAGATTATCAAAATGGTTGCTGATTTCCTTCTTCTGGTTAATCCTAAAGAGGATTTGGTTATGGGGGTATTTAAGATTATTGTATTTGAGATTATTATTGAACTTATGAATTTTGTACTTGTTTTCCAAAAGCACGACGACCAGTATTCTTTTTTTGAAATATAGTTGAAGGTTATTAATCAATTGATTATTATTATTATTATTATTATTATTATTATTATTATTATTATTATTATCTTATCTCATTATGATTGTAATCCTAAAAAGGTTTATCTTATTTATTCTCTTAATTTTCTTCATCATCCTATTTTGGTTGTTATATCATTCCTTCTCTATAAATCAATGTTTATCTTAAAACAAGTCTTGATGAAAAAGGAGGTCTCCAATTTTAAGGCATTATTGTTTAATAATTGAATAATAATCCAAAAAGAACTATAAATATGAATCCATAAATAAAATGATAAATGCTTATTAATATTAGATTCCTTTTGTTTTCATCTAATAAATTAGTTGAAGAACTCTCATAATATTATTGTTTTCTCCATTAAGTCATTTTATTCCATCCTTCTTATAAATCATCTGTAGTAAGACTATATGATGAAATTATAGAAACAACTCCTATTATTATAGCAGCTAAAGCATAAAGTAATAAAGGCCATCTAATATAAACTACAATTGAATGTTTCACATTTTCAAGAGCATAGTAAATCATATATAGAAACAATAATGTAAAAAAGTAATATGCAATAATGCTTTATTAAAAGGGCACAGGAGCTTCTATTCCATTCATTGAGCATACCTAAAGTCCTGGTATCATACTAATTAATTTAAAATTCAAATTTACCATAACGCTTATAAATATATTGTACAAAACAAAAAGCAAAAGCATAATAACCACAAAATACAGTTCTTTGATCGTAATAAATTTTAATCTAATGCATTTCCACCTACCTAAGCATTTTGATCATTTAACGGTTCCATACTTCCGTGTCTTTATAATTATTATTACATATAAATTTATCATATATTCAAATTTAATTATATATGAATAATTGCTATTTTGATCTTCTATTATTATTAGATTAAATCTGATCAATAAAATATTAGGATATTTTAAATATATCTTAATTGATTATTCCTAAATATTTTTATTAAATTTAGCTATAACACTTAATTAAAAAAGTATATAATTATGTTATATATGAACATTAATCTTATTTCTATTTAATAATTTCTTTTCATTATCCTTATATTTTTAATATGTCTAATTGTAAATCATAATTCTTTCTCTTGCTATTATAAAAAATTAAAATATTTATGAATTTGATTAATATGTTTTCTTAGAATTCTATTATTTGAAATAGTAAAACTATTTTAAGTTTATTATTCACTTACAAGGATTTAATCTGATACCTTATTATTGATATTTATTAAATTTAAGTAATATTGTTGTCTTCAAAATACAAAATCATAAGTTCACTCAAAAAATTAAAATCTTTGTTATTTGTTTAAAGCACACCATTTATTCATGACCATAAAAGAAATATATTCTAAAAATAGTCAATTAAATGATGGTAAAATAATTTAAATATTTTAAAAATATATCATAATAATTTTCCAATTCAAAATAGAAATAATTTGAATTATATTTTGATAATTATGGAATCATATTCAAATTCATTTAATTTATGTTGATCTTATAAAATTTTTAGAATAATATGAAATATTTACATGATTCCATAATTATTGAAATTTTCAATTAAATTTAGTATAAAGTACTTATTAATTTATCAAAAATATATATGAAATCATATTTGTATAATAATCAGATAACTTTGATAGATAGCTATGAATTTTTAAATAAATAAAGTATATAAATATTATTTTAGTATTATCACAAGCTTTTCACTAATTTACAAAAACACAAGTTGTTTAAATTGTTTTAGATTTAATAATAATAGTTAATTAATATATTTTATCAAGAAAAGATATAAAGAATAAAAAAAAGTAAAAAATTAAATAACAGCACATAAATTGTAATATAATAATTTTTTTGATTTTTCTATAAATTGAATCATATTTCTAGTTTTTGAATATAGCTCTTAATTCCATCATTGAATCTGCTTGTGAAAATTTCAATACATTCATTGATGATTCCAAGTTCAGTATTTCTAATAATAAAAAATAAATGATATACTTTGATTATCTTACATTTTGATGAGCTTTCAATTCATCAGCACAAGTCTTTTACCAATCTGCCATTTCTTAAGTTTTTACATCTAATAATTATCCTTTAGATTCAATATCATTTTTTAATTCTAATAAATTTTATCTCAAATTTTCAGCATTTGCAGATAAATCAGCCAAACTTGTTTCAAGTGTCTTACTTTCTAATTCATATCTTGCTTTTTATAATAGATAAAGTTCTTATTTAGCTTTTTCTCCTTAATGTCCAACTTTTTATAAATGTTCCAAAGACTTTAAATAATGATTATATTATTTACTTCAATTAATTCATCAATAATTTAAACAACTTTAGAAACATTTTCATCTCCTGATGCTGCTACTAACATCTTGACAAGTCCATTATAAGGTGTTTATTTATTGTGTAAGGATTCTAAATGTTTATGTAATTTAGCCTTAACATCAGCAACTTATATAAATGAACTATTAAGTTATGAAACAATTGATTTAGCTTTTTTTAATCCTTAAATAAATTCAACAGATTCTGTTTATTTAGCTTCAAAGGCTTTCTATAGAGATTTATTTAAAAATATTTACTTTTTCTTCTTCTCTTGACTTTTCTAAACTAGATAACCTATCTTAAATTCTTTAATCTTATCCTACTTTATCTTTAAGTTATTAATTTTTAGCAATCAATTCTTCTTATCTAAGTGGGAATAATTATTCATCTGATGCCTTTTTGGCTGAAGCTGAATCAATAACACCTTAAATTTCATCAAAACGAAGATTGCAGAGTTCTTATTAATGTCTCAAATTCTAAGTATTTTCTTCTAAGTCACTTTATGCATTAGTTTACATGGATTTCAATTGATGAACTATTCCATCGATATTTGAGCTAAGCAATTATTATTACATGGAATTTACTCTTCACTTGAAAGGGATATTTGCATTGTTGCTATGATTGTTTTACCAAATTCATATTGGGATAATTCAGAAAGTAATTCATAGTCATTTGCTGTGACTAACAAAGCAAGACATACTAAGACTATAAACTTCATATTTTTAATAAAATAAAAAACGATAATTTGTGTTAAGATTAAAAAAAAATAATAAATAAATTGAAAAAAAATATTTGTGCTTGATTAAGAAGAAACCTAAATAATTCATTCCTTTCAAACTTAAATGTTTGAGAAATCAGCACTTTAGACAACAGATAAAGCTTATTCACTGATTCCAAGTTCTCTTGTGAATTCATTCTTTAAATTTGTGTATGTATCGGTTTCTTCAGCATAGGTGTTATTCTCTAATTCTAATTCTGCAGTGTATTATTTTCTGTCAGCATCTCTTTAATCTCTGAATTCTGTCATTTAATCAATCTTTTCTATAAATTATCAATTAAATTTTATACCATTGGTGGCTGTCAAATCAACATTAACTCTATTGATTTATCTTTAGAATTCAGCATATTCATCATCTAATTATTCAAGGTATTCCTCATGGTCTTCTTAAGCTTAAGCTTCAGCAGCTGTTTAAGCATTAATTGAATCAACAACAGCATTTCTGAATTCATTAAGAGCATCAACAATTTAACCAATGATTCCTTGATCAGAGAAGTTCTAGTTTGAAGCTAATGAAATAAGAGCTTTAATCATTGGAGCCATCTTGGATCTGGATTTAATCTTTTATTCAATGTTCTTCAATGAGTTTTAGAATCTCTTGACTTATAATAATGATGGATTGGTGAGTGTTTCAAGAAGAGCAAGAGCATCATCGACTGCAGCAGTTGCATCATTTAATTCAGCAACTTAGAGTTCAAAATCTTCATGTTCTTATTCTCTTACAAGAACTGCTTCTTCATAATTCTTTCTATTGGCCTCTTAGTTTTCTTAGATTTGTTCAATTCTAACTTAGAGTTATTCTCTTCTTGGGAAAAGTAAATTATCTAATGTGTCTTATGTATTATTGACATCTAGTTAAATAAATGGATATTATTACCAATAACAGCGTCTTAGATGTCTTATTCAAGGCTAACCACTAATGAATTGTGTTCGTTGGTTCTGACTTAGAAATTGAATTCTAATTCTTCCAATTCATCTTCAAGATCGTTGATAAGCTCTTCAATAGCATCAATCAACTCTTAGACAGGTCCTCCAGCCATAGAGTGGAGTTCTACTAAGTGAAGTAATGCACTTCCATATGTGCTCTTCTTAAGGTCTGTTGTGATTTTTGCAAGATTTCTCTCTTGCACTCTAGCTGTAAAAGCTATTGCAATCAAGGCTATCAGCAATATTGATTTCATAAGAAAATTATTGTAAATAATCAATACGAAAAACACATAGTTAAACAACAAAAACGACTAGTCTTCATTAATTTAATAAACAAATTAAAAACGCTATTCATTTCTTGATAATAATATAAATATTAATGTTTTTACAATTAAAATACTATTTGATAGAAGTAATAAAATTACATAACAAACTTTACTCTTTATGTGAATCCTAAAGATTTTATATTTGAAAATCTTCATTCATAATTTACTTTTTTTATTTATATTCTTTTTTAATTAATTCAAAATCTAAAAATAAGTATAAAATTGTGTATTATTCTTCAGATCTTACCATAATATCAATAAAATAATCTTTAGAGATGCATAATGAATGATTTCATCAAATTTATAATAAATTAACTTAAATAGATGACAAATTAGTGAATATAATAATAAATTCATCATATTTTAAGTATAAGATCATCTCATTTTTATAGTCTAAAATATAGTTATAAAAATGCAATCTAATGATTGATTAAATGTAAATATGAGTAATTTTTACAGACTATATTGTGCAATGTAGTTCATAATAGATTGAAATTCTGTTTATTAATTATACAATTTATAGAATTGATGATTTTATTATTGTTATTAAATGAGCAAAGGTTTTGAAAATCTAATTAATGTCTAACCAAAAAGAATAGTTACACTTGATGAAATTACATAATAAGAAATGCTAGGTAAAGGATAGTTTGGAGTTGTTTATAGAATATTATATTAAGGTTAGACATATGCAATGAAACAAATTGTTAAATAAACATTAATTAGACATGGTAAAATAAATTCAGCTGTTCTAGAACTCAAGATCATGTACTAATTAGATCATGAAAACATTATGAAACTTATAACTCATTTTGAAGATGAGAATAATGTTTATTTAATTTTAGAATATATCGATGGATCTAATTTATATGACATTTTAAAAAGGGACACTCGCCTTTAAGAAACATATGCCATACATTATTATAGACAAATAGTTTCTACTCTTATTTATTTACATTCAAGACCTACACCAATTTTGCATAGAGATATTAAACCTGAAAATATTTTAATAACAAAAAATAATGCAATAAAATTGGCTGATTTTGGTTCTGCTAATTCTTTAGCAAAAGATGAATTAAGATTTACATTCGAAGGTACATATCTATTTATGGCACCTGAAATATATTTAAATAAAGGATATACATAATGTGTTGATATATGGAGTTTGGGTGTATTGTTATTTGAAATATTGGCTGGACATTCTCCTTTTTTGAATAAAGAAGAAGAGAATTCCTTAATGACTCATGAGAAATAGAGTGTAATTAGGGAAAATGTTTTAAATGCTCGTATTAGATTTCCAGACACTTTTCCACCATTAGCTAGAGATTTAGTAAGAAAGATCTTGAGATTAGAACCACAAAGTAGATTAAGATTAGAAGAAGTTCTTAAACATCCATGGCTTTAAAATGCTGAGGTTCTTGAATAATTGCCAATAGTAACTAAAAATCCATTAGAGGATCTTATATCATCACAAATAATAAAATTTTATGAATAAAGAAAAAATATTAATCATCATTTATTAAGAATAAGTGAATTAAAAAAAAGTATTAATGAAACTTAAATCTAAATAATGAAAGGAGAATTAGAGAAATAATAATTGAGTGAAAAATTAAAGGAATTATAATAAGTTAATGATGATTAAACTTAATCTCCAAATTTAATAAGTCCAGAAAAGATAGTAAAAATAGAAGAAAAATATAATAGATTAAAGAAGGAAATCAATCAATTATAAAAAGATATAATTTAGAATGAAATGTTTATTCATAAAAATGAGATGTAATAATAGAAACTTAATCATTATAAATCTAAAATTGATAAATAAAAAGAAATAATTGAAAGATTAGAAAGAGAATTAATATTATTAGATTAAAAGAAGAAATAAGAATAAATTAATTAAGATAAAGAATTATAAGAGTTTACTAAATTAAATAACAATAGAAATATAGAATAATCTACATCAAATAATTCTTAATATACATCATTATTAAGGGAAACAATCGAGAGATTTAAGGAATTTATGAATTTTTACAGAAATATAAAATAAGAACCTGAAACTGATTATGAATCATAAGAAGATTAATAATGGAAAAAAGAATATTATGCAATTAAAAAATCTTTATAAGAAGAATTTAAATAAGAATAAAATTTATTAATGAAATTAGAAAATGAAAATCAATAACTTAAAATTAAATTAGGATAAATAGAAGCATAAGAATAATAAGTTTAAAAAGCTGAATAAATTGTTTCTAATTTAAAATATGGATGTGATTTAAAATAAGATAGAATTGAAGAATTAAAAAAATAAAAATAAGAATATATGTCTAAGATAGAATATTGCAATAGATTTATTGAATATAATAAAAGTTCATTATGATAATCAATCTGTTTTTTGTATTACTTATTTTTTAGGGATTGTACTTTATTTTATATTTTTCTATTTTTTTATTTCTTAATATTATTATTTAAGTTTATTTTATCCATATGGATCAAAGAAAACAAAACTTATTGTAACAAAACAAACTGTTAAAAATCCAACTAAAAGAACAGCTCCTAATGGTGTTTTGAGTAAAATAAATAATAATTAAAATGAGAATTCAGGCCATTCTGTTTTTTTTTAAGGTGTTTTTATTTCTTCAATTTCAATCTCATGTCCAAATCCTTCTCTAATTTTTATAATATTTTATTTCTCTTTTATTTCTTATTCAATATTTTTAATTCTTTCTTCATTTTATTTTTTAATTTCATCATTAGTTTTAGGAGTATTTCTTTAAATCCATCTTTCTTAAAACATTTATTTATCCTCATAATCTGTATCTTTCAAAGGACCTTTAAATAAAAATAAAGCAGCAATAGTTGCTAAATCTTAAGTTGCACTGAATCCAACAACTAATTCATTTCTATTATTTAATGCTCCAATACAAGGCTCTCCTTAATAATAGACTGCTCCTCCATCAATTATAATTTCTATATATTCTGTATGTGCTGTAAATGATCCTACTAATTATAAAATATCTATATTTTATAGAATCATCTTCTTTCCCAATAATACATTAAAGACTCTGGAATTACTTTCTTCAAAATGTAACTAACATCTGAGATCAAAATACCTCAGCAAATTTTAATACTAAAACATACGTTTAATTTTCAGGAACTTCATTACCTATAGGAATAGTATAAGCAAAACTTTAACCCTATCTTTAAGTAATATATAGGGATTGATCATCTGTAAATTTTATTTTTCTTTTCTCTGCTTTTTCATAATAATCTACTATTTCTGATGTTCCAATATGATGATGATCCTAGAATAATTAAGCATCAAATTACACTCTTATACTTAATGCCTGAAGATGTACGAGTATCTATATAATTTCCACAATCAATTGCATGAATAACTTTACGAGGGGCTATTAACTTATTATTAGAAATCTACAATAGGAAAAACAATATAATCATATAAATTTTTATAATTAATTTATTTATCCAATTTTAAGCATTTCTTTATTGGGCATCCTTAAGGCTTCTTTTGCAAAATCTTTAAAAATAACTTCAACAAAATTAGACTTGTAAATAGCATTGAATTTCTTAATTAATTACTCTGCAGTTTTGTTACTTAATTCACTGAAATAATCTTTTACTGTCATCATCAATTAAATAATAAGGAAATCATCATTATTATATAGAGCCAATTTAAATGCTTAATCTATTTAACAATCTTCTACTAAATCCAATACTTTTTCATAATAATCTTCTGTAAAATCTTAAGTTTCTTCTATTTTTTCATCAACAAATAATTAGGTATCTTATAATTAAGGATTAATATTTTCTGTTATCTCTTCATTTTAATCTTAATCTGATTATATTTCTTCAATTTATTCTTAATTTTATAAATCTGATTATTTTTATTCTTATTAAATAAATTAATCAATTAAAGAATCTTGTATTTTTTATTCTGTTACTTTTTCTTAAATTTTCTCCAATTATTACTTTACTTAACTAATTTACATTTTCTTATATTTCTCTGCATTCAAAACCAAATGTCCATCCCCTCTTTTTTTTTTGATGAACGGTTTCACATCAGGAAAATAACTAGAAGTTGTTACTTATGGTGGATTTCTAGCAATATAGAGATTTTAATATGACTATAAAGCTAATTTAGCTGCTTATTAAACAGTAACTACTCTATCAAAAGTTGTTTCTCTTAAAATGGTTACACATTATAACTAAAATAAGGTTTGATATTATTACTAACAAATTGTCATCATATATTTGATATTCAGATAATGCTAACATAAATTTACATAATGTTTATTTCACTTAATATGTATGTCTCTATTCTTAAAGAGCTGCTAAACTTCTTTAAAGTATTTATACTATATTTGAATCCTAATTTGTAGTTATTTTTATCATTATTTCCACCATTGATTAATGACAAATAAGTTAATTCTTTATATATGCTTATTATATTAACTTCTTAGTATTAGGTAATACTTCAAATTATAATAAATAATGTAATGAAATTGTGGAACCAATCTAATTAATCAAATTATAAATATTACTTAAATAGGCTATGAAGTTAGTTTTAATGCTAAATTACATAGTAAATCACTTAAAGAATTAATAGTTGTAGAATTAGCTAATAATCTGTAACATTCTCCACATAATTAATAAATTACTTCTGTTCCTTCATTAAATGCCTTATTAATTATTGTTGCTGCTCTAAGTGATGAATTCAAATCATATTTCTATACTTACACAGATATTTTTAATGCTCTTAGATTAACTTCATTCATTCTTTATGTTTCTAACACTTACAATACTATTTTTTAATGTTGATCACTTTTATTTGCAACAAGCAATCTATTGAATTCTATTAAACATTATTATTTTTTTGGTGGATTTAATGCTTCTGCCAATAGAAATTAAATTCTTTCTTTGAATTCATTTAAATTATTCATTTATGTTAATTCTAAACAACTCTCAAATTAATCAAAACCAAGAAATCCAATTTAATACTAAACAAAATTCATCACTATCATAATCAACTCTTAATAAACTCATTAATTATTACAGAAAATTTAGATTATATATAAAAACCAATTGAAAAATTTGATTAAATATTTTTTTAAGTATTTAATTGGATATGTCAACACCAAGTGTAAAACCAAAACTTGTATAAACTTTTGGAAGAAAGAAGAATGCTGTTGCCAGTGCTAGCGTTAGAGAAGGAAAAGGTATAATTAAACAATATATTACAAGGAATTGTCAAAGTTAATGGTGCTCCTATCGAATTAGTCAACCCTGCCCCCTTGAGATAAAAAGCTCTTGAGCCACTTTTATTGTTAGGCTAAGTCAGAACAGGCAGACTTGATATCAGAGTTACTGTTAGAGGTGGTGGTACAACTGCTTAGATCTATGCCATTAGATAGGTAGGAAATATTAATTAATAAAAAAGGCAATCAGCAAGGGTATTGTAGCATACTATTAAAAATACATTGATGAAACATAAAAGAGAGAAATCAAGGATCTTCTTTTATAATATGACAGAACTCTTTTAGTTGCTGATCCAAGAAGATGTGAACCACGTAAATTTGGTGGTAAGGGTGCTCGTGCCAGAAGATAAAAGAGTTATAGATGACTTAAAATAAAATCAATTTATATAAATGTACATTAAGCAAACAATTCTAATTAAATGAGCTAACCCACTCACTTCAATCTATAGAATATTCAAATTTCACTAATATTAAATCAAATTTCTTTAAATTTTTTTAATTATAAAAATTACTATGTCATAGAGTTCAAGATAATCTAAGACAATAATTCCAATTAAAATTTATAATTTAGAAGTTATATTATTTTATCCATATTCATTTTGTATGAAAGTATGAATTATAAAGTTCCTTAATTTGATAAAGTTTAAATCTTTTAATAATAATATTTAGATATACTTTGACCTATTTATTATATGTCAAATAGTTATATTGCATATTTCATTAATGTTATCAAAAAAGTACTATTCTATAAAGCTTTTATTCTTTTATTTTATTGATATTAAGATATCTTAATTAAAAGATTTTTTTTAATCCATTTTAAAATACTAAAATTAAAAATATTTTTATCTTTAATTTAGTTATGATAATTTTCTGCAATGAATTTCAAAGAAATATTCATGACTCAAGAATATTATAACATATTTTTCTAATTTTTTGGTTTATGATTTTTATTATATTAGATTCTTTACAATTTGAATCAATTATTTTGAATATATATGGAACCTAATTATAATTTAAGAATTTGTATTACTATAAATGATTATATGAATATTAAAAATAGAATAAATATTTAATGAATTAACATGAATTTAAAGTATTATAATATTTTATATTTATAGCTTTAAATTTAATAAATATTTATATTGATTTAGAAACACTTTAGAATATGAATAAACTGGCAGTTTTTAGTAGTTGTATTGCCTTTGCAGGATTAGGTCTTTATTTAATAAACAAAAAGAATAAAAAGTAAATTTATAATAAATTTAAGAGAAGAAAGGATAATTGAAAAAGCATTATTAATAAAAATATTAAAAGACCTTTAAAAATAATATTACCCTGTATGGGAGAGAATGATAGAATATGGAAAACTACAAAATCATGTTTATAATAAAAAAAGTAATGAAAATAAATAGGAAATTTTAAGAGATTTGATTGAATCTAAATTTTAAAATATAATTGAAAAAATTGAATAAAGTGTATATGTTAAATATTAAGTATCTCAAGATGAAGTTAATTATAATTGTTAAATAATTTACAAAGATGATGATTAAATAGCAGAAATATAAAATTATATTAATTTAGGATTTGATTAAGCTATAAAATTGGAATTAAATTTACCTGTAAATATAAAATTACCTGAATTTATTAATGAAGAACTAATACTAAATACTTAATGTTAAATTTTAATTAGTAGTGCTAAAATATTTAATATAAAAATACAAGAATATGCATAATAAAATAATGGTGTAAAAGTGACAAAACATTCAAATGCATTTTAATAAATATTAACCGAATTGAAATAATAGAGTAAAAAGTATATAAAATAATCATAAATTAGATAAGAAATATTAAATTAAAATGGATTTGATTAATCAGATGAAGCAAGTTCTAAATTATTTTTTGATGCTATAAAAGTCTATTCAGAAAATAGATCTTTTAAGCAGAAATTAGTAAAATTAAATGAAATTTATGATGTAATTATGAGTGAAATCCTTGAGAAAGGATATATTATTGAAAATGAAATAGAGAATAGATTAAAATGTTGAATAATATTATTTCTTAATAATTTATCACAAAGTTACTTCTGGAATTTCACCAATAATTACTGTTTTATCATTACTAGCTGAGGCTATCAATTTATCTTTTGGACTAAATGCAGTTTCATTAACCTAATTTAAATTAAATAAATAATTACAGTTCCTTAATGACCTCCTAATTTATGGATAACTTTCTTTGAATTAAAATCCCAAATATAAACATTCTTATCAGCAGATCCTGCAGATACATATGAATCATCATGACTCCATGCACACCTAAGTAAATTTTTTTCAGCTGTATTTGCTGTTGCTCCTGTAAATACCCTTACTTATCTATTTTTTCCTTAAACATAAGGTCTTGATTTAATATTAATATATTACCTAATATCAAAAGTACGAACTGTCATATCCATAGAATTACTCAATAAATAAGAACCATCATTGCTGATTGCTAATCCTGTTACAGTATCTGTATGATTATCTAAAGTATATTCAATTTCTTATTTTCTAACATCATAACATCTAATGATATTATCTAAACAACCAGTATAAAGTCTCTCCCCATTTTCAGTGAAACATACACTTGTGATAGGATACTGAAGTGATTTAAAAATAGAGAGTTACCTTGCCTTGAATTTCAAAAGCTAATTTTCTTGTTCTTAAATCCCATACTTTAGTATAACCTTCATCACCTCCAGTTGCTAAAAGATCTTATCCTCTTTTTGAAGGATAACAACAATTAACATAACTCTAATGTCCCTTTAATTTCTTTAAAGGTAAATATGTTTCCATATCCCAAATTTGTACAGTCTTATCAGCTGATGCAGTAAATAATCTAACTCCATCATATTACCAAGCAACATCAAGTATAGCATTTTAATGGCTTCCCAAAATTCCTAGATTAGTACAATTGTTATATATATCCCAAATCAATATTTTCTTATCAAATCCTGCTGTTATGAGATAGTCTCCATTTGGAGAGTACTTAACACAATACACTTCACTCTGATGTCCTTTAATATACATCCTATTTACCAGTTAGTTGCATATGTGCTGATTATAATGTATATTTTTTGGTTGGTTCTACTTCCATAGAATAGTCAGATGATAAGACTAAATCTTATTTATGCTATTTCTATAATAAATGGGGAGTATGCATCTACAAAACTTGACTAGAAGTATAATCTTTGAATTCTGTGAATTTAGGAACACTAGGGATTATTTTATTTCCGTAAGACATAATTTAATTATTCTATTTTTTATATAAATATTATTATTTATGCAATATATTCATATTTTAATTTCCTTATCGTCTCAACATAGTGCTTATAATAAATTCTATTTATAAATTCTTGGAATATTTTTTGATTATTAAATGAATAATTTAGCTTGATCTAATTATTTAGTTTAAACCAATTAAATTAAACTTAGAACATCTGTAATATATCCAACATATTACATTTACTAATTTATAGAGAAGAATGTCTTGAGATGTTATAATTTTTTTGCATATTAAGGTAATCCTTCTGAATCTTTTAGAGTTGTATATAAATATTCTTCATTTAAGAACATTCCTGCAGCTTACATATTCTTCCATATATTATAATTTTCATTTAATTCCATCATTTCATTTATATTATCAGGGTTACATTACTCAAGTTATTAATTTAATTCACCTTCAATTTAAGGAGGTTTCTAAAAATATAAATGAATATTTATAATACATTTGTAATTGAATTAAATTCAAATATTTATGTAAGATAACTGTTGATTTCTGCATTTTCACCTTAAGCTTATTCAATTGATTCTCCATTATATTCCCATTTCATTAATTCTTTTATTCTATCTGGAAGACTTGGATTATTAACATAATTTTATTAATTTTAATGACAATTGAAATTCATAAGATCTTAAATCTATTTAGCTAAATTATCAGCTGTCATTGAAACTTATTAAAATTTAAATGGTATCCTACCATGAGGAAATTAATCATTGATACTTTTACTTATGTTAATACATGTTTAAAGCATTTATGTTAATCTTTCTTATTAAATTACTTTATGTTCTGGTAATTCTTTCCACATTTTATCTTTCTCTTAATTTATATCTTTTAATTAATCTATAAGGATAGGAATTTATTTTTGAAAAAGAAATAGTTTATGAAAATAATCTTATTATTCAACTAATTAATTAAATTCTATTTAAAGACAACTTTTTTCTTATTATTCTTATTCATTTTTAACTTTAATATTAATTAATTCATTATTAATTTTCTCTTTTAATTAAACATTTGATTGATAATAATTCCAATAATCCTTATCATCTTATAGAGTTGTTGGTAATAAAGAACATTATTAATTGAGATTTACTTTATATGAATCAATTAAATAAGGTAAATCATAGTATAATTAAACTGATTAATTTTATTAATTGCTGGCTGTTTTACCAATTTGTTGTAATTTATTTAATAGATTTCTATGAATATAATATTTAATTACTAAGTCTAATTGAATTCTGATTAAGCAATTTCATAAATTTAATAAACATATGCTCTAAATCGTGGAATAAATGGTGATAACACATATGATTTAATTAAATTAAAATGATTAACTTCATCAGATTAAGCATTAGATTAATTAATGTAATAGTTTTGAACTATTTCTATTGAAATATCATCAAATAAAATGCCTGGTATAATATCATTAACTAATTAATTGTATCTCTCTAAAATTTCTATTTTGAGATTTCCAATTTCATTAAGTATTAATGGTGTTTCTGCTTCTGCACAGATAGCCATTATATCTTTGAGTTCTTTTCTAAAGCGATAGATATCTTTTCTGATATTTTTAATTGTATTTTGGATATTTGTTGTGCTTCTTGCTTTATCATCAGTTTATAATTAAGCCTCTGAATTTTTTATATAACCAACAATTAGTTTTTTACTATCCAAATAATCAATTATTTTAATTGCAAGATCATAATTGTTTTTTAAGAAAACACATTAATCTTCAAGAAAATGTTTGAAATGTAAGAAATTAGTTTCATAATTTCCTGAATTGTTATTTGCAGCTTCTGAAATTGCACTTTCATTCCATTCAATCATACAAGCATCTATAAATGGTATTAGTATAGTTGAATCTGCTCTTAAATGTACTTAATAATCTTATATAGAATTTTTATTGTTGCTTCCCATTTACATAGATTTATAAATTCTGGAGTTTTGTTTTTCTTCAATAACTTATGTTTTATTTAATTTATTAATTTACATTAAAATATATATTAGGTTTTGTTCCAATAAAGAAAATTTATGTCAAAGTATTATTTTATTAATAAATAAATGTCGTTACTCTCAAAATTTACAAATCTGTTTAAATCAAAAGATGATATTTAATAAACACTTTAAAAACTCTTGAAACCTTCAACAACTCATGAGCTCTAATTATCAATTAAGAATTTTAATTAAATGTTATGTAATCAACCAATTCCAATTTTTATAATGTTAAGATAAAGAGAATCACTTATAACTATGGATCCAAAACCAGAATAATTATTAAATTTATTATTAGTTATTCATTCAAATATATCAAATGATGAAATTTGTGAATAATTAAGATAAATTCCAATTTATTGGTTAGATACATTGATGACTGAAAATAGAGAAAATTTTATTTAAATAGAAAGAATGATTACTGAACAAAGTACAAATAGTTATATACCTTAATCATTATAATAATAGTAAAACTAATAATAATAATATTAATAAAATTAAAAGAAAGGAGAAAAAATTGAAGATAAAAGAAAAGCAAGAATTGAAATGAATCAAAAATTGTAAAATCCAATAATAAATACTGAAACAGTTAATAATGCAGATTCTTTTAATTTAAAACCAAAAATGTTTTGTATTATTTATTATTCATTTCTTTAAAAGTTATCAATTAATTAATAGATTTATTAAAGTAGTAGAAAATTATAATATCCAGTAGATGAATAAGATTTCATATGGATTTATAAGATATAGAATGTAATGTAAATGGGATTAAAATTATTATAATGTCCATAAAAATTATATAGACCTTATTAATTATTAATTTATTAAGATCTCTTTTATTTTTAATCATTTTTAAAATAAGAATTAGAAATACTCATATTAAAATAAAATAATTTACATATTTATGAGGCCTTTTGTGAATATTAAAGAGCAAAATAAATAATGTAGATCTTTGAACCTAGATATGAATTTAAATTAAATATTAATAGTTAAATTATAGATGAATATTAAAGAAATGCTATTAAATAGAAAGTAAAATCTTAATTTGAAGAAGAATAAAAACGAAAGAAATAATAATTAATTAAAGAAAATTAGGAAAATATTGAATAATTAAATTTTTAAGATTTTGATTCAAATCATGATTATGAAAGAGAAATAATAATGAGAAAATTCTTTGATAAAGGATAATCAAATTAAATGAGTTTGGATGAAATTTCATTATAGTTAAAAATCATAAATTTATGAAAAAATATAATAAATAAAATATTTATATAATGATATTCGAAATAGGTGAAATATTTACAGTTTAAGAATCATTAAAAGATGAGAAAATAGCTAAAAATTTAGATTTAGATGTTGGTTCTTTAAATGATTTTCTTGATTTGAGATCTACTGATCCAAATCCTCGTTTACCTAATAGAAGATTAGATCGTAAAGCATAAAAAAGATAAGATCAAATTCCAAAGAAGTTTGAATAAGCAAAAGAAGAAAAAGAAACAGTTAAAGCATCAGAAATAATATCAAATATTATTAAAGATGTATTTAAAATGGACATTAATGAATTTGAACAAATGAATTCACCTGAAAAACTGAATAAAGAATATAAATTTTAAGAAATTGACCCTGAAAAAAGGAAATATTTAAGAATGAAAATACCTTTAACTAAAAGATAAGAATAATTTGAATAGGAGTTATTAAATGTTAAATCTGATTTAAAGTTAAAAATATAAGAAATTCGTATGCCTTAATAAAAAAATGTTGGAAACAATTCTTAAAAAGATGATAATACTTTCAGTAGACCTAATTCTTAAAAGATTAAATAAAATTCTAGTTCTAATAAATAATTCTTTAATTCAACCAATGAGGTAGATGCTATTGATTCTCATATTTGGTTATAAAGTAGATTAGAAAGAATATTAAAATTAAATTCACATAATCTAGACACTTAGAAAGCATGGAAAGAATATTGGAGCAACATTAATTATTCTGAATTTAAGACATTTTAAGAATATTAATAATAACATAAGAAACCTCAACTTGCATCAGATTTAGTGACTATCAATTATGGTGGAGAAAAAGCTACTAAATATTAAAAGAATGATAATGAAATCTCTGTAAATATCAAGAATTAATCATCACTTACAATAAAAAATAAATAAATAACTAATGAACATATTCTCTATTTAGTTATGATTGAACCTCCTTTAATAAATTTATTAAGAGTAGAATTAATAAAAACTTAATTAAATGAAACTGCATTTAAATTATTAACTACTTTATTGAGTGAATGCAAAAGATTAGAGTATTTAAATATATCTAGTAATAAATATCCTAGAAATCAAACTATTAAGATATTATTATTAGATTTATAGAATCTTAAAATATTGAAAATGTCAGATATGATGATTTCAACAAAGTATTTCTTGGATCTTTGTGAAGTGTTAGTTTAAACTAATATTTAAGAGTTAGATCTTAGTAATAATTTATTAGATCATCATGCTTATGATGCATTAATCACTTTAATAAAATACTTACCTTCATTAACATAAATGGATTTCTAATAAAATGATATTCTATAGAGTACAAATTTACCATTACAAAAGAAATAATAATCTTGGGAGTACTTAGAGAAAGTTAAATTGAGTTATTAAAGGAGAGTAAATATTGTATTATGATAATTAATATTAAATTTTATGTTCTTTACATAAACTAAATTTCATAAATTGAGTTCTTAGAAAGAATTATTGGCTAAGATATAAGAGTTCGAAATCAATATCAATTTTGATTCTCCAAGAACTTAGAAAGCATTGTTAAAAATGAATAAAACTAAATATGACTTTAGAAGGAAGTATATGATAGTATTCACATTTAAGGAATAAGTTTGAAAAACATAATGAGTTAGAATATAGAAATAAAAGAAATAATAAATCTTTGGATTAGTAATCACTTGATTTTGAATATGAGACATATTTAGAATAATTATTAAGTAATTTCCATTATTGACAATTAGATGATTATATGGAACTGAAAGAGTAAAGAAAATAAATAAAAGAATGGTTTTAAAAAAAATAGTAAGAAGAAGATGAATTACGTGGTTATGAACATATACCATTTAATAGTGTACATTCAACAAGTAGATTTCCATGTTAAACTATAACAATCGAAGATAAAATTGGCAAAATAAATTAGGAAAGATAAAGATAATTAAGTTTAAACAATATTGAAGTGAAAGAAGCTTTATTGTTTGAATTAGATAGAAGATAGTGGGAATAAACATCTTTAGAGAGAAGACAAAAAAATGCATAAATGAGATCAGCCAAAATTATGGAGATTAAAATGAAAGCATAAGAATAAAATAAGAAGGCTAAAAAGAAATGTGAAACATAAAAAAAAATGAAAGAAGAATAAATAGAAGAAGATTTAGCTAAGGCAAAAGAATTTTAAGAAAAATTGAATTAAAAGTATTTTTAATATTTTATATTAGAGATAATGAAATAGCAAATAAAAAATCAACAATAATTATGGAAAAAATAGAAAGAAATAAAAAATTAGAAGAGAAAATATTATTTAGAAAGTCATTATTAAAACATGAATAATCTGAAACTTAACTTTAGAATATTAGAAAAGAAACCTAAACTGAAGAAAATAGAATAAAATCAGTAGAAAGATAAGCAAAAGATAGATAAGATAAACAATGGAGATATGAATAATAATTAATGAGAATACATGAAAAAAGTGCATTATCTAAAGCTATTTGGGAATCTGAATTATGTAATAATTTTGGATAAAAAATGATATCTATTGAAGAATAAAAAAAGAAGAATGAAGATCTTATAAAGAAAGAAGCAAATAAAATGTCTAAGGAAAGAAAAGATAAATTAAAGAAACATTAATAAAATCTAGAATCAGTTTAAGAAGAAGAAAAGTACATTTAACAAATATTTAGAATAGACAATGGTAATTAAAATTATAAGAGAAATTGTAAAATAAAGATGAAGTTTCTAAGAAACTGAGAATGAGCAAATTAGAAGAAATCAAATAATTAAGAGAATAAAATGTTTAAAATTAAAGAGAATAATTGTAAAAAATAGAGTTGAGAAGAAGAAAATAAGTATATTTAATTAATTATCATAAGTTTAGTTAATAAGATTTATTGTTGGAACGATCTTTAAATGCTTAAAAGAAATTAGAATAATAAAAAAATGAGTAAGAAAAAGTGTTATTTTATTTGTTGACTTCAAAATAGAAGGTAGAATCAGAAATTAGTAATAGGTAATCAAAATTAAAATTGATACATTAATAATCATCTATTTAACTATTAGAGTAATAATAAATCTTATTATTAAATAGATAATTAAAAGACCTTGTACCAGAAACAGAATTCATTGAATTACAGAAGTAATATAAAATAACTAAAAAGCCTCAAACTGCAAATCCATAAACTATGAATAAATTGTGAAATTATATTTATTTAAAACAAATAATTAAGTTTCAAGCTTCCTCTTCTACCATGTCTTTCTTTTAATGTCTCTTTTACTTTTATGCCTTAAGTTAAGCTTTTTCTATGGCTTTTTATTTTATTATTTCTTTAACTGACTTATCTGATACTAAATTTATATTCTTTGCCAATTCTGTCTCCACATTATCTAGATTCTATTTCCTTTATGCTCTTAATCTGCAAAAATTACTATAAAATATACCTATTTTTCCAAAAATTGTTTTCTCTTTTTAATCTGATTTTATCTATTTTTTTCATGGCTTAAACAGTATTGATATATAAATCTCTGTTATATTTTAAGGGTTCATTTCTCTTTTGCTCAAATTCAAAGATACTATCATTAGTCATCTCTTTTCCAGCTGCTTTTCTAAAAGCCTTAGTCCATCTTGTTTTTCTTGGGTTGTGTTAAGCTTTAAAGTGTCTATGGCATTTAGATCTACAAAATCGAAACATCTATATATTATTCAAATGAAGAATACTTTGCTATCATTTCTAACAAATACTATTCCATGACCTGGGTAAATGGGACCAGAGCAAAAATAACACTTTTCAATTCTCATATATAATTTATATTTTAATTTATGGAGAAATGGAATTTGATTAGATAAGAATGCAAAGATTAATCAGAATCTGATATTGCTTATTTATTCTAAAGATTTCCAAGTCTTCAAAATCTACTTAAAATTAAAATTTTAGACACCTTACCCAACTCATATTTAGTTTGCTATGCACTAGAAAAATGCACTCTTCTTGGTGATATTGCAGTTGTTCTTAATTTGAAAACCATATAAGGAATCATTATTTAATTAGAAAATATATATTAATTGGATTGTGGCAGGAGCAGATAAGAGATTGTTCCTTGAAAAAGAATTCTATGAACAAAGATAAAAGTAGGAATGTCTAAGATGCTTTGCTCTTTTGTTATAACATAAAAGGGTTAATTCAGGAAATGAAATTGAGGTAGATAAATGAAGTTAAACGAATTAACTTACATGCTTTATCAAACTAATTTTGTTCTCATTTTTGGTCCATATGGTTGTGGAAAAACAACCTTACTAAAAAATTATTTCGAATTTCATAAACAAAAGAATAAAAATTTTATATCTGTTATGTAAATAATTATAATAATTTTCATATCATTTATCATTTATTATTATTATTATTATTATTATTATTATTATTATTATTATAAAGATCTTATTTAAAGATTTTAAAAATTTAGAAAAAGTTCTCTAAATTAATGTTACATGGATGAAACTATCGATTTCCAATTTTACTCTTGAGGCTGGGCCTCTATTGTTTTGTGAGAATGTTGGTACCTATTAGGTTTTTAAGCATTACTCTGAAACTAGAGAAGATTTCAAATAATAATTAAGAAGAGCTTTATCATTAATATTTGTTGAAGGCAATGGGTAAAAAAATAAATATTAAATTTACAAGTGATTGCATTATAAAAAGATATAATTGAAGATTAATATGTGATAATTATAGAACCAATTAGCTTTGAAACACTTAAATAAATAAATTGAAGATATTTTACAAAGATTCTAAAATAGTATTAAAATATTGAAAGTAAATATTAATTTATTTTTTAAACTTAATCTATATATATAGATAAATAAGTAGCCTTCAAAACATAATAAAAAAATCTGAATAATAGATTTCAATATAATCTAAAAGATATTAGGATTAAATTTATATTCCTGTAAGATATATGTAATTAAAATCTAAAATTAATTTATTAAGTAAATAATTAAGTAAGTCTGATAATCTGAAAGAATTTTAGATTATTACTCAATAATGTTTTTAAAGTAAACCTATTTGCAGCAATTTATTTCAAGTTTATTTAAATCATAATTCCCTTTGAATTTTAATGAATTCCAAATATTTAATTCATATCTAATACTTAAATATATTTTGAAAATAAATTTAACATTGATATCTATTAATTGAAAACTATTTATAGTTATTAGAAAAATAGAAGTGATAAGGTAAAAATATGAATTAACAAAAATAAGAGAAGAAATATAAATAAAAAAGTAGAATAATCAAAATGAAAATATGAATTAAATTAATAAAGAATTCATCATTCTACAACCTATTGAAATTGAAAATAAGAATTTAAGTGATATCCCAATAGAAGAATTCATTAAGTAAGATTTTAGATTGGGATATGACGTAGATGGAGATAATTATTTATAAACTGGATTAGAATTATGGCCTAAATTTTAATAAAAAGTTTTTGAAAACTCAATTCGCCTTTGTGAAGAACTTAAGTCTATAGCTACTTAATTTTTGCCTTTAAAAGGATATTTTATATAGCAAGCAAAATAGAAAGGATAAAATATGGTTAAGAAGAATATAACTATAATAAAGAACCTTCTCAATACTGTTAGCTTTAGATGGTTCATTAAGTATGAGTGAGAGTTAAGTTGTTTATTTATCACTTTAATCTTTGACATCTTTGTAATTAGCTTTATCGAAAATGGAAGCAGAATAAATAAGTATAACCAGTATTCAAGAAGGAATGAATTTATTACATGATTTTAATAAACTTTTACTTAATTAAATAATTCTTTTTGGGTTAATTTAAAATTTAATTTGAATCAAAATAAAGCAACGAATTATCGTTAATGAGGTATATGAGAGAATCAATTAATTAATTCTAATATATCAATGAATTATAAATTTGCTTTATTATTTCATATGATACTTAACCTTTTAAATTCAACTAGAATTCTAGATAGAGAAGGTATAAAAAATGAATTTTTTGGGATTAATCTTTAACAAATATCAAGTAAAAAAGTAAATGATTTTATTTATTAAAGACTCCACATGAAATGAATCATGTACTTGTAAATATTCTAAGACAATACTATAAATTATTAGAATGAAGGCATTTTTGTGATTGTATATAAATATATTTATATAAACATGAATCAAAAGGTAATTATTTTTTTTGATTTTCTTGCTGGTTATAATTCCTTTCTTCTGTTTTTTTTAATTTATTTATTTTTTGTTAATGGAATGATCTCTTCCATAGCTCTGGCTTTGTTTTCTCTTCTTATTTCTCGTTTGGATTTGACTCTGACTCCTTCCATAGCATTAATCAAATCATCTGCTTCATCATGTTAAACCTCTTCGTTTTATGGTTAATCATTCATTTCAATTTCCTCTTCAACTTCTGGTTCTGGCTTGAAAACTACTTCTTGAACTGGTTTTCTTCTAGCCCCAACAAATTAAGTGGCTGAATAAGGTAGTGATTAACTTCTAAAATCAATAATAGGTTAAGGTTTGAATTTAGGGATTTAGGCAGTGGGATCATCAGGATGTAGAAACTTATTTTTGGGTTGAGTAGGTCTTTGAAATCTCTAAAGTATATAAAAATAAGGAAATTTACATTTTGTATGGTTGCCTCTAATTTTTAATTTAATTCATGAAGATCTTAATTGACTTTAACATTTTGGAGATGTTCTCTCTTAAGTGATCTCCATCTTCGCATAACTTTAGATCTTTATGATTTTGCCATTAATTAAAAATTTTATATTTATTTTATAATGCACTATGAATATAATTTCAATCGAATAATTTGGCTAAAAATCCTTTATCTTATTTCTATTATTGTTGGTTGGCGATTGGTTATTGCTGCTATGGTTTTTGCTATTGTTGTTGTTATTGTTGTTGTTATTACTATTAATAATTTAATAAGATAATTTACCATAGTAGATGGAACTTAATTGGCTTATGGTTATTAAGGTGGTTGACTAACCTTAGGTGTTTAAGTAGAAGTCTGATTAGGTTGTTTGTTAGAAATTGGTTGATTGGATTAATTAGGTAGGTTAGGCTATGGTACTTATCCTTAATAGGTTAGTAATTATTATCCTTATGGTTAATAACCATAAGCAACAGGTTATGTTTATACAATAGGAGCGCCAACTCTAGTTTGCGATGCTTAATATAGAACAGGTGGTTGAGCATATGCAGTAGTGGTAGTTACTGGAGCAGATGCTTATATAACTTGTGTAGACTATCTTAATCTTGGACTTGAAGATTAATAGACTGGGGCTGGGATAGTCTATTAAACAGCGAGAGGTTGCTAAATATATTATGTAGTTATTGGTTATTAATATGTTGAATAATAGGTTTGTGGAACATTCTAAACTATTTATTATTAGACAACTGGTTAAGCCACTTGTGTGACAATAGGTTTTTAGACAGTTTATACAACAGGAGTGGTTGTTTAATATGTTTGAGTTGTCACAATAGGTTATATTTATGTTTACTATACTTATTGTACAGTATTCTAATATTTTAATACATTTATTTTACTTAAAGCATATTTTATCTTGTCACTGTTTGGTATTCAACTCTTTCAGCAACTTTTTCTACTGGCATGTATTCAATCACTTTTTCTTAGATCACTTAAGGAATATATTCAGTTTCATATTAGATGGCCTAATATTCAGTAATCTATCTTGTTATTGGCACCTGAATTTATCTTCTAACCTCTTCATATTCCATTATTGTCTTTTCATAAGGTATATATTCAATTTTTGACTCTCCTTTAATAGCTTATCCAGTCTACTTTGAAACAATTATTTACAGAGATAATGTTTGAACTTATTGCTGATGCACCTAAAACTGGTTGATTAACCAACATTCCTCCTCCTTAATAAAATCCACTCTGACCCAAATTCTAATTTGTTACTTGTTATTGTTAATAAGTTGAATTTCCAAGAACTATAGGTCTCACGAATTGAGGCTAACCTGTAACTGTTTGAGGTGCTCCATATAGAGCAGGTTATTAAATAATTGCTTGTGGTTGATACTCAGCCATTTCTGATAATAAATTTTATTTTTATTCTTTTGAATCCCATTAATTAATTAAAATACATGCAAAGTAATTAAAATATTCCTGAAAATGCTAATGAGCATTGTCCAGGAGCCAACTCTGATTAAGCAGGAAAAAGTGAAGCCTGTTCTGGTTGTCCTAATTAATAACTATGTCAATAAGGAGCTGGCAAATAATTATTAGGTAATATAAGACATATTCTTAGATAATTCTGAAATCATAGAAAATTTAAAATAGGTCAAGCACAAGATACTGGTCTTATCAGGTAAAGGGGGAGTAGGCAAGAGCACAGTCTCATCATAATTAGCTCATATTCTTGCATCCAAAGGATTCGATGTAGGTTTATTAGATATAGACATCTGTGGACCTAGTATTCCAAGAATGATGGGGTTGGAAACAAGTGAAGTACATTCAAGCAATAATGGTTGGTAACCTATATATATCAACGAAAATTTGGGAGTGATGTCAATAGGATTCTTAATTGATAATAAAGATGAAGCTATTATTTGGAGAGGACCAAGAAAAAATGGACTGATTAAACAATTTTTAACTGATGTTGCTTGGGGAGAATTAGATTTCTTAATTATTGATAGTACATTATCAATTCATCTTTTTAGCTCCTCCTGGAACTTCTGATGAACACATTTCAATTGTTTAATACCTTAGTCTTACTCCAAATGATGGAGCAGTGATTGTTACAACACCATAAGAAGTTTCTTTGTCTGACGTAAGAAAAGAGATCAGCTTTTGTTAAAAGACAAAGACCAATATTTTGGGAGTTGTTGAAAATATGAGCGGATTTGTATGTCCTAATTGTTAGCACCATACTGATATTTTTCATCCTACCACTGGAGGAGGAGATTCATTATGCAAATAGTATGAACTCTAACTTCTTGGTAAAATACCACTAGAACCAAAAGTCTTATTGTCAGCTGAAAAAGGCAAATGCATTTATGAAACAGCTCCTGACTCTGTTGCTGCTCAAATTTATACGACTATTGTAAATTGTAAGATTATAATTTAACTTTAGCATTGTTAGAAACATTAAAAGAATAACCAAAATAATGATTAATATTATAATTATATGCAAACGCGTTATCCTCGTCATTAAATCACTCAATCTGTCATAAATATTCAACCTCCTCAGGTTACTGTTGTTAGAAGTATATCCCCAGTTGTAGTTAGAACTTTAGAAGGTACTAAATATCGTTATATAGTTCCGGTATATTATCAGAATGATTAAACTAACTGGAAGGATAAATACTATGAACTTAGACATCAATATTGGCTATTGGAAGATAAATGTAGTAAATTAGAAGAATTATAAATAAAACATAGTAGATGTGAAGTTGTAAGAGAAAGTGAATTAAAATAAATTAATGAATTATTTACTTAAAGCTAATATGATATTAAATAGCTTAAACATTGCTTAGCTAAAGTTGATACTTAAATGAATGAAGATTACAAACTGAAATATTAATAGGCAAACGATTAACTAGAATCGATCAAATCCGAATTCATTAAATTGCAATAAGAATTATATTAATCTTAATAATAATCTACCCAAAATACTTAGAGATAACCATAACAAATTAATTAATTAATTATTTCTAATGCAGAGCTTTAACGATAAAATGAATAATTGCAATTAATTAATAAAAACCTATAATAATAAATAGATACTCTTCATATTCGATATACTGAGTCCGGAAACCAATACAATAAAATTTAAGAATTATTAGCATTAACCGTCCTTAAAAATGCAGAAATAGACAGCCTTAGAGTATTAGTCTCAGAAAAAGAAAAAATGATTTAATAACTTCGCACTTAATATTTATCATAATATAGATGATATTTTTAATGATAATATTAAATATAGATACATTAAGAAAGTAAACCAATTATGGATAAACTCAATTGCATCCCAGAATTATTGCCAATCCTAATGAAAATATCAATTAAATACTCCCAACCATAAATATGAGATACTTACCATATTTCAGTGATTAAATAGATGATGCTGGATGGGGTTGCGCTTGGAGAAGTATTTAGATGATGCTATCTTCATAATATAACATAACTCCTGAATTCAGATGGTTATTCAGCTTCTTTGGGTCAAAAACAATTTTAGAAAAAATTTATATGCATATGAACCAACTAGATTAAGTTCCACAATATCTTTCTAATTCTTAATATGCTCCTCATGATTTAGCTAATGGATGGGCAGAACCGTACATAGGCCATCTTATTCTTTATTATATGGGGTTTGAGTCCAAGTTATTTTTAATCAACGGATATCCACCTAAATCCAACGCACCAAAAGAAGTATTTACAGAAACTTAAACATTCCCTTAATTTTAGCAATTTTTATAAGAGCATTTCCTTCTGAGAAAGTCTCCCATTTAAATTGATGATTCTTAATATAGTATGGTTATTCATGATTATAAAATTGATGGAAATAATACAATCCTATTTATTGGAGATCCACATATCTATTACATATAAAATAATCATTAGAAAATTGGATTGTATACAGTCACATTAAATGAGAAGGGTGATTAAATTGCTAATTCTATTACTCCTGATTAAGAGCAGTTTTATATGTATACTAATTCTTATAAAACACTTCATTTTAATGAAAAGTATTGGATGGCAACATGTATAATGAAAAGTTAAGATGTCTGGTTGGATTGGAGAGAAAGATAGTTGATTATTTGATCTTAAATAGTTGAATGAATTTAAATTTATAAATTATTAAAAAAAATTAAATAATTGTTATTTATGGTTGATGATATTTAAATATTATTTAAGTGAAATTTTTATCTTGATGTCACTTGTACTCATTTTAATATTTGTACAACCTTCCTTTATTGAAAATATTAAATCTCAATATGATACTATTTATTAATTTACTAAGAATGAATAAATCATAAACACACAATCTAATATATATTCATTAAGTAAAAGTTTCTACTTAATTTAAATTATAAATTAATAAAATTATAGACATTTATCAATATTTACTTTTGAAATCTTTTTTATATAAAGAATTTCCAAAATCTTGTTTATATTTTCATTGAATATTAATCTATATTAAATTTAAATAATAAAATACTGAAATCTTAATAATCTAAATCAAATTTCCTTAGTTCTGAGATAAAGTAATTACATATATATAAAATAATTAGAAAACATCTAAATTTGAGAGTTATTGATGGAATAAAATATTTAGTGATGATGTCAAAGCTTAGATAGAAGATGTTCTAAATTAATTAAAATTATTATTTATGAAGATCAATTCAATAAACTAGAAACAACACTAAAATGAGATTTATAACTGAAATGATAGAGTATGATTCAATCAAAATTTAAATCAACACCTTTTTAACCTTGGAATTGTTCCTGTATGTTGTTACCTTTGAAGCTTAAGAACTGTTTCTCAATTTCTTCATTATTGTCCTTCATAATTTAAAAATCATATTTTTCAGAGCATAATTCAGTACAAAAGCTGCATCCATTTAGTAATATTCCATTTCTAACATCAAATTATTTATTGCAACTTACACATAAAGCCTTACATTAAATTAAATACTTACAAGATACAAATGGTTATATTTTTAATAACATTCAAAGTTACAAAACTCATTGCCTTCTACTAAAATAAAATCTTTAATTAATAATTTAAAACAATTCCAGCAAGCAACCTTTTTTATTCTGAGTTTTGAAGCATTCTATTCATCATAAGGCTTTTATTTAGAAACAGAAGTAGAACTAATATTATTATCAAATTTGTTTAATTCTATATTAGTTTATGTATTAATATCTGAAGATTCTCCTATATGATTTTGATGCATGTAATTAGAAATTTCCTCCAATTCATTTAGGATGAAGGATTAGTGAAAGGATTATTCAATACTTTAATAATCTTTTTAATCCTCATTTTATTTAAACGTGACTTTTTTCACATTTTTTTGTCTTTCTTTTTGTAAGCTTGATCTTTTAACAGGGTTAGTGAAGCTTAAGTCGATTTAAGGTTCTATTTTTATTGAATGAGCATACCTTCTAATTCATCATATTTAGATTCATTTTGAATTATTACATCATTCACTTCTACAGATTATTTGAGTTCTCTAATTTTTTTCATTAATCTAATTTAATGCCCTAATGGTATTTCCATTTATTGTAGCTATTCCTTTTAAATGTCAAAAAGAATATCTAACTCTTCAAATCCATTTTCTTTAAATTTTTATACATAAGTATCCAATTTGATTGATTTCAAAAATGATTCAATAGGTTCTGACTTATTTGAAGGAGGCCTATCCTTAAGTACTTTATTAATTGCGCATTTTACTTCGATTATTTGGAGTTGTATTATTTTACCATCTTTAGCTTTCTGTCAGATCTCCTGATTATTTACTTATTTATGATCGTTCCATCTTTTAAGAATTCAAGTTTTATTTTAGTTTAGCTAACTTTTCTGCCTAAGTATATGTTTCATCAGTACCATTTTTTTTGCCTCTTCTTGCATTTATAGTGCATATGGATTTGGTGTTTTATTAGATGATGAGCCTCTATTTTTAATCATAATATTATATTATGGATTTTGATTTTATCGAAGCTCAAAACTCATTTTAGTTCCTCTAAGAGTAAAAAAAGTTGCCAATTAAAATGTCTCATAAACTTGAGCTTCTTCTAGAGTGCATCAATAGCTAAGATATTGACACTTCAATTTTCCATTCATTAGATTTAGAAGAGTGCCATGCTTTGATGAAGTTGAATAAACAAGCGCAAAAGGAGATGTTTATGTAGATCATCAAAGGATATGCATATGTATTTTCTAATTTATTTATTCAAGGCCAACATGATACCATCAGCAATTGGAGAAATTAAAGGAATTATTGATGTAAGGACAAAGGTGTTGAAAAGTTGGAAATAAAAATAGTTTAAGATAGACTCTAAATAAAGAACTTTTGAAATTTTAAGAAAAAAGAGCAGCAAAAAGAAACCACGAATTATCTACCTCTAATATTATACTGTATAGCCTTAAGAATTCAAAGATAAGCGTTATCGGTTCGTTATTATAGCCAATTCTGATGGTCATGGTTATTACAAAACATTGGTTTGTGGATCTGATGATAAAGCCCTCTATGACAAGGTGATATAGGCACTTAAGACAATATCATAGTTTACAGACCATGTAATGAGGGGATCTATCCTACTTGAATCGAATGATTTTAATCAGCCTAGATCTAATACCAATTAACAATCCTTCGTTACAACTAGGCAAGATATGAGATTAGTGACTTAATCAGAAATTATTCCACAAAAATAAAATACAAATATTAAAATCACAAAGTAAACTTTTGATTCAGATATAAAACCCAATCAATTATAATAACAAAAATAATAATAACAAAATCTACCTCAAAATATCTAACAACAATCCAACATCAGTTAATAAATTGTATAGAATGATTCTCCTGCCAAACTTTAGCAACAGAACTAATAAATATAATAATAATAATCATAACCTGCATTCAATAATTAGCAGTAGTATCCATAATAATAGTAATCACAATAATAATAACAATAATAATCATATCAATAGTAACAATAATAATAACAATAATAACAATAATAATACCAATAACAATAACAATAATAATAACAACAACAATAACAATTATAATCCTAATAATATCAATAATCATAACAATAATAATTATTACAATAACAACAATAGTAATAACAATAATTATAATAACCTTAACAATAGCAATATTAATAATTACAATAATAATAGTAGTAATAATAATAATAATAATAATAATAATAATAATAATAATAATAATAATAATAATAATAATAATAATAATAGCAATAACAGTAATAATAATAATTACAATATTAACAATAATAATTATAATTATAATAACAATAATAATATTAGTAATAATAATTGTTATTATAATAATAGTAACAATAAAAATTTCATGAGGAATAATACAAATTGCAATAGGAATAATTACTTTAACAATAAAAAATTGATTAATAAAGATAATAATAAGAATTATTAAACTAATAATTGTTATAACAAGAGCAGTAATAAAAGATTTAGTCATAAGTAGATATGCTATAAAAAAATGAAGCTAATTTAGTAAAAAATGAATTGAAGTATCCATAAGTATTTCAAGTATTATTTGAAGAAGGCAAATTTAATCCTGATTATTTTGTTTAATCAACTAAATAATTTACTCAAGTTTATTCAAAAGATGGTGTTTAAATTTTAAAAGACTAAAATAATTCTCTCTGCTTCAGATCATCATTAACCATATATAATGGAGATATGGAGAAGGTATTCCAATGTTTAGCTGAAATTGATTTTGTAAAAAAATGGAATGCTGTCATTAATCCTAATGAAACTAAATTATTAAATATGATGTAGAGTGAGAATTGTGGAATAATTTATGAAAGACATAAGCCATATGGTTTGCTTTATTTGCCCCGAGATTTTGTTTATCTTAGATATGTTACATACAGAGGAGATGATATTCTAATTGTGGATAAATCAATAGAGAATGAAGATGCCCCACCATATATGAAAGTAATTAGAGGAGAAATTAATTACTAACTAACAGAGATAGTGAAAAGTGAAAATAATATTATAGTAAGAATTGAGTCAGAAATAACAAATGGGGGTTTATCATCTGTAAATTAGGACTGTGCGATTACTTAATGGTATCTAAGTGAGCTTTCACACTTTCAGCAATTTTTAAAGACTTACTCTGCTGTTTAAGAGATAATACAATCCCCTCTTTTATAAGTATTAAATAGAACAAAAGTTAATAAATAAAAAGAAAATATAATAATAGATTTAGGAGTGACTAATATTCATTAATAATAATAAGTTTAGCCTCCATAATAATTATAATAACCAACTAATTTTTAATAATAATAGTAATAATAATAATAATAAGAATATTTGAGCATTTAATAGCAACAATAAGTATTCAAACAAGAAGTTTACTAACCTTCTCCTATAACTGTAGCATATGAAGAATAGTTCACATTTGATAAAATCAATGAAACCCAAACTATAACTTTGGATTAGCTCCCAATAATTGCTACAGTTCCAGAGACTGCTCCAGTGATCATTGAAAATCATAAAGAAATAAATGAGATCTAATAATACAATAAAGATATAGAGGATGCTGATTTAAGTAATTACACCCCGAGTGATTTTATTTAATAGACATTACCAGAATTATCAGATAAGGAGACTGGTTAAGTTAAATAAATGATAAAGAATATTGAACAAGGTTTGTATGATTATACTGCAAACTGTATCAATCATAAATATGTTACTGAACCTTAGAAGGTCAAAGACGAATATATTACTTAAATAAATGAAGGACATTACTTTTTAAGATAAGATTGGAAAAGAGATATGAAACATGGGGGAATGATTTTCTATAATTAGAAGAAAATAGAGGCTTAAAAACGAGTTATTAAATTTATGTTAAAATCGATAGGATCAAATCTACTATCTGGGAAATCAATTCTAAATATATCATTACCGGTAGAAGTATTTGAAAGTAGATCTAATTTAGAGAGGTTTTGTTATTCATTTACATTTGCTCCTTAAATCTTGGAGAAGGCAGCTAAAATTGATAACATAATAGAATAAATGAAGTATACAATTGCATTTGGATGCAGTATAAATTAATTATATTTTTAGGTTCAATTATAATGTATATGTCTTTAGAGAAACCATTTAATCCTATTTTGGGAGAAACCTATTAAGGTTTCATTAATGGATGCCCTGTTTATGCTGAATAGGTGAGTCATCATCCACCAATAAGTGCCTTTTAATTGAAAGGTAGAGGATACGATATAGATGGACATATTGAATCAGCAGCCAGCATGCATGCAAATAGTGTCACGGGGAAAAACATAGGATATATTAGAGTAACTTACCACAATACACGTTCAAAGCAAATATTTATTCAATGTCCAGGAGTATTAACTGGAACTGCATTTGGAACAAGAGTATTTAATATAAATGGAAGATCATATACAATAGATTTAGTAATTACAATTTATGATTTAAGGAAAATAACTTGATTGCAGATATGGCATTTAATCCTGGAAGCAAGAATGTATTCAACAAGAAAGATTTATTGTAAGATCAATTCATTGGTTATTTGTACAAAGTAAAACCTGGAGTTTTAAATAAATTTAAAAAGGAAGGATATGCAAAATATTCTGGAATAGATTTTGATAAAGATGTTGAATAAAGAGTAATAGATTTAATAATATTCTAGTATTTTTCAATCAATGGTATTTGGAATTAAATGGTTGAATTTGATGGGGTTAAATTATTTGATACGTTAGAGATGAATCCTCATGTGATGGTCAATCATCCATGTCCTTTGCCATCAGACTCAAATTTTAGATTGGACATACTTTATTGGAAATTGAGGGATTTTAATAATTCTCAAAGAACTAAGGAGATGTATGAAGTGAAGCAAAGAAATGATAGAAAATGTAGAGAGAAACTTACAGGTAAGAAACATTGAGTTTTGTATTGTATAATTTTAATATAAAGTTTAATATATGGATAGATAAAAAGAATTATACCTCAAGGCTCTTTCCCTAATTAAATATGAGAAATACAAAGAGGCTTATGATGAATATTTAGATATTTTGCTTTTGAAAGATTGAATATCATTATGTATATGAATAGAAAAAAATATCGAGTACAATATGTTGAGTTAATTATGCTTTTAAAAACTAGAGAATTTCAAAAGAGCAGAAGAATTCTATCTCTACACTCTTGAAAAAAGGCCTGAAGATCCTAAAATTTTAATTGCTCTCTTTAAGATGTATTAAAAATAAGGAAAAAGCAATTGAGTATGGCTAAAAATTAATAACAATAAAGTAGAATATCAATTTATGTTTAGTAAAAATGCTGATATTCGAAAAGCTATGGATGCGAAAGTTGGATATTGTGAAATTTTGCATGAAAATTAAGAAATGAAGCATATATTCATTTTTTAGAATTATTAAAAAATGGTTCAGCTGAAAAAGTTTATAAAGTAGCCAAATTTATATTCCATAGATTATTGATCTTAAATTAATAGATGTGATAATAGTTTAACTCCGTAATCCTATAGTTTAAACAAAAGATATCTAATTAAATGCCTAATTTTGAAATATTAGGAATCATAGCTAGAAAAGTAGAATCTAAAATTCCTCTTAGAATTTAGAGATATCGTATTTGGGCTAGCTATTTCAAAAGAACATCATGTTGTATTATTTGATTGGTTAGAATTACTTCCTTCAAGTTGTTTCTTATTGGATTAAGTCTTGAAATATTGTCATTACTCTCTTGAATACAATATTAAATTTTTATTAGAGTAATGTATAATTTTGTTGAGTAATGCCAATGAAGGAGTGACATATTTAAACTATAATTATTATGATGAAAAACAATACAATAAAACTACTTTAAAAGCATAAGCTTTCTTAGCATTTATGAGAATTTATGCGTCTTAAATAGTCTAATAATGTGGAAATTAGTTTTTATCTGTGATAGATAAATTACTATAATAAAAAAAACTTTGATATCATCAAAAAAAACAAAGATTATACTATTTTAGAAATACCCCTTAAAGTCGCATTATTATTTAAATGTGGGAACAAATGAAATTCACATTTAGCAAATACTTTAATGGTTGATTTCAACAAAAAAATGAAATCATTAAAAAACTTTGATTTTGATATTTCTGTTTAGAAGAAGNGGCTCTTTCCCTAATTAAATATGAGAAATACAAAGAGGCTTATGATGAATATTTAGATATTTTGCTTTTGAAAGATTGAATATCATTATGTATATGAATAGAAAAAAATATCGAGTACAATATGTTGAGTTAATTATGCTTTTAAAAACTAGAGAATTTCAAAAGAGCAGAAGAATTCTATCTCTACACTCTTGAAAAAAGGCCTGAAGATCCTAAAATTTTAATTGCTCTCTTTAAGATGTATTAAAAATAAGGAAAAAGCAATTGAGTATGGCTAAAAATTAATAACAATAAAGTAGAATATCAATTTATGTTTAGTAAAAATGCTGATATTCGAAAAGCTATGGATGCGAAAGTTGGATATTGTGAAATTTTGCATGAAAATTAAGAAATGAAGCATATATTCATTTTTTAGAATTATTAAAAAATGGTTCAGCTGAAAAAGTTTATAAAGTAGCCAAATTTATATTCCATAGATTATTGATCTTAAATTAATAGATGTGATAATAGTTTAACTCCGTAATCCTATAGTTTAAACAAAAGATATCTAATTAAATGCCTAATTTTGAAATATTAGGAATCATAGCTAGAAAAGTAGAATCTAAAATTCCTCTTAGAATTTAGAGATATCGTATTTGGGCTAGCTATTTCAAAAGAACATCATGTTGTATTATTTGATTGGTTAGAATTACTTCCTTCAAGTTGTTTCTTATTGGATTAAGTCTTGAAATATTGTCATTACTCTCTTGAATACAATATTAAATTTTTATTAGAGTAATGTATAATTTTGTTGAGTAATGCCAATGAAGGAGTGACATATTTAAACTATAATTATTATGATGAAAAACAATACAATAAAACTACTTTAAAAGCATAAGCTTTCTTAGCATTTATGAGAATTTATGCGTCTTAAATAGTCTAATAATGTGGAAATTAGTTTTTATCTGTGATAGATAAATTACTATAATAAAAAAAACTTTGATATCATCAAAAAAAACAAAGATTATACTATTTTAGAAATACCCCTTAAAGTCGCATTATTATTTAAATGTGGGAACAAATGAAATTCACATTTAGCAAATACTTTAATGGTTGATTTCAACAAAAAAATGAAATCATTAAAAAACTTTGATTTTGATATTTCTGTTTAGAAGAAGTAGGTGCAAATCTTGGATATGATATTTTAGCAGATCCTGTTGAATTAATGGAAATGAAGAATTTTTTGAAAATAAGATAAAAAATAAAGCCTATTCACTTGAAACATATACAAAATATTTTGATTATCAAATAATATTAGTCTCATTAATTAGACATTATGATGAAGAATTATCTATGGAATTGATATTTGAAAAAATATTATCTGATGATCCATAAAATCTGAAAATCTAAATAAATTATAATTGGCTTAAATTTTCAGAAAATAAGATTGCACAATCTGATTTGATAAAGATACTTCAGATATCTAGGTCAAATAAAAGTTGAAATTGAGATTGGACTAATATTTTGAGGATTAACAATAACCAAAAAGAATATTTAAAAAAGAGTATTGGAAGGTCTAAATAGTGATTCAGATGAGGCATTAGTCGATCAAATGGATTATGAAGAGGATTAAAAAGAATTTCAATAAAATCATGGGATGAATGTTAAAGAACATCAATGCATAGATGAAAAAGTTATTAAATAATAATAATAAGTTTATGTAGAATATAACGAGTAACTTAAATATGTTAATGAATAATAATAATATATTAATTCTATGAGTCAAGAAGAACAATTAAGATTAATCGAATATTTTAGATAGAACTATGCCTAATTATCATATGAAAAATAATGTTAATACACGATTTTGCAAAAATTTTAGTATGAATAAATAGTGGAATATTTTTATAATTAATAATAATCATAATTAGAATAAGATTGTAAAAATGAGATTGGTTTTTGTTTAAATATGATTAATAATATTGATTAGTATCATCATTCTTAATGTTTAATTTTAATATGCTTATATTTAGCTCCATATGTCCTATTTATTACTTATAAATTTAATACCCATAAGTTTTGAGGCAATGCTAACAAACATGTAATTTTTTAATCTCTGAATTTTTTCTTCTTTTCTTTTTATTAAGTTCTTCGTATTATATTTTCATATTTTCAATTTCCATCTTCACCTAATCAACCTAATTATATAAGATAATATTTAAGTAGTAGAATTTTAAAGCTTCGAAATAAAATTTCTTTTATTATATTTAAGTTGTCATGTAATTCATTTGTGCTATATTGTCTATTTGATTATTATACAACATTTATATTGTATATGGATAATATTTATTTATGAATAATCTCATATTGTTGTTTCCAAAGTTATTCCAAGAGGAATTGGAAGAATTCCACATTTAGATGGGCTGGATCCATCAACTGGCACTTAAGTGGCTAATGTCCATGAAAATCTAATATTTAGATAAATTTTAAATATACGTATTATTGAATTTTCCTTTAGCAGAAAGACCAACAGTTTTATTAAGAATATTTAATCTTGCCTTAACATCAGCTCCTTAGAATTTGGTTGAAGCAGCTAATTGGAAAGATAATTTGCTGACAGGAGTATATTCGATTTCTACTCCATATTGATTAGAATTCTATCTGTAAACAGCATCAACTAGAAATTTTCCAAATCCAAAATTGCTAAATAATGGGAATGATGGGATTTGATTAGTTAAATGTCTAAGGTAAACATCATAATTTTAAGTTTAATATCCAACCAAAAAGTCTAACTTATCAAATTCTTATCTGCTAAGACATAATTATGAAGCAATCACATAAACCCAATTATTATGTTTGACTTATGATCTCAATAAGAAGTTAACTTTGTCTTAGTTTAACCATTCAAATCCTAATTTGTCATATAAAAAATAGTACTTGCATGACTTAAACATTTTTTTCCTTCATAAACTGATCCAAATCTAATAGTTGATTTTGATGAACTATTATAGAATTAAACATTAGCAAATAAATTTTATTATTTGATGATATTAAATTTGCCAAAATCAACATGAACCTTAGTTTATTCTTTTCTTGTGGCAAACCAAAAATAATAATTGTTATATGGGAATTAAAACTTTGTTTCTTATCCTGGAGTCAAAGATTTAGAGATATCTAATGTGCCTTTATAATTTGCAATGCCTCCACCATTTGCTGAAGCCTTAACTTTCAAAGTAACTTTTCCTGTTGAGAAATCATCTTCTACTAGCTTTTTAGCGCTGAAATCACCCAAAGATAACATTGGGGCTGGTGACAAGGATTGAGGGGTAGCCATTAATATTAATTAATATCTTTTTTAATTATTTTCTTTTTAGTTTAATAGGATATTAATACGGATGTAAATATTATTTATTTTCTCTACAAATATACCATCATAATTTTTTATAAATAGATAGATTATAATTCTAATTAAGGTCCTTTCAATAATGATTGAAAATGATTTCTTTTCATATAAACTAGTATTTTGTTTGGTCATATTTATATAATATCTGATTTTAGATATTTAGCTACCTCACAACTAGTGTCAGAGTCCCATAAATATATATAATCCTAAATTATTAATTAATAGGATACTGTCGCAGCAATTATTTATATATTTATACATTTTGAATAATCCTTAATTTCCCTCTTGCAAAAAAATATCTCAAAAATGGGAGTATGGCATTAACAATTAAGAATTGTCTAATCTAAATTTCTTTAACATAATAATATGAAGGCTATTGTAACCAAGAAAACTAATCACAAAGAACAATTCTAAATAATTTATTTATATTAATAATGAAATCAACTTTTACAAGGTCTGCTCAGAGAAATCTTGAAGAGCAACCAGTTAGTTCTTAATTCAAAGCATCTTCTCAGTTGCATGCTGCTCTACTTAGTGAGTACAAGCGACCAGAAAATTCATCTATGCCTAAAGTGTCACTCATATCCACAGGAAAAGATGCTGTCAGATAAGCTAGACTTGAAAAAGAAGTTTAAAAATTTGAATATACTTTATAATCTGAAGTTGCTTCATTACCTAAACATCCTGCACCTGTATATAGAGAACAAACTAAAGTAAGTTATCAAATTTAATATAAAGTTACTTATTGAAAGACAAAAGGATACAAGAAGAGAAAAACATCTAAAGTTTTGTGATGAATTTGAGAAATGGGTTAACCGTCTTAATAAAAATTTAGAAGAAGCCTATAAAGACATTAAAAGAGATATTACAGATTTCTTTTCTGAATCAGATTAATAAATAACTAATTATTATCAAACACTTACTGATGAAGCCTTACTTAAAAGAGAAATAGAATTTGTAGAAAGTATCCATTCAACTGTCAATGCACATAGAGAAAAAAGAGAAACCAAAGTTAACACACTTGATAAAAGACTAGAAGATTTAGAAAAAGAGAGATTTAGATCCTTAGAACTATTCTGTAATAGATTTTAAGAAGGTCTAATTGATGTGGCATTCTAATTAGAACCTGAAATAACTGCGCATGTGAATGTATGAGCTCTTATTATACATTCAGACTTTCAGAGAAGAGTTTCGAAAGGTTGTGGCAGAGAAGAGAGCAGACAATTAAGTCTATGTTCAAGAGGTCAATAGATAGCATCAAGAGACATTTAAATAGTATGACGAGACACAAATTTAGAAAGAATAACGATGGAGAGATTTAAAACATTAACATTACATTGAAGAATTTAATGTTGATATTTAGAAATTAGAATATGTATATCCTGATGAAAGAACATAATTATATGATAAATTTAGGAAAACATAAAAGGATATATTTAGAGAAAGAAAACAATTATTAGAGAAACTTAATTCATATGATTTAGCTGCATTAACAAAAACAATAGTTGAAAAGTGGATAGATGAAACTAAATCATATAATGAATTAGCATCATAAACAATTGATGTTTGTTGTAATAATTTATTAGAGGAAACTAAAAAAACATATAATTATTGTATGTAAAGATATGAATTAATCAAATCATAATTATTTTATGCAAGAGCAAAGTCAGAAGAAGAATTAAATTAATTATTAGATGAATAATACTTACCATAAGTAAATGGTCTAAATCAAACTGCTAGAGATTTAATGAAATAGGCAATTGATTATTATGAGAGAATTGATCAATAATAAACTGATATAATAACTAATTTTGGATAATTCTTTATGAAAATAGCATCAAAGAATGATGAATACAAAACTGAAATGCAATTATTAATGCATAATTATGAAATTCAGAAAGCATAAGCAGCAGATAAAAATGATGAAGTCTTAGAAGAACTTACCAAAAAGTTAAAAGAAGACAAACAATAATTATCATAAGCATTACATCATCCCCGTTTAGAAGAATGTTTAGCTTTATGTTATAAAGATTTGGATTTATTTGGAGAAGAATATGAAAGATTTCATTAGGATAATATGGCTATTGCTAATCAACATCCTAATATTATAAGAAATAAACATTAGATTTTTGAAAAGTCAGTGCTAAACATTTTTGAACTAGTAGATCCATAAAAGGAATAATTCTTATAGGAAAAATATAGAAGGATAGCTGAAACAAAAATAAAATATGTAATTGCTAAAGAAGAATACAATAAGAAAATAGAAGAAGAAAAGTTAATTGAAGAAGCCAAAAATAAAAAAGGAGGTAAACCCCCTGCTACAAAAGCTAAAGATCCAAAAAAGTATCAATAAGATAATATTGTAGATTTTAATAAGAATTAGAGGATAGAATGAAATAATTATTAAAGGAATTACCACCTTAAGAAGTAATTAAATATAACAGTTCACTTGATTAATAATTTGTTTAGTTTAGATCTACTATTTAAATTGCAGAACGTATGTATATTCCTCCAGATGAAATGGAATAAGTAGTAGCTAAAGAAAAAGTAGAAGCTGATGAAATTGAATCTTATTTGTAATAATAAAATGCACCAAAAGATCCTAAAGCAAAACCTGCAGCTCCACCTCCTATTGAATTACCTAATTATATTCCAGAGGAGGATGTTCCAAAGAAATCTGTAGATTTTGCTGAACAACCACCTATAAATGTATTAAATTAAGCAGTTTTGGAGAAGGATGCAGTAATAACGGTTGAATATTTGTCATCATTATTGAATCAAACATAATAAAAATTGTTTAATTACATAACAAGTTGTCTCAACTTCTAAAATGAAAAAGCTAATGAAAGTGATAATGAATTTATAAAGTAATCTGAAAATTAGAGAAATGAAAAGTAGTCTTAAATTGAACCATAAAAACAAGAAATCAAAAATACTATATATGTATTAAGAAGCCAATAAATTACAATGCATAAAAAAAGGTAAAATAAAATATTAATTAATTAGATATGAACGATATGCAAAGTAATTAGTAGAAAGGATTGATGATCAAACAGAATAGATTAATTTTTTATTGGAAGGTGGATTATTGGATATGAAAGATTATATTTAAGAGTAGTAAACACTAAAAAATAATTTATAATAAGCAACAACTTTAGCCAAATTATAAGGAATTCAAAATACTGTTAAAGAGAACTATTTTAAATTTGGAGAAAGTAATATTTTTAATTTATAATAGAAATTAATGATTTAGAATAAAAATTAAGTTATTTGGCAAATTAAGAATTGGATGTATTATTACAAAAAAATAAAGATTTTATGAGAGATTGCAAACCAAATGAATATTTTAAAGAAGAATTAGAATGGTATCAATAAATGATGGATGAACATAATGCTACAATTATTAAACATAAAGAGAAAAGAACATAAAGATTAGAAGAAATTAAAAAAGTATTGACAGCTAAAAAATAAGAATAATTGGATAAATTTGAATAAGAATATATAATAGCAGTTGAAGATTTAGCAGCTAAAGATGGTACTGGAAAGAAATATGGAAGACCTAAAAGAATAGCTTAAGAAAAATTAAGAACAGAAATGACTAAATGTGAAAAAGCATAAGAATGTATCAATTTGAAAATACAAGAATTGAAAGATCATTATGATTTATTCAAAAATAAATAAGGTGATTATTTTGCTAATCTTGAACCATCATTTTCTATAAAAATTAGAAAAATATTGAGTGGAACCTTAATTTGTATCAAAAGATATGCAAATCATATTGAAGCACTTAAACCAGATAATAAAGTTGTAGATATGCCAAGGACTACTTGGAAGGAAAATAAATTTGATACTATTTTAGAAGTTGAAGAATAATAAGAAGATAAAAAAATAATTGAAAATGATTTAGAAAGTATGGGACCATTATTTTATGCTGAAAAGAAATTATAAGAAAGTTTATTAGATATTGAAAAGATAATTAAAGAAGAAGCAATTAAAATTTATGCAGATAAATAAAAATTCTTAACTGGAACTGATAAAATTCCAGATTATCTTAGAGCATATATTGAGAATATGTAAAGGAATATGAATGAATTTAGAATATAATCAATTAGAGAACTTAGGAATGCTTGTGAAGAATTATCAGAAATGTCACCAAAAATTAGTGAGATGATATTATTATCAAATCATTAAAGATGGATATTCACATTATCATTAATAAATACTAATTTATGGAATGAATTATAAAAGGAATAAAATAAATAAGAGAATCTTAAAAAATTACATTAAAAATTATTAAGACCTAATTTAGGAAATCCATAATTAAAAGAAGAATTAGAAGATTTAAAATAAAAAGAATCAAAAAGATTATCTGATTTTTTGGGATTATTATCAAAATATTAAGTAACTCTTTTTGATGAAAATTTCAATTAAGGAGACAAATATTTGAAAGCTGCAAATTAAAATTTTGAATTTTTATTACTTTTTTATGATTCACTCTTATTATTTGAAGATTTTATTAAATTACCTGGAGATGAATAAATATAAAAAAAACATTAAAATTTGAAAGTCTCTTTGAGATAAAAGTAGAGTGGTTAAATAATAGATACAAATTCAGAAAGATCTCTAAGTAAAACTTGGGAAGGTGTT